TCTCTCTCTAGAGACCCTCGGGGACGCACCTTTGGAGAAGTCCTCCTCGTGCTCTGCATAGCTCTCGACCTCGATGCGCTCGGGTGCGTCATGGGCGAAGAGCGGCACGATGTCTGGACTGCCAAAGGCAAAGGCGTGGCTTGAGACGTTGAGTGTGGAGTCGAAGGGCATTGGATTGGCTTGCCATCCTGTCGCAGCCATCACCACCACAGCGTCGGCGAAGGGGGCCAAGGCAAGCAGGAAGAAGGAGAGGGGGAGAAGGACAACGCACCGGTAGTCACGGCGCTCACATCCTCATACATGCCCGCAATCATCGCCACATGGCCCGGCCGCGACTCGGTCGGCACGCGCGTGTGCGCCACGCCCCATGCGCCAGTGTGCAGTGCGCGGTGCCGGAGATGAGGCATGGCGTACCACGCCGCCGCCGCCTCCTCCTCGCCAGATGCAGCAGCAGCAGCAGCAGCAGGACGCAGGCCGCGAGGCACCGAGGCAAACGCCGTGTCGGCACGCAGGCCATCGCCGACGATGAGCACCAGACGCTTCGCCGGCGCCGCTTGCGCTGCTGCTGCTGCTCCTTGGCCCGCGCGCCCCACGGCCGCGTCGCCGGTGAGCGAGGCATAGCGCACGTGCGGGTGCACGACGGGCGAGGTAAAGTAGAGGTGGAAGAGCGAGGTGAGGAAGAGGAGATGGAAGGCGAGCGAGAGGAGCAGCGGCGGCGGCTTGAGGCTGAGGCGCAGCAGCATCATGGCGACGGCGAGAGGAGCGGCATGAAGCGTGCAAGCTGCAGTGCACTCAGACTGAGAGCGGTGGTGGAGGGGGAAGAGGCGAGAGCACGTTCGGCCTCGCGCCTGGAGAAGCACCTTTCTTCGCGGTGGTCCGAGCGCACAGGCGGCACTCCCCCTTTCAAAGCAAGGCCTTGAAGCCGCGCAATACAAGTGCCGCGCTTCAAGCGTAATCCGGCAGATGCGGGCCGGTGTAGTGCGAGATTCAAGATTTGCTGCGCGGCTGAATCAGCGCAGCTCCACCACTTTGCCTTTGTCTTGTGCTTGCGCCCACCGCCGCCGAGGCTGTCTCTCCTCCACCACACCCCCGTCTCGCGCAGCACCTCACTGTGCGAGTATCAGCGCAGCGGCCGTCCGCATACTCCACCGCGTGCACCTGCCTGCGATGCAGCGCCACTTGCTCAGTGGCTCGGCCCGAGCGCTGCGCTTGCGCTCTGCGCCTCGCCTCTCGCACTCGCTGCCCCTCGCCCTTCGTGCCGCTTCCACTTCTTCGTCTTCGTCCAGCAGCAGCAGCAGCTCCGCGCCTGCCTCCGCATCCTCCACCGCGCCTCCGCCTCGCAAAGCCCTGCCCTCGGCGAAAGCCAAGGCGCAAGCGTCGGCCTCGCGTGCTCTGCGCGCCCAGCTCGCCTCGGCGCCGCAGCCGCAGCAGGCGCCCGTCGCACAGCAAGAGGCCCTCGCCGCCGTGTCTGCCGCGCCGGAGCTGCAGCAGGCATGCGCATACACGACGGCCGAGGCGTATGATCTCGATGTGCTGCGCGAGCAGCTGGAGCGCAGGGGCATGCGCCCATGCATGCTCGACGATGAAGTGCTGCATCTGCGCTGGCCGCCGCTGCCTTCTTGCGATGCCGCCGCCGCCGCCGATGCGGCGATTCCTCCGACGGCACAGGCTCAGCAACAGGGCGACGTGCTCATCTTGCGCTCCGGCTCCTACGTCACCTGGGGCCTGGCGCCCGAGCAGAGCCGCAGAGTGCTGCGCGCCGTGATCCGCACGCGCCGCCGAGGCGCAGGCGCAGGCGGCGCAGTGGAGGCGCCAGTGGAGCGCGAGCCGTTTGGAGAGGTGGGAGATGAGGGCATGGAGTACGTTGCACAGAGCGATAGGTACGTACGTACTACTCTCTCTCTCTCCTCTCCCCCCCCCCCACCCTCTTCTTCCCCTTTGCTCCCGCCACCCTCTCTGTTTGCGTGGGCGCTGACGGACCGACGCACCATGGCCAAAAAAGCGCAACGCGAATCATAGGCGATCTGCTCATCCTGGGCGACGCGCCGCCAGTGCTGCCCAACAATCGCAATCCCACCGGCGACCATTGGAGTCCCCTGTCTGCCAAACTGGCCTTTTCGCAGGGCTTGGCGAGATCTGCTCGGTGCGTGTCTTTGTTTGCCTCTACTCTTGCCCTCTTTGCCTCGCCCCACGTTGGTTGCTGCGCAAAGCAAGCTCGGGCACCGAAGACCGGAGAGCACCGGCAAAATTTGCTCTTTGCGCAGGATCGCGTAATTAGTCGACAAAGCTTCTGACGCCCTTGACTCATCCCTCTCTCGTTGCAATCGCGACGGATGGGGGCACGGGGGCAAACGCAGGTTATCAGTGCAAGAGTCGGCGCTCGACGTCTTTCTGGAGCAGTGTGCGCCGCTGCCGCGCCTGCTCGAGACGGAAGGCAAGGTGCCGCTGCCGCGCAAGCAGGTGGTGCGGCGCATGGGCACGCTGCTGCGCCTAAGGCAGCGTGCCAACTTGTCGAGGGACAATTTCTTCGATGAGCCTGAGGTGCGTTCTGCCTTGACACCCCCCCCGCGTCTTCACCTTCTCTCTCCCCCCCTCGCCCGCCGTGCGCCGCCGCTGAACGCAAGTGTGGCAGGTGTATTGGGAAAACGAGTATCTGGCGCATCACTACGACTCCATCTGTGCCACACTCGACATTGAGAGCCGCTTTCGCGCCCTCAACGAGAAGCTGGACCACTGCGAAAATCTGCTGGGCGTGCTGCGCGCGCTCCTGACCGAGGCCAGTAGCCATCGCATGGAACTGTGAGTGTGCTCCCTCCCTCCCCCCCCCCCCCCCCCTCCCCCCCCCCCCCCCCCCCCCCATCCTCCGCGTCTCCCGCTCCTTGTCCCCTCCTCTCTCTCTCTTGAGCTCACGAAACCCCGCCATCCCGGACCTGCGCACAGACTCATCTCCCACGACTACGTGCCCTCGCCGATCCGCGCCTACAACGAGCTCATGGCGCTGCTGGGCCGGCCGCACTTGCGCCTCCAAGCGCGCGGCGGCGGCGCGGCGCACGAGGAGAAGGAACAGTCGACGCGGCAGGCAGAGAGGGTCTCGGGCAGCAGCATGGCGCATCAGCTCCGAGAGAGCTCCTCGGCGGCGTCGCATGCTAGACTTGTCTGAATACTACTCTATCAAACCTACACATCGCCCCCCCCCCCCCCCCAACTCCACTCCCGCTTCTCCCTCCTTTTCGTCGTAGGAGGCTTTCGCGCGTGTAGGCGGTGTATGTGTGGCGCTTGCGAATTTGCGGGGCGTGAAGAAAGGAGCACGAGAACCGAGAAAAGCTCGTACCTCGGTCTGCCTTCAGTATGCGTGGGGCGCTCGTGGAGTGTGAGGAGGCAAGTCATAGCACATGAGGCCCATCTCGGTGCGGGAATGGAAGCAAAGTAGTGAGAAGCAAGCGAGATGAAGCGCCGCTCGACTGACTCGAGACGGGCTCATGAAAGCGTGCCCGCTTGAGATTTGCAATCATAAGGTACAATTACACCCACTTCTTCCCTCTCTCCTCCTCCTCGATGTCCATCTCATCGCCCGTCCCCCCCTCCTCTCCCCTGCTCTCTCTCTCTCTCTCTCTCTCTCTCTCTCTCTCTCTCTCTCTCAGAGTCGGCCGTGGCTCCCAAGTAGTAGCTCCAATCGTGTTTGTTTGCGCGCGCGAAAGAACAGAGAGAGAGACACGCGCCTTCATTTCCGCTGTCCGGGAGTGATGCCTGGAGCGTTGAATGCTGGCGGAAGAGGAAGAACAGGGAGCTGGCGTCAGCTTTGTGTGTCCATTGCTTTGTACAGTCCCGTGCTTCCCGCTCCGCTACGTTCTGCGGGGCTGGTGCCGGGCTTGTGCCGAGCTCTATCTCGCTGCACTTATGGCAGAGAGAGGGAAAGAGACAAAGGACACCGGGCGTGGGATGCTTCATCTCTCTCTCGCCTTCTTCGAGGCTGCATCTCGCACTTGCGAGCCAACGACCCATGGAACCAGCGTAACTTAGCAGATGGCCGCTCGTGCGAAAGTCGTAGTGCCGCAACACGAAGCGAGGCATGATTGTCTCTGCGCCCGCAGCTGCAAGGCTGGAAACGCCTGACCGAACTGCTGGGTTACGTGTGCTTGCTTGAAGCGCGGGCTCCATGCTCTCCTCGCTCCTTCGCTTCTCGTCTCTCTGCCCCCCGTATGCCCGCACGCAAATGCCCTCTGCCCCCTCAACCTCCGCCTCGCATGTGCATTCTCAGCCCTTCGAAACCTCCCACCGGCACAGAAATGGCGTTCTCCACTCCCTTTCGACCCTCCACTCTTGCGGCACTTCGTCCGCGCTCGAGCTTTCCTTTTCCCGCCTCCCTCTCCCTCGCGCTCCTCCTTCGTTTGGCGCGACCCACAAGTCCGAGACCACTCACTATGCTGGCAGCTCGCGCACACGTAGAAGAGAATCATGCGGTTTGCCACACGCTTGCCTTGATCTTGAAACGTCACTGCTCTGGTGTCGCGAGGGGCGAGGTGCATTAGTGGGGGGCAAGTCTGCACGCGATGGGCAAAGGCACAGGCGACAAGAGGAACGATGCCGCTGCGGGCTGCAGCTAGCGAGCAGCTAGGGCTCGGGCCTGAGCTCTCGGGCCGCTCGCCCAAGAAACGCAGGCCCGCATGAACTTGGCGGCGAGACATGGCAGCACAGGCGCCCAAGCGTATGGAGCCATCTCCCAGGCTTGCTGTCTCGCTCACAGTGCCGCCCTAGAGACCCAACGCCGAGGACCACGCCAAACGCCGACAGCAGACGCCATGCGCCGATGCCGGCGCCCGCACGTCTGCCCACTCGCGGCGTCTCCGCCTGGGCCCTCGGCCCTTCACCGCCCGCCCTGGCCTCCTTGTTGCGCTTCCTTCTGCCCACTCACTCGGCGCGTCCACACCTGGGGCACTCGAGCTCCGCCGTGCGCCGCAGCGTCGGGTCCTTTGCGAGGCCGTCGGTGACGCCGGCCTGTTCCTTGGACACGCTCATGAGGTCGTTGCGGAAGACGAGGTTGCTCTGTGCCTCCTCGTAGTAGGGGCAGTTGCGGCAGGCGTTGAGCAGCACGTGGTTGGCGTGGTCGACGCGCGGATAGAGGAGATTGGCACAGTCGGCACAGTAGGAGAGCGAGGTGGACATGGTGGGTGGTGGTGGTGGAGAGGAGAGCCGCGGCAAGTGGCGCAGTCGAGAGGAGCAGCGCGCGGCATGGCGCACGAGAAAGCGGCGCGCCGCGCAGCTCTGGGCTGCCTTGAGCACGCAGCAGCGACCACGGCGGTTGCCTCGCCTCCACACCACCACCACCACCGCCGCCGCCGCCCTCTTCTCGTCACTTCGTCTCGCCCTCTCGTGACTTGCCACCTTGGTCGCTCTTGCGCAGCATGTCTCGTCGCGGCGGGCGCATCTCGCGCGCCGCCGTGCCGCCGGCCGTCTCTCACGCTGCCTCTGCCGCCGCTGTTGCTGCCTCTTCTTCAGCATCCGGCTCTGCGCCCGAGGCAAGGCCGCGCACCGGCCCACGGCACATCGCCTCTACTGCCTCTGCCGCCGACGCAGCAGGAGCGGCAGGCGCAGCGGCAGATGCGGCGCTGGGCCTGCTCAGTGGCGGCGTGCGCGTGGAACTCAAGGACGTGACGGGGAGAGTGGGGGAATATAGCGTGAGTGATGCGTGCCTCTCTCTCTCTCCCTTCTGCAGCACCCCAAGCCTCTTTTGGCTCTGGCGCTGCCGTTAATCGCTGCGCCCTTCAGTCGCCGGAAGATCAATGTCCCCAGTGCAAGACGGACCGCTTCCTCAATCCCCGCCTGCGCCTGCGCGTCTCGCCCTGCTACCATCGCATCTGCGAGACGTGCATCGAGCGTCTCTTCTCGCTCGGCCCCGCGCCGTGTCCGCAGTGCGGACACATCTGCCGCAAGAATCAGTTTGGCGCACAGACGTTTGCCGACTTGGGCGTCGAGAGAGAGGTCGATCTGAGGCGACGCTTGGGGAGAATGTGAGTCTTTCTGCCCACGCGCGAAAGCAAGGGAGCAGAGCTGAGTAAAAGGGACCACAGCTTCAATCGAAGACAGGAAGAGTTTCCAACGCTGCAAGCCTACAACGACTACCTGGAGGAAGTCGAGACGCTCAGTAAGCCCTTGCGCGACATGCCTTCTCCCTCCTGCTCCTGCTCATCGCCTACTTCGCACGCGCAGCATACAACGCCATTTCCGGCATCGACGTCGCCTCCACCACCTCCCGCATCGCCGCGTACGAAGCGGCCAACCGCGCCGCATCGGCCGCGAATTCGCGCAATGCCGCCTCCGAATCGACGTCGGCGTTCGCCGCAGAGACGCACCTCAAGTCTCTGCGCGTCGCACGCGCCACGGCGCGTCGCGAGCGCCTTGCGAAGCGCCAAGAGGAAGTCGAGGCGCTGGAGCGCAAGGGCGCGGAAATGCTGCTTCTGAAGGACGGCGAGAAGGAGTTCCGTCGGCTTCGCGAGGCTGCGCGAAAGGCGTTTGAGGAGCAGGAAGAGCGGATAGAATCGCAAGAGAGGAGAGAAGACGAGCGACTTGCGAAGCCGGTGCAGAAGGCGGTCAAGCAGGAGAAAGAGGAGCAGACGTGGGAGGCGCAGATGCTGTGGGACTACGAGGGCGTCTATGCGAGCATCGACGATGCGAGGACACTCTATGAGCTGCGCCCAACACCTGCTTCTCTCGGCGGCGCAGGCGCCAGCGACACTCAAGCGTATGAGGATCCGTGGGCCATCAACGCCGACAAGGAGATGCTTGCCAAGTGGAGAGCGGCGGGATACGACGTGGGCGAGAGCTGGGCAAGGAGGCTTCGGGCGGCCGTCTGGGGACTAGGCGTGGCGCCTCGCGCCGTCGCGGGAGAGGAAGAAGCGAAGTCGCAGATGGAGACGTAGCAGAGGAGCGCAGGGCAATGAATTTCATGCAGCATTAGCGGAACTTTGAGTAGGAATTATTTCTCCCCAAGCGCGGCGAGCGTGCGCCGAGGATGGGCGAGGTGGGGGAGTTGAGAGGAGGAGAGACGAGAGGAGGGGAGAGCAGGGGCTCGCCTTCAGCTAGAGGGATGACGGGTGGATCGGTCGGCGTGCGCCAGAGGCCGATGAGGAGCGTGGCGTGTGCGAGGATGAGACAGGAGGAGGAATAGGACGTCGATGGAAAGGTAAGCCAGGCGGTCTCAATGCCATACCAGATCGCCAGGCTGCGATGGTGGGGCGAGGAGAGGGTAGGCGTCAGAGCTCGGCAATGCAGGCTCGGAAGGCGAGCGCATAAGCCCATGCAGACAACGTCATTCTGCTGCCTTGCGCCCCGCGCTCCGGCTCGGCTATAAGGAGTGAAGAGGGCACTCACCGAATCCCCCAATGCAGCCTGACGAAGTACAGCAGCATGGGCAGTTGATGCGCGTACCAGGCGTAGAACTGATAGTGGAGCGAACGGGAGAAGGTCATGCCGAGCAGGTTGGCCGTGAAGAGTGAGAGAAGAATGACTGCGAGCGAAAGGGAGAGTCAGCTTGGGCAAGTAGGCGAAGCGAGGGGTGGCCAGGAGACTACATACAGCGCGCCGAGAGTTCCTCTCCTCCCTTCAGCAAGCCCTTGACCTTCTCCAGCACCGTTGCCGCTCCCGGCACGTACAGCCAGCGTGTCATCCATGCCGCCACGCCGAGGCCGTGCCCCGCCAGGAGCAGTCTTGCGGTACGCGGCGAGAGAAACGTGGCCTCGGGCAGCAGGCGCAGATTGACGGTCCACTTGTAGAGAAAGGCTCGATTGAAGTCAAAGGCGCCGTGGAAGTAGGCGCTGGGATGATGCAGCGTGAAGGGCAGCGAGATCAGGACCTGCCGAGCGCGAGCGCGAAGAAGGGGCGGATGGGGGGTCAGTGACGTGCACAAGAGGTGCAAGATTGAGGAGCGCAAGAAGAGAGTGACACAGACGTACTTGGATGAGCAAGACGAGCAGGCCTTGTTGAAAGGCACGCGCCAGGCCGAGAGAGCGCAGATAGACGACTGCGAATGCGGGCGCGAACAGCAGGGCATTCATCTTGATGCCGAGCGCGGCGCTGCGAGCAAGGGTGGAGGGAGGGGAGAGGTCAGTCGTGTTGTGGTGCTGCACCGCTTCTGCTGGCTGCGCTTAGACGGGGCGCACGAGGTGGAGCAGGATGGCGCAAGTAGGGCGCAAGGAGGGAAGCAAGCGCGAGGGCGGGGAATGAAAGACAGCAAAGCCACGCCAGCCCGTATGGTCTGCACCACTCACCTGAAGAGCATGCTCCCGGCTCTCCACCTCCGTCGTAGCACGGCATTGAATGCGGCGTAGAGAAAGAACATGGTCCAGCAGTCGTTGAACATGCGCAGCGGATAGAGCGAATGTAGGCGCTTGGAGATGATGAGTAGCGGAAGAACAATTGGCGGGATCTGTTGAAGCAGAGGTCAGCGATAAGAGGCGGAGGAGGGGAGAGGACAACGCACGCGGGCCAGTCGATAGAGATCAAACACGAGTGCCTGAGTGGCCAGATAGAGCGCCGCGTAGAGCCATTGTGCGGGCACGAGATTGGAGCCTTGCGCAGTGAGAAAGTCGAGGGGGGTGTGCAGGTAGAGATGGAGTGCTGGATATCTGCGTACGCCCCTACGTGAGTGGCGAGGCACAGGAGGGGAAGAGGGGACACGTACACGCAGGGCCCGGATGGACCGGTGATGAGCGAGTACTCGCGCGTGCCTTTGTAGAACAGCCGAGCTTGAACCAAGTACGTTGAGAAGTCGATCTCTGTGTCTGCTCCTTCACATCAGTCCTCTCCTCGCCTCTTCGGCTAGCGCGCGTGCTCACATCCAATCCTCCGAATCACCACCGCCAGCACGGCCACTTCCAGCACGCCGAGTCCGGCGGCGATGAGCCAGTAGAAGCGCGACTCGGGACTGAAGAAGGCCGCGTAGACTTGGCGCGAGAGATAGGCGATGTACGGGTCGTAGTCGGCCGAGGCGAAGGAGCGCTTGTGCGCCGAGGCGGAGAAGGAACGCAGGCCGGGCTTGACGCGCTGGCGTGGCGCCGAGGAGGAAGAAGAGGGCGGGATGGAGAGCGCGGAGAGCTGCGACGCCCGGGCGGTGGCGGTCGCCATGATGCTAGCTGGCCGCTGCCTCGCCGGGCACGCCGCTGGGCCTGAGACTGAGGCTGGCGCCTCTCCTGCTCTCCTGACCCTCGCTCCACCGCGCTCGCTCGTGGCACACCGACTCAAGCGCTGCGAGAGCGCGAGCCAGGAGCTGCACACCAGAGCTGAGCCAGAGTCGGTGAGCGCACAAGGCGGACGCCGGGGCTGGGCGCAGTCGCTGGGCGTAGAAGGCGGAGAGAGCGGGCGCAGTCGCTCGGCGCAGTGTGGAGGGCAGGCAGGAAGAGATGTGCTTGCGGACGATGGCGGGCTGTGTGCCGCAAGAGGCTGAGTGCTGGGTGCTGCTGTTGCTTCGCCGCGTATGCGTGAGGACGAGCTGGACCCTCGACGCTGGAGCTGAGGGCCGTGGGATGTGGAGCTGCGTCAGGCGGCGAGCTCTAAACTGAGTTGAGCTCGGGCCGTCATGCGGCGTTTGACAGCAAGAGCGTGGGGGCGCGGGAATCGGGACTGGGCCGCCACGCGCGCTGCCTGCGCGCGAGATTTCCTTTGCGTCCTCGTCATCGGCGCTTGCCTTCTCACCTCCATCTCTGCTCTCTCGCCGTCATGGCCTCTTCCTCCACGCCTGCCTACGACGTCGACGCGCTCGACGCCGCAGTCTCGACGCTGCTGCCCGCCGCCTACTCCTTCGAGCTGCCCAAGACCATCGCGCAGATCCTCCACTTCCGCCCGCGCGTCGTCGCCCTGCAGCTGCCCGAGGGCCTCGCCGTCTTTGCCTGCACGCTCGGCGACATCATCACGCGCTTCACCGGCGCACAGATTGTGATACTGGGAGATGTCACCTATGGTGCTTGCTGTGTCGACGACTTTACGGCGCGCGCGCTGGGCGCCGAGATGCTCGTGCATTACGGACACAGCTGTCTTGGTGAGTGCGGCGCGCTTGTGAGAGAGAGAGAGAGAGAAGAGAGGCTGATGGACATTGCCAGTGCCGGTAGATCAAACGAGCATACGCACACTCTACGTCTTCGTCGAGATTCGCATCAACGCGCTGCATCTCGCAAAGACGATTCGCGCCAACTTTTCCTCTTCGGCGTCCGCGTTCAGGCGACGCGTCGTGGGCGGCGTGCAGCGCGAGGAGACGGGACGAGTGGAGATCGGCTTTGAGGAGGGAGAGGAGGGAGAGGGAGGCAAGCGAACAAAGATCGCCCTCGTGGGCACCGTGCAGTTCATTGCGGCGCTGCAAGGCCTCAAGGAGGAGCTGGAGCGAGAGTGGAGGGACGCAGAGGAGGAGGAAGGCAAGGAGGTGTTGCTCCTCGAAGCCGCGCCTGCCTCGAACGACACCTCATCAAGCGCCGCTCCCACGGCCTCTGCCTCGGCCCGCTCCTTCGACCGCGGTATCTACGCGCCCTTCATCCCGCAGATCCGCCCTCTCTCCCCGGGCGAGATTCTCGGCTGCACGTCTCCCACGCTGCCCAGCGACACCGACGCAGTCCTCTACGTCGGCGACGGCCGCTTTCATCTCGAGAGCGTCATGATTGCAAACCCCAGGATCGCCGCGTTTAGGTATGATCCGTACGATGCCGTCTTTGTGCGGGAGTGGTATGACCATGCGAGGATGAGAGAGGGGAGGGAGAGGGCGGTCAGGAGGGCGAGAGTGGGGGCGGAGAAGGGACTGCGAGGCGACAAGACGCACGATGGCCACGACGAGGCAACACAGACGAACGGCGCATCGGCAGCCGGCACCTCGAGCGTCGCTCCCGCCTCCTCCTTCTTGTCTCCCTCCGCCTCAGGCTGGGGTCTGATTCTCGGCACGCTGGGCCGCCAAGGCTCTCTCTCCGTCCTTTCCTCTCTCCTCTCCGCCCTCTCTGCGCACGCTCCTCGCATTCCCGCCGTGCCCATCTTGCTCTCCGAGCTCTCGCCCGCCAAGCTCGCCCTCTTTGGCCAGCACCTCGACGCCTTTGTGCAGACGAGCTGTCCGCGGCTCAGCTTGGATTGGGGAGAGGCATTTGAGAAGCCGCTCCTCAGTCCGTACGAGGCCAATGTGGCGCTTGGCGTCACGAGGGGCTGGGGCAAAGGCAGAGGAGTAGGCATGGAGGATCTCCGCAGCTCGCCTGCTTCCTCTCTCGCCGACTCTCCTTCCGCCGCCTCTCTCGACGCCGACGACCCCAACGAAGCCATCGACTACCCTATGGACTTCTACGCCGACGACTCGAGGGGCCCATGGACGCCGCGACATGGCCTCGGGCGCAAGAAGCAAAGGGAGGGCAAGACGTCGAATCGCGATTTGCTCAGAAGGGCGGGCGCCGCGAGGGCGGCGGCGGCGAAAATGGCTGGGACGGCGGTGTAGTTCGCAATGAAATTCAGTCACGAGCAACCCGCCTCGCACCCGTAGGAGCATGTCTCTTGTAGCTGCCGATGCGCACGTGGTTAGGCAGCCGTACCGTGGCTGCTCGTCGATCTCTAGCGTCATTTGCTGTCCATGGCCTTGCCGTCAAGATGCAAGACGCGAGACACGAGCCAACAAGCCTAGCTGTGCGCTTAGCCGCACGCCGCTTGTCAAGCCGGGTTAGTGCGCGTGGACAACTGGAGGAGGGAGAAGACACAAGGTGAGGCAAGACGAGGCGCGCGTGCAGGTGGGAGCACGCTGCGAAGTCGCGACCTGCGCGCCCGGGCCATCCTGCGGCTGCTGCAGCGCGCCGCGGCCGCAAGGGCATCTGCGGACGCAGCCCGCCGGTGCGCGCCTTCCACTCTACCACCACCGCTCTTCCACGTCACACCCTCGCCCCGTCGCACACTCTGCGGCGCACGCCCAGTCACCGTCCGTTCCGAACGCTCGCCGCCCCTCGCGAGTCTCTGGCGTCGTCTCTGCTCGACCCAGCCTGCTCGACGCCCTCGCACCTTGTGCCGTACGCGGCCGCGACGCCAGCGGGCAGCGCTCCGGGCCGACGACTGCGGAGGCGCTTTGCATCGGCGGCGTTGCTGCAAAGCAGGCCCATCTGTGCTGGCACGGCCGACCGGCGCCGCACTGGTGACGCAGCCCGCTAGCTGCTGCCTGCGCCAGCACCGCATCGCGCCGCGCCCCCGCCCGTCCCTGGCGGGTCGAGCAGCGCGATGTTCGCCTCTCTGCCGTCGGCAGTGCGCTCGTATCTGCGTCTCGATGCGCCGCCAGACGTCTCAGCGCTGCTCGATGCCCGTGATGTCGCCCGCATCCTCAACGCGTTCGCGTCGCCGGCCGAGGTCTTCTCGCTGCTCACCGTCACGGACGTGCGCCGAGCACTGGTGCGCGCACCTGCACGCGTCCACCTCCTCGTGCGCCTGCTCGTGGCGCATCTCGAGAGTCTGCGCGACGATGCCGCTTTCTGTCCTCGCCCGCGCCAAGCTGAGTCCGGACGCCTGCCCGCTCTCGGCGGTGCGTGGGGCTTGGGTCTGCAGAGCAGCACGTTTCGCCAAGACGCAGCCGGCGGCGGCGCCTCGGTGCGCGATCGCCATCGCGAGGCGCTGAACTGCATTCGCATCCTCACTCGCATCCTGCCCGTCATCATGGAAGGCGACCACGATGCAACGTGTATTGCGCAGTCCGAAGCCCACGCCGAACGGCCAGACCCGGACTCCCCTCCAGCGGCGCTGGCATCGACCGACTTCGAGCGCAGCCTGTTTCTCAGCCGCCTGCCTGCTCCGGCGACTGCCGATCTTGTGCTGGAGCCACGCGGCACCAGAGAGCCGCTGCCGGTGCCAGAGGCATCGCATTTCGTCATCGACGAGGACGAGACGGAGGACGGCGGCGGGCCGGCGTCGCCAGGGCACGCTCCATCACTTCCGCTGACCGCATCCGGAGAGGGCTCTGAGCCGCCATTGATAGAGCGTCTTGTGACCCTCGTCGTCGACCTGTTGTTCTACTCCGGCTTCACGCTGCCCTGGACGGCCGAGCTGCTCGCGCTGCCCGACTCTGTCCCGGTGCGAGAGTCGCGCGTGCACTACGCGATCTGGGAGCAGGGCGTCGGCAGCTCCATCGAGCTCAAGGGCACAAGCCGCACGCACGAGGCCAACCGAGCCGAGACTCTGCGCCTGCTGCTTGTCTTGTTCTCCAAGGCCATCTACGTGCCGGCGACCGAGCAGAGCACGCACAAGGACGCAGCTCTCAGCTTCGCGGCGACCTTGCTCGACCGCAGCGTTGCGCTTCCGCTCCTGTGCTCCTTGCTCAACACGGGCGTGAAGCACGCAGGAGACAGTCACTGGCTGGCCAGCCTAGCTGGGTTGCCCGGTGGCCTCGTCAAGGATCGGCTCGCCGGCACGCCGACGCCTGAGGAGACGCGCAGCACGCTTGCGGGCCTGTGTCTGCAGACGCTCGGCGTGCTCTTGGCCTGGGAGCCGACGCCAGAAGATGCCGAGGCGGGCCGACCAGCGGCGGATCCTCAGCGCCCACCGCTGGCCAGCAACACCTCGTCAGCTTCGCTCCAGTCGAACGCGCGCGGCGAGCAAAACGTCTTCCGCTTCTATCTGTCCAAGCTGCACCGCCAAGCGGACTTTGTACTGCTCTCGACTGCGCTCCTCGATGCTGCCGCCGTGCGAGGATCCGGCAGTCTCAACCCGCTGGCTCATCGCGCCGCCCCGACGCTCATCACCGGCGGCGGTGGGCCAGGCGGCGGCTCGCTCGCCCACGCCCCGGAAGCACTCCTGCTCCTCTGGCGGCTTCTCACGCACAACGCGCGCTTCCGCGTCTTCATGCTCGACGACGAGGTCCGCACGCCTCTGTTCCTCTCGTGCTTGCTCTCACACGCGCTCACGCACAAGGACAGCGTTGCGCAGCAGGGCCTCGTGCGACTGTGCATCTTCATGCTCCAGGACGCGAGTGCCACGTCCTCGTTTGCGCTGCGCATCTGCGCTCGCGGCAGCGCTGCAAATTGCCGCATCCCGAACGCCTCGCGCCTTGGCGTCGTCTCTGGGACGGCAGGCCAGGCTGGCACCGCCGCGGATGCGCTGATCCAGGCTGCCTACGCAGTCATGGCCTCGACGCGTGGCGCACTGTCGGCGCTGTATCCGCCTCTTGTCATTGCGCTGGCGAACACCGCCCCGTCCTGGCGCGGCCTCACCGTCGCGAGCAGCGCGCGCCTGGCCTCGCTGCTTGGCAGCTTCTCCGCGCCTGCGTTCCTGCTCGCCGACGAAGGCAACCCGCGCCTGCTCTACTTTCTCCTCGAGGCGCTCAATGCCGTCCTGCACCGCAACGCTCAGGCCAACCCCAACCTGATGTACGCATTGCTGCGCAGTCGCCGAGACGTCGAGCGGCTCTCTCGCTTCACGCTGGCGTCGGGCATTGCCGACGTGCGACGGAGCCGGCAGCGCACGGGCAACGCGTCGCAAGCAGCCCAGCCACCTCCGCGGGCGTCGCTGACGGACGACACCGCCGCCAGTGCGCAGACGTCGCCTACCATGCTCGACACGTCGCTCGCCGAGGACGAGAAGGCGCAGTCGCCTGTCCAAGGGGAGCAGGAGCGAGTGTCAAACGGCGCGGGTAATGCCGTTCCGGAGTCGGGCGCACCGGCGGACATCGACTCATCGTCGGAGAAGGTCCGTGGCAAACGCCGGCAGATGTCCGGCACCAACGGCCAGTCTGCGCCGGGCGTGCCGACCGCCGATGCGCTCGATGCGGAAGACGCCCTCGTCGCAGGCTTCAGCGACGACGAGCTCCTGGCGGCCGCAAGCACCATCGGCAGGAACGGGTTCATCGCAACTCCCGCCTGGGTCGCGAGCTGGCAGTCTGGGTGCGTAGCCGTCGCGCGTGAGCTGCGCCCCCGCGCCACTGACTCGGCCCCTGCCAGACTACCATTGGACACGCTGCAAGTGGTGCTGATGGAGCTCGTGCCACGGGTGGAGGAGCACTGCGCGGCGACGGGCATTGTCGGCAAGAGCGACGCCGACGAGCGCATTCTCGCCTTTCTGCGCGAGCAGACGCTGCGCGACGTGCTGCCCGCCGCTCCGCCCACGCGTGCGTGGCGCAACGGGCGCAGCGACGACCGATGCCTGATGCTGACGCCGCCTCCCTGCCAGACTTGCGCGCGTTCCGGTGGAACGAGCAGGCCCGCGTCTGGCTCCTGTCCTACCTTTGGGGCCTCGTCTACGTCAGCGCGCAGCTGCCTCAGTGCGTGACGTGCAAGGGTGCGGTACCCTCGCTCGCCGTGCGCTGACTCGTCTGCTCCGTGCGCAGTGGCATCTATGCCGGCAGCACTGCCCGCCTCTTCCAGCTGCGCGCGCCAGCGGTGCGCTCGTCGAGCACGGCAGACTTGGCAGTGCCGGGCCTCGGCGTGCTGTCGGACGCAGTCGCCGGTGTGCTGGGCGTCTTTGGCCGCGCCGGACCGACGTCTCCACCGCCCTCTGCGCCGCCGACGCCGCACCGTGCTGGCAGCCAGACACCGGGCATGCAGACGCCGACAGGCTTTCAGCTCGAGGAGCGAGCGCGCACAGACCGCCAGACCGCCTCGTGACGGCCAGTAGCACCCCGCACCCGCACCCCTGCTCCCTGTTCCGCGCCCTGCGGCATTCAAGCGCACCTGCTCTGCTGAGATCCGGGGCGAAGCTGTATTTTATTGCAACGCGAGTGGCCTGCTGCCCAGCGACAGCCGTCTGACCGCTCCTCGCGATGCTTGTGCGCACGAGGAGAGTGCGCACGCCATAATCATAGGCGGGTGCGAAGCAAGGGCTCGCTTTACAGGCCCTTGGCGGCACGGTCGGGGCGCAGAGCGCGCACCTTCTGGCCGACGCGCCACCTGCAGAGCGCCAAGGGTTCAGCCGCTGCACTGCATCAGGCACTCGCGCAACGTACATCTCCTGGGCAGCGACCTCGTCGGTCTCCTTCTCGAAGAGCTCGCGGTAGTTCTTCTGGCTGGCGAACTCGATCGTCCGCCGGGTCTCGCTGCCGTCCTTGACCTGGAGCGTGAAGCAGGTGAGTGAGCAGCTGCGCGGAGCGCGCGCAACGCGCAAAGAAGCGCAACTCACGCGAGCGTAGAGCTCCTCAAAGACGGGCTTCAGGGCCGCCTCGAACTTGGGGGCGGCGTCAAGCGCACCGCGGCTGGAGGGTCACGCAGACGGACGGTCAGCGGAGGCAGGCGCAGCGGGAGGGCAAGGAGCACGCACCGGGCCGTGGTGGAGCAGGCCTTGAACATGTAGTCCATGCCGTGCTCGCCGACGAGCGGGTAGAGAGACTGCAGGGCCTCCTCGCACGTCTGATCGCGGCCCGAGCACGTCAGTAGGCGCGGCACTGCGTTCGCGAGGTGCGACGCACCTCGTTGAAGGCCTCCGAGGGGCTGTGGCCGTTGGCGCGCAGCACGTCGTACTGGGCCTTGAACATGCCCTGGAAGGAGAGAAGAGAGGCTTGTCAGCGGCAGCTCGCTAAGCGAGAAACGGCTTACACACCTGGATGCCGCCCATCAGGCAGCCGCGCTCGCCGTAGAGGTCTGTGAGGCGCGGGGTCAGTGCGTCTCGGGGAGACGTTGCAGCGGGCAAGCGCACCAGAGTAGACCTCTGCGAGCAAATTTGCGTCAGCACGAGAACAGTGCCTGAGGGGCACAGCCGCACTCACCCTTCTCTGCAGTACAGGAACGCGGCAGCGCGAGAGAGAGTCAGCTAAGAGCGCGTCAAGCGAGCAGCAGGCTGCGCACCGAAGGTGGCTAGGAAGAAAGGAGAGGCGTCAGCTCGTGCCCCTGAAAGAGTAAACAGGACATGCTCACTCTCGTACGTGTAGCCCGAGCCGACGGCGACGGACATAGCGACGGCCTTCTCGAGGGCCTTGCCGGTCACGTCCTGGAAGACGGCCACCGAGGAGTTGATGCCGCGGCCCTCCTACAAAGGCAAGCAGCGCAGCAGTCAGCATGGCGGCAGACGGGGCCCGCATCGCACGGCGGCGTGCGTACGCACCTTGAAGAGGGTGCGCACGGTGCGGCCCGAGCCCTTGGGCGCGCACAGGATGACGTCGCAGTCCTTGGGCGACTCGATGCCGGTCTGGTCCTTGAACACCGGCGAGAAGCCGTGCGACCAGTCTGCCGGCACGCAATGTCAGACAGGTCCGCGAGAGCAGCAGCCGCCCGCACGTCGCGCTGCGACTCACAGACAGTCTTGCCCTTGGTCATGTACTGCATGAGCTTCGGGTAGGCCTCCGAGGCGCCGGCGTCGGACATGAGCATCATGAGGTACGTGCCCTTCTGCGCGGCCTCGTCGATGTCGAAGAGGTTCTTGCCGGCGACCCAGCCGTCGGCCTCGGCCTCCTTCCACGACGCGCCGCCCTTGCGCACGCCGACGATGACGTTCAGGCCCTGGTCACGCAGGCTGTGCAGCGGGCGCGTCAGCGCATGCCGACAGCGGCGCATGAGGCAAGCCAGACTCACTTGAGGCCCTGGCCGTGGCCCTGCGAGCCGTAGCCGAGCTGCAGGGGCATGGACGTCAGCAGCAGGCCGCAGCGTGCGCCCGCCGGACGCGCGGCCGGCCACTCACGAGCGCCAGCGTGTCGTCCTTGAAGTACTCGTGCAGGCGCTCGATCGGCCAGTCGGCACGCTCGTACACCGTCTCGATCTGGCCGTCGCCGGAGAAGTCGATGTGCTTGATGCCGCGCACCTGCTGGGGCGCGGCGGCCGGCACGGCGGCACGCGCAACGGGGCGCGCGGCGGCGAGCAGCGAGACGCTGCGGGCCGCGGCCGGGGCGGCGAGCGAGCGGCGCGAGGCGCGGAGGGCGGTGCGGGCGAGCGGGGCGAGCATGGTGGATGGGAGTGTGTGGTGGTGGTGGGAAAGCGGGGCAGAGGGGCGAGGAAGACTGCCTGCGCCGGAGGCTTGCGAGATGATCTCTGGGCGCGCGCTCTCTCTGCCGGCGCGCTGGTGCTGCAGCCTTGCATCTCTGCATGGAGTCGCGCCGCCTCTCGTCGGCCGGTCGGGCGAAAGTCTTTGCCCTCGTCGCGCGTGACTCGCGTCGCACGGCAGCACAGCTGCAGCGGGCGTGCCCGCCACGCCGATGCCGGGGCTGGCTGCTGCAGCACCAGCGCCGCAGATGATGAAGCTCGCAGATGCGCCTGCAGCTTGATTGCGGCCTTCTGGGCCGCCGTACCGCACCGGCGGGCAGCAGCGGCGAGGCCGAGAGAGGCACGCCGTCACGTCGGCGAGACTTCCAGCCGCCTGGGCCGCCCGCCGTGCGGCAATCCCCCTCGGTCCCCGACGAGCACGCTGCGGGCCAGCAAATGGTCGCTCACTGCCGCTGCAAGCCTGGACTCGACTCGCGTGGGCGCTGCAGCGATGCAGTACTCAGCATCGAGAGCGACGATGAGCGTCGGTGCTGCTGCGAGGCGCCGCTCTGAGCCGCTGTTGGCAGCGCAGGAGCAGAGAGGCACGGAAAGCGCGAAGACGCGGCGCGGCGCTGCTGCTGGCTGAGGAGGGGAGGCGCCGCACGTGACGCCGGCCTTCCGTCTTGCTCCGCTCACGCCCGCCGCGCGGCCGCGCCCCGCCTGCCCCTCCTCAAGATCCGCAGCTGGCGGGTGTGCGCAGGCTGATGCTTGGTATAGTCTGCAAAATCACGACACGGTACTCGCCAAAGCGACGGCGAGAATATCAAGCGTGCACGCACGCGGCAAGGGCGCTGGGTCTAGGAGACAGAGAGGCGGGTGAGGCCACGCGGGCGCGGTGCACGTTGCGCACAGCAACCTCGTCTGCGTGCCCTGGGAGCAAGATCAGCGACGCCTATGTACGCCCGCCTGTGTCTGTTGCCTCGCCATAGCTCGGCAGAGCTGGCTCGCTCGACGGCGCTGCGGCACGAGCTTGGCTGTGCGCAGCAGCGTCTGCGTCTGGCACGTTGCCGTGCCGGCGCCGAGAGCGAGCTGCGCGCCGCGAGTGCCGCTTCTCGGCCTTCGCACGCTTGCGCTCGAGCTTGCTCGTCTTGCGCTCGTGGCGCTGGCGGTCGTGCTGGGTGCGCCGCTCGGTCTTGGCCCGGCGTGCCTCGAGGCGTGCCCTGATGTGGGCGCAGGGGTCAGCGGCGCCGGCCGACGGCGACGACGCCGCAGCGCCCGCTCACACGTCGCGCTGCGCCCGGGCGGCCTCGGCGCTCTCGACGTCGTTGCAGCAGCTGCACGACGCAGCGCAGCAGAGCGGGCCCTTGCGCCAGAGCGAAAGGCACAGCAGGCCCGCGAGAATGCGGTTCAGCGCAGGCATGGCGCCGGGACTGCGTCCAGCGATGCCTGAGCGGCGAAGCCCTTGTGGTGCCTTCCTGTGTGCGCCTGCAGGCGGACGGTCCTGGAAGCTGGAGGTGGATGCCAGCGGCAGAGAAAGACGTGTGCGCAGCTGCGATGGCCGGGTGACTGCCCGCCGCGTCTGATACCAGCCCATGGCGCCGATGCGTGACGTCGACCCCACGCCGCTGCAACTGTGTGCTGCGGCGGAGGGCATGTCGCCGTCACAGCGCGCTAGCGCTGGTGGTCCAAGCTGGCACCGACTGCTGCCGTGCTGCGGGGCGGAGCGGCTCTATTGACGCTCTGGCATCATGCGCCGCTCAACCACGCTTGCTGACGAGCAGCGGGCGCATTCCCGACGGCCCGGCGTCTGTTCCCGTGCTTCTGGCGGCGGCGCTGCTCCCACGCCTCTCTGGCGCGTGCCCGACGCGTAGAGAGGCGCGCGTTGAGAAGCGCGTGTCGCGCGGTGTTGGCATCGGCGAGGCGCACCGCACGCCGCACAGCTCGCCTCCCCTCACCCACCCCGCGCTGCCGTCCTCGCGAGCATTCGCCCTTCTACGCCCTCACTGGCCCAGCTCGTACCTCTTCACTCGAGCTTCTCGTCTGCACGGCGTCTCGCCCCGTTCCTCCCGACGCCATGGCGTCGCTCCCGTCCTCGACGGCCAAGGGCGCGGCCAGCGGCCTCGAGATTCAGGTCACGCATGCCGAGGGCCTGGCACGCATCCGGCATGCGCCGTCGGGCAGCGTCAACCCGTGAGTGCTGGCCGGTGAGCCCCTCGGCGCCTCGCTCACCTCGCTCGGCCGCAGCTGGATGTTCACGGGCGGCTCTGAGGGCGTCGTGCGCTTCCTGCCGGCCGCGGCGCAGTCGGCGACGCAGCCGCTGCAGGCCGACGAGGCGACCAAGCCCATCACCTGGATCGACGTCTCGCGGCGGCTGCTCGTCACGGCGTCGCAGGACGGCGCCGTGCGCATCTACGAGCACGCGCCCGCGCCGCACGAGCGGCAGGAGCCGACGGACCTCGTCAACGTGCTCCTTCGCACGGCGCTCCCGACGCGCTGCGTGGCGCTTGAGCGCTACCTGCAGCCCGGCCGGGAGCCGCGCGTAGCCGTGTGCTCGGACGAGCTCATCGTCAAGCTCGTCGATGCCGGAGCACCGGCCCGCATCCAGCTGCTCACGAAGCACACGCGGCCCGTGCGCGCGGCAGCCTGGTCGCCCCGTGAGTCTCTGCTCGTCACCACCGACTGCGACGGCACCGCGCGCGTCTGGGACTGCTCGCCGCAGGACCCCGTGGAGGTGTCGTGCCTCGAGGGCATCGTGTCGCGCGAGAGCGTCAACTCCGAGATGAGCTCCGAGCCCGTGTGGCACCCCGACGGGAGCCACTTTGTGCTGCCGAGCAAGACGCACGACATTGCGGTCATCTCGAGCGCCGGCTCCAGCTGGTCACGCTCTGCGGTCTACTCGCCTCAGCACGCCAGCATCGCCGCCGAGGACCGGCCAGCGGGCCAGATCACTGCGCTTGCCTTCTCTCCCAACGGGCGCTACCTGGCCAGCGCGACGACTCAGGCGCACGTCACAGTGTGGGACACGAGCAGCCGGCGCCCGGTGCGCAGTCGGCGGGCAGAGGCGCTCGTCTCGGGCATCTCGTGGTGTGCCGACGCCGATGCGCTCGCCTGGGTCGACACGCTGGGGCAGCTGACGCGCTGGTCTGATGTCGTGGGCGCCACGATGGCAAGCCCGTGCGAGCCTGTCGACTTTTCGGCGCAAGCTGGCCTGCGCCAGGCGGCGCGCAACGACATCGATGAGCTATTCGATGGCGCAGGGCTTGACGACTCTGACGAAGAGGACCGGGAGCAGACGGTGAGCGAGCGCCGCTCAAAGCACGCGCGTGCCGGCGACGATGACCTCGAGGGCTTCCTCGTCGACGATGAGGGCGCCTATGGGCGCAACGGACGCTCGGCAAGACACTCCAGTCGTCGGGCCACTGCTAAGGAGGGCTCGTCGCTAGCATCGACGGCCACGCAAGCTCCCTTCCAGCCCACAAGCACGCCGATGAAGGCGCAGCGCCGCTTCTTGGCGTTCAGCACACTCGGCTCGCTGGTAGCGACGGACCAAGAAGGACACCAGACTGTAGCGTTCGAGTCGTTCGACGCAGCTGCCCGCCGAAATTGGCGCTTTGCCGACCACGCCGGCTACCATCTTGCCTCGCTTGGCAGCACGGGAGCGCTCTTCGCCAGCGCCGAGAAGGTTGGCGGTGACGGAGAGACGTCGCCCAGCATGGTGTACTATAAGCCCTTCGAGGCCGCCGGCGCCGGCAACGTGCCCGGTGCGGAGTGGAGCGCGAGCCTGCAGAGCGAGGAGAGCGCCGTAGCCGTGGCCATGGCTGGACGTGCGGCTGCCGGCAGTGCTGCGGCCGCCTCCGGTGCGCTCAACCTTGCCACCGCCGTCGTGGCCACGTCACGCGGCTACTTGCGCTTCTTCAGTGCATCGGGCCTGCAGCGCTATGTCTGGGCGCTGGGCTCGACCGTCGTCTGCTTGGCGGCAGGCGACCGCAGACTGCTCGTGGTCCACCGCGCTGGCACGCCGGTCGCGCTAAACGGCTTCCAGAGCCTGAGCTACACGCTCATTGACCTGCTCACGTTCGGCATCGTGCAGGAAGGCACGCTGCCCCTCGGTCGCGACGTGCAGCTCCAGTGGGCTGGCTTCGACTTGCTCGACGCACCCGCCATCTTCGACTCGCAGGGCGTGCTGTACGTGCTGGACCGCGCCCACTCTCCGCGCCAAGGGCGCTGGACTCCGGTCCTCGAGACGCGGTCTGCCAGCATGCAGAGCACCGCCGCCGAGGGCGGAGCAAGCTCGCGTCTCACATACTGGCCGGTCGGCCTCGGCTCCACAAAGCTCTACTCGCTCATTCTCAAGGGCCATGCGTCGCCCGACCCTGCCGCCCAGGCCCGCCCCCTCATCCAGGAGACGGAGTTCCGTCTTCCGCTCCTCAACCAAGACACACCGTCCGGCGCGCTCGAGCAGCAGCACCTGCTGGCCGTGCGTGCTGCCGATGCCATGCGAGCTGGCGCGCGGCTGCGCAGGAGCGACGCATCGAGGGGCGGCGCCGAGGACGACGAGGACATCGACGAGAGCGACGCTGCCGCGCTTGACCACAGCGCCGACAAGGCACTGCTGCAGCTCATTCAGCTGGCGTGCAAGTCTGACCGGCACGGCCGTGCGCTCGATGCCGCCCGAGAGCTGCACACTGCCAAGACACTCGATGCTGCCCTCCAGATCGCGTCGTTCTTCCACCAGACCAGCCTGGCCGAGAGGATGGCGTCGCTGAAGGAGTGGGTCGACACGCGCGCCGAACGCGATGCGCAGAACGACGCTCTGCTGCACAGCAGTGCCTACGCGGGCGTCGTGGCACAGCAGCGAGAGCCTTCGCCCGATGCGTCGGTGGAGCGGATCCGCGCCGCTCGTCGAGCACTGGGTCAAGAACGGACGCAGGCGCCGAGGAAGTCGTACGGGGCCGCGAAGCTCACTTCGTCTGCTGCGCCGACCTACGAGACTGCTGCTCCCCGCCCACGCGAGGTCGACGCATCGCCCGCAGAGTCCGTGCCGTCAACGTCGAACGTCTCGGCACGCAGCCAGAGCCCGGAGTGGACGAACGCGCAGGCTGGCCTGAAGCGCAAGACGTCCGACCTCGAGGTCGACGAGCAAGGTGAGCTGCTCACTCACTGCTCTCCGCGCCTCTCGCGCCGTCGCTAAGCCCATCTCTTCCTCCAGGCGCGCGCGCTGCAGCGAAGGCCGCCGCCGGCGGAGCGCGCAACCCCTTCGCACGCAAGCAGGGCATGGTGCGCGACCGCTCCATGCACAAGTCGACGTCCTTCTTCGAGCGCGTGGACGCAGCAGAGGCTGCCGAGACGCCCGCTGCGCCTCCGAAGGCCAAGAAGCAGACGACTCTCTTCGGCATGGCCCCGCCGGCGCCGCAGGAGAAGGCCAAGCGCGCACCCAAGGCCCGCGCACCTGAGCCCGCCTCGTCCGGCGTGTATGCGGACACTGAGGAGACGCAGGAGGGCGTCCGTGCAGCCCTGACACAGGCGCAGGGGCAGGAGGACTCCAGCCTGCGCCTGGACGACGCCTCGCTTCCTCCGGTTGACGACGACACGCAGATGAGCCTGGAGATGTAATGCTATGCCCTCACCGTGCCTCCCCGCCGTCGTGTCCGCTTCGCTGGGCGCCTGCACACCGCGTGCGTCACAGGCAGAAGCTGTCGTTCGCCGCAAGGCGTGCACAGAGCGACTTGCGCCCTCTTCCGTGCATGTAGTTGACGTGCAGGCGTACATCAAAGCAGCCCTGCGGCACGACTGTGCGGCTCTGTCGTCGCCACTGGCAAGAGCGCCACAGCATTGAGACTCGCTGACACCACTGCGCGGCGAACTCTGTGCTCAGTGAGGATCGTTCTCGTCTGTGCAGCGCAGCATGGGAGCCCTTGAGTGTGCGATCGCAAGGCGATAGCTACGCACCGAGGTGACAATGTGCCGCGTATGACGAAAGACGCAAAATGCACTCAGAACGGCGCGTCAACCCACACAGCATTATGCGCCGCTGCCGTGGCTTCGCCACGAGTTTTTGCTCTCAGCCGCGCGCACCCCGGTCCTACTACGCTCCGCCCAGCAGTCCAAACGCGAGCAAGATCAGCAACGACACACCCGGGCCTGTTACTCATGTAAGCCTTCAGCCGGCTGGCCGCCGCACGCCATGGCAGCTTCGAGCACGATGCAGGTTCGCTCGAGAGATTTGCGGCCGGCGAGACCTACGCAGGGCGGCGCAGAGCGTGTAGAGTGTGTGGGTGACGGCGATGCAACGTTCAACCGCCGCCCGGAGCGCTACGAGAGACGCTTAGGGCGCTCATGAAGAGATCGCAGCATAGCGCGGCACTCTGTGCATGGTTCTTCATCATCAGTGACGGAGCAGAGGACCGGCACGTCTAGCCCCCTGCAGCCCTTCAGAGAAGCTGCACGATAGTATAGAGGCTACTCAGGCATTCAGCGCTGTGTCAAGTCTGGGCACAGCGCGGACCGGCGCCCCGGGCTTGCTGAGAGGCCGTAGCGAGGCGGCGGAGGCAGCTGCAAGGTATGGCGGACGCGCCGGGCGCGGCAACGCGACTCGGCGCGCGCTCGTGCTTAGTCAGCAGCGTGGCTGTGCCTGATGACGACACCGTGCCGCGCCGCGCCGCGCCGTGCCGTGAGGCGCGGGGCATGAGATGCTCGCGCGACCAGCCTGCGGTCGAGCCATTTGCAGGTCACCTTCCCTCCACTACCTCCAGCTAGCCCACAACTCGCATCCTATCGTCTGCACGCAGGCTACAAGACATCTCCCACCGCAGATTCACGCTTCCGCTGGCTCACCATGTCGCTGCTGCGCAAGGCCCAGCAGCAGATCGCGCACACATCCACCTTGCCCTCGCTCGGCAACCGCGACCTGCGCTCGCTGCAAGATGTGATCAACAACGAGAAGGACTGGACGAAGAGCGGCAACCGTGCTGCACAGGACTGGCAGAAGAGCGCAGAGAGCCTCAAGGCGTGGGGCGAGGGCGAGGGCGAGGACCTGGCGGTGAGTCGGGGCATGAGGCAGGGCGGTCTCTGCCGGAGCGCTGACCTCGGCGCGCCTCAAGGACATCACCTCGAAGCTGTCGCTGCTGCTCTCGCACTGCAACTCGGCACACACTCGCCTTGCCTCGCACATCGCCACGACAAGGCTGCACTTCAAGGCCATCCGCACGCGCGAAGAGTCCTTTGCCGCCATGCGCTCGTCCAAGGCCCGGCTAGCCTCGCGCATCGAGGCGCTCGAGAAGAAGCTCGCCAAGATGGGGCCGGAGAACAAGGAGCTGATGAAGACGACTGCCGATCTCAAGGAGCGGCGGGCCGAGATGGAGACGCTGACGCGCGAAGTGCGGGAGGAGGAGGCGGCAATCGGTGACTTCAAGCGGCGCACACTGAAGGAGGCGAGCGGCATCAAGCTGGGAGGCCTCTTGGAGTACGCAGAGAAGCTCACAGTGAGTGCAAGCCGTGCGGCCTGCAGGTGACGCCGCATCTTGTGCAGCTAGCGCGCCAGTACATGGCTGACTCTCCTCACCCAGATCGTCTCTGAGATCGGCAAGCTGATCATCGAGGAGATCCCCGAGGTAGTGACGCAGCCTGGCATGCACCGGCCTGCGTACTCCGGTGGGTCACATTCGCGTTGCAAGCGCATGTCGCGGCGCTGACACAGCGCTCAGGCGGCGCAAAGACCGAGCAGCTGCTCGCGGAGGCGACGCGCTGTCTCGCCGACGTCGGCTTCACACCCGGGCCCGGCCACACAGCGCACACGGCACGCGCTCATCTTGCTGAGCAGAGCTACGACCAGGGCGCAGCGCCGTACGAGCCCAATCAAGGCTCAGCGTCATACGAGCCCACTGCGAGCGAACAGGTGGACCCCATGGTCAACCCCTACGTAACGGGCGATGCGGCCGACACGCCCATCTACGCCACGCACGCGACGCTCTCTCCCTCTGGTGCTGCGAGCGGCAACGAGTGGGCCCAGCACGGCAACGCTGGTGTCCCTGCTGCTGTGCACGCCGGGCCGACGTACGGAGCGGAGATGCTTCCGCAAGACCCGGCGCAGCGGGAATGGAGCCACGCACAGGAGCAGCAGCGATCACAGACACCCGTGAGCGAGCGCGTGGGCAACTGGCGCAGCGGCATGCATCTTCCGGATGGCGCAATCGCAGCGGAGCCGGCCATTGGGCACGAGAGCTGGCGGCACAGCGCAGTGCCAGCGTCAGACTACCGAGGCTACGAGCCAGACGCACACTATGCCGCCGGCTCGATGCAGGCTCCGCATGACAGCGCACCGGCCCCGCTGCCCGCTGCGCCGCTTGCTGTGCATGATCCGAACAGCAGCTACTACGCGCCTGCGCCGCCCGTCCTCCCGCCGATGCGGGTCTCGACGCCGCCCGTCGCTCTGCCAGGCTCCGTCCCTGGCACTCCCGGCGGGTCCTCAACGCAGCACCACATGCCCATGCCGGGAGAGTTTGCGCCTCCCGCACTGCCGCCGGTGCGCACCTCGAGTCCCTTTGGCGCCGGACGCACGGGCTACGAGCCTGCAGAGGGAGGCCGCAAGGTCTCGGCCGCCGCGTTCCGCAAGGGCTTCGCGCGCGCTCCTTCGGCGCAGACTGGCATGGCCACGCCGCCCATCAGTGGCCCCTCGCACGACGCAGGGGCCACGTCGTACATGACCTCCCAGCACGCCAACACGGACGGCGACGACGAGCCCCCGAGCATCGCGCCCCTCGCCATCCGCAAGCGCATGAGCTCTGGCGCCGGTCTCGTTGCCGACCCCGCGCCGCCGTACTCGGGCGACGCCGCCGAGGGCACTTCGAGCTACCATCACTGATCCGCCGCGATGCGCCCGTTTCAGCTCCTCGCATCGCCTCCGCGTCCCGACCCATGATATCTTATGTGCCCCTCGCTCGCGCAATCCAGGTGCTCACTACCGCGCAGACAGGAGACAGTTGATGGAAGGAGTGAGGAATCCAAGACGTGCCGCGGACGCGGAGGTAGGACAAGACAGAACACAGGAGATCGGAGGGGCCCAGGCGGTGTCCACCAGGGACAACGGGCGAGGAGTGACTGGGCTCGATGCGTGCGCGGCACTTAGGCCTGCTCGCGGAGGGGACGCACAGGCGAGAGGGAGACGCCCTCGTCCTTGTGGCCCTCGCGAGCGGCCTGCAGCGCCTTGGCGTGGTGGTCGGCGGCGCCGAGGTAGCTGTAGGTGCGGCCCGCGAACGCACGGCGGTCGAATCCGCCCTCCAGCAGTCCGCCGTGACGACGCGACTCGAGCTGCACCATCTCGGTGCGCGGCTGGCGGCACTTGACGTACAGCTGCGTGAGGTGTCAGCCTTCGCGCACCGGCAGCGCGAGAGGCCTGCACGCACCTCGAGGCGAGCGTGTAGGTCCTCCGCGTCAGCGGTGGCGCCGTGCAGGAAGTAGCGCAGCGCTTCCGCGTCTGTAGGAAGGGCTTGTCAGCTCTGCATAGGCGACCAGGATGGCATTCAGAGAGAGCGAAGGGCCAGCTCACCTTCGATGGCAAGATTGACGCCCTGGCCGACGTCTGACGAGCGTGGTCCTCGTCAGTCCACTGTGCAGGCAGCGCTCGAGGTCACTCACGAGGCGTGACCGCATGCGCGGCGTCTCCGGTCAGACAGATGCGACCCTTCGTCCACGCCGAAGCGGGCAGGGGCTTCGTGTCGCGGATGCGCCAAAGGCTGATCTCTGTTGAGGCGAACGTGTGAGCGATACAGGCACGAGAGCGCGAGCTCGCCGACTGACCGGCTACCGTGAGCATGTTGCGAATGCACGGCGCAAACGATGCAAAGTCTTGCTGCACCGCAGCGGCCGGGATGTCGTGCAGGATCGACGAGCGGTTTGCGTCCAGCGCATCCGTCCAGGCGCCCTCGCGGGCGAAGCCGAACACTTCAAAGTGCTCTGCACTGCAGGGATACGCCAGAACGCGGTGCTGCGAGAGTGTCAGCGGACGTGCCGCACATCGAGCACGGACAGCACTGACGACGTTCGAGGCATTGTCGCTCCACTGTGCAATGCCCTGCTGGCCGGGAGTCGTCATGAATGCCAGCTCAGGCGTCTCGGCGAAATATACGGCCGGCACAATGCTCATGTAGCCTGCACGTCGAGGTCAGTCTGAGCGTAGCACGATCACGAATGCAGCTGCACTGACCGACCAGGCCCGTGTTGCTGATGCCGCCAATGCTGTCGTCGGGGCTCGACGTCACAGCGCGACGAGCGACCGAGCGGATGCCATCGGCGCCGACAACGAGGTCGCCACAGAAGACTTGGCCGTCTGAGCAGGTAACGCGGCCCGCCTGCGCAACCAGATGTGTCAGTGAAGCTCTGTGGCCGGTACAAGCAGGATCCTGGCTCACCTCGGCGTCAATCGCGGTGATCGTGAGACCGTCGATGATGCGAGGGACGGCGCCGGCACGCTCGGGGCTAGTCGCGAGGCGATAGAGCTCGGCCTGGATGAGCGAGCGGCGCGCAAAGATCGACGGAGCGCCTGCAGAGCGTCTGCTGTCAGCGTCGTCGTCTGGGGCAGGTCACCACTTCCCGCACCAAAGATCGGGCGCGTGTCGAAGCTCTCGGCGCCGATGAGCTCGTTGTTGGGCGTGAGGTCCCACAGCTGGTTGAGCAGGGCGCCGTGCAGCCTGTCCTCGTCGGCGCCCTCAGCCATGAGTAGCTTCCAGGCGTTGGCAACAATTGAGATGCCGTGGTCGTTGGGATAGGCGTCGAAGTTGAGCTTGGAGCGCTCGATGACCTGGCGCACGAAGGTGAGTCAGCGGAGGCAGGTGCGCTGCGAGTGCTGCACTTGCCGTGACGTTGTGGTCCTTGCGCAGGTAGAGCGCCGCAGCGAGACCCGCCATGCCGCCGCCGGCGACGATGATGTCGAGCGGCTTGACTGCGGGGCCGTGCATTGCGGGCTCGTCCACCTCGCGGACGGGTAGCGCAGATGTCATCGTACAGGTCGGAACGCGCAGAGCTGTGCCTTGGGTGGGAGAGAGCAGCAAAGAGCTGGACGAGGAGAGAGGAGCGGGTGGAGAGGAAGCAAGCCACGCAAATGCCCCAGCCTTATGTGCCTCGCAGAGCTGCGGTCCTGTGCGCAGCACCGAGGCCATGCCAGCGCACAGGATGCGCTCCGCGCTGTCACGGCGCAGAGCGGCTGCGCTCTGCTGCCGCTGTTCATGCTGAGCTTTGCACAGCATGCAGTGCTGCAGGCGTGAGGGACGCTGACGGCGAGAGGGATTCAGCAGCACAGAGAGGTGAGTGTGACGCAGCACAGCCGTCAGCAGCAGCATCAGCGTTCAGCACGCAGCGCCGCAGTCGATTGCGGGTGGCCGCAGAGCCCCGCCCTTCCTCTTGCTATCGCATCTCCTTTCTTCGCAGAAGGAACCGGTCTCCCACGCTGCAGCATGCAAGGGCCACTCTGCGGACGGAGCTTGTGCTTGCTCCGCTCCGCGCCCATGCCGCTTCAGGCTGCGACGCTGTGGGCGAGAAAGAAACGCCGTCCCCTCTGCCGGCAGCCGAGTTGGCGATGCACATCCACAAGCCGTTGTCACGCTCTCTGGCAGCGCTGCAGACTCCACGTTCTCAAGTGCTGTACGTTGGAGCAGCCGGCAGAAGCTTCCCCTCGCATGCCGCCTGCCGAGGCCGAGAGGCGTATGCCATCGCTGAGCGCTGATCGGCGAGGCGGAGCGCGAGCGTCGTAGGGCGAGGCCTGCGTGGCAGCAGCACCGCAGCGGCGAAGCTCGACTGTGACTCCTGGGTGCTGCTCCTGCAGCTGTGCCTTCAATTGCGGCGATACGCGGCGGGCGAGCAATCGAGAGGGATGACGGAACCCGCGCTGCGGCGGCGGGCGCAGCGCTCGTTGCGCGTTGTCCGGACGACCAATCGGGACGATGTGGACGCGAACAGAAGCGCGCCGCCGCAGCCGTGTCGAGCAGCGCCAATTCCCGCGGCCGTTCGTGCGCGCGCGGGGCGCGCGCCCATGCGGTGCGGCGCGCGTCCACCTTGGCCTGCCTCTTTCGCTCCGCCACCTCCCGATCCTGCGCCGCCCCTGAGCACCAATCACACTCGCCTGCCGCTGCCGCCCTCATTCGGCCGCCGACGTAGCACACCAGCGCGCTGCACGGCCGCCTGCCGCAGCAGAGCGTCAGTCTCGCACACGCCGCACAGCAACGCAGCGCCTTCGCCTTCTTGCTGCCGCTGGCTGCTATGATGCGGCACGGCCGAGGCTGCCGCCGAGTGTTGGCGCTCGTGACAGCGAGGCGCAGCCTCCGCGCTCGGACGACGCTCACCCCATCGCAGTAGCAGCGCACAGCAGTCAAGCACGAGAGACGCAGCATACCACGTGATGCAAAGGTGCACCGCATGGCGCTGCCATCAGCCTCAGCATCGGCGGCACAAGCCGCGCTGCCGGGGACGCTGCGTCTGATGGAGCGACGAACTCAGCGCGCGAAGGCGATGACAGCTCGCTTTCTCGACGCGGATATACCCTCGCCTTCTGCCGGTGCACCCGATGAGGCAAGAGCGGAACGTCCGACGTTGCAGCTTGGGCGCCGCCGCTGCAGGGCAGCGTTGTGGCGCCCGGGTGCCGCCTGCAGATCCCCTCGGGCCCGGGTGCCGAGGCGGGGCGCAGCGAGCCAGCCCGCTGGGCGCAGCACCTCGCATCATTGCGCCGCTGCCGCTTCAGGACCCGAGACGTCACTTTGCTCGGTGCCGTCGGCTCAGGCACGACGCGGCGTGCAGCGTGCAGCGGTGGCGTGCAGCGTGCCTGATCTGCCGGCTGCTGCGGCGCTGCCGATCGATGCCGGACACCGACAGCAGGCAAGGCGCTGAGAGAGGCGCCAGTGCAGCGGCACGGCGGACAGCTCCCTGCACCCTGATGCTGTTGAGCGCTCAGGTGCTGACCAAGGCACCGGGACAGCGCAGCCGCAGCAAGCCGCCGGTCTGTGCCGAGCAGCGAGGATGCCGCCGAGTCCTTCTTCGGGCCAATCTTGCCCTCACGACGAGGCCGGACGCTCCTGCTCTGCGCCGCGCAACGGCGCCGGGCCTGCTACCGCCCGTCGAGTGCCGTAGCGAAGGCACTGCACCTGCGGGATGAGCCCTGGCCCGGGGGCTGCGAAGGACTCACGGCGAGCGGGCCGAAAGGCATAAGAGGCGCCCCCGGACGGGCTGCGAGCGGATCCCCCCAGCCTCTTCTCCTTTGTGTTCCTTCGAGAGCCCTTCGCCCTTCCCTTCGCCCACAGCGTCCCTCCTCCTCAAGCGCTCCACCGCCACCTTCGCCTCGGCTTACACCGCCGCCACTCTCACGCCCCGTCTACGACCACAACACACCCACACTCCTCTCCTCCCACTCGACGCTGCGCTCCCCTTACCGAGCCTCCGCTCTTGACACTCTGATCCTCTAATTTGTTCCATCCGCATCGTCTTCACTCCGTCGCAAAGCCGTCTCCTGGCGGCCTCTCGGTAGCGAGTCTGTCCCCCTTCCCTGTGCAGAATCCCCGCATCTCTCCCTCGACTCTCTAATCTCGCCGTCCAGCCTCCGATCCTCTAATTCCCCCGCCTTTGACTCCTCACGCTCACGAACGACCGCCCAAGCCTGCCTCAAATACGTCAAGGCGGCACGACGAGCACGCATCACGACAACGACCGCAGCATCTACCCTCCGCCTCGACTGCAACCAGCACCTCGAGTGATCCCTCTCCGTCCTTGCGTGCACCTAATGTGAGACATGCGACCGTGCGCACGATGTTCTGCTCAAACAGCTTGAACAGCCGCACTCCTTCTACTCGAGTCACCATGCCCGAGCCCATCGCCATCATCGGCCTCGCGTGCCAGGTGCCGGACGGCCAGAACGGCTCCGACCTCGACCTCACGGGCTTCGAGCATCTCCTCAAGACACACGGTGCGCAACGGAGCTCAGCTGCTTGCTCTGACCTGATTGCTGACAGCATCTCGCTCCGCAGGGAGCTCCATCACCGAGATTCCCGAGAGCCGCTTCAATGCGGCAGCGTACCATGGCAGCGACGTCGGCATGATCGTCACGACGCGTGGCGGTGAGTTGAAGCCTTCTTCAGGCGAACTTTGCTCGACAAGAGCAGCGGCTTATCAGCTCTCTTGCAGGATTCCTGACGCGCCCTTCGGATCTCGACTACCGCGCCTTTGGGCTATCGCGTGCCGAGTTTGAGGGTGAGCGCCGGTGTGGTGGAAGTTGAATGTCCTGCAGTGCTGACACGGTCTTTCCAGCGATGTCGCCGTCCGCCTGCCGTCTGGTCGAGATCGTGCACGAGTGAGTGCGCTGTGGCGCGATGCTCGCTGCCTGTTCTGACGCTCTGCCTGCTGCAGCGCGCTGCTCCAGTCAGGCCTCCAGTTCCGCGGCACCAAGACGGGCGTCTACGTCGGTGCATCGCAGCCGCCCGCGCTGGCAAATGCTTGGGACGGAGCGCTGCATTGCGGCCCGCACCAGGAGGCGGGCATCTCCAACGGCATGCTGGCGAACCGCCTGTCCTACATCTTCGACCTGAAGGGCCCCTCGCTGCCCGTCGACACTGCGTGCAGCGCCTCGCTCATAGCGCTCGACCTCGCATGCGCGGGCCTGCACCGTGGCGACTGCGACACCGCCGTTGTCGCCAGCGTCAACGACCTTTCCGACCTCGAGGGCTGGGTCGGCTTCTCGCGCCTTGGCGTCTTGTCGCCGACGGGCACGTGCAGTGCCTTCGACGAGGCTGCCGACGGCTACGTGCGCAGCGAAGCCAGCGCAGCAGTCATCCTCAAGCCGCTGTCTCGTGCCCTGGTGAGCCCGACTGACGCTGCCACCTCCGCGCTGGCACTGACACATCATTCGCAGGCAGACGGGGACCGCGTGTACTCCGTGATTCTCGCGACGGCCTCGAATGCGAACGGCCATGGCATGTCCCTCGTCAGCCCCTCGGGCGAGGCTCAGCAAGCGTGTGCCCGCGCGGCCTTTCAACGGAGCGGCCGCGATCCTGCCAGCGCCATCGATCTGGTCGAGGCGCATGCGACCGGCACGCAGGTCGGCGATGCAACCGAGGTCAACGCGCTCGGCGAGCTCTTCTTCGGCGAGCTTCAGCGCGCAGCGCCTCTGCGCATCGGCAGCGTCAAGTCGGCCGTCGGACATGCCGAACTGACCGCCGGTCTGCTGTCGGTGATCAAGGCTACTCTGTCTCTCGTGCACAACGTCGTGTACCCTCAAGTGAACTTCTCGACGCCCGCTTCGAGCATCAAGTACGTCCGATCTCGCTCGCAGGCATCCCGCTGGCTGTGCTGACGTCCCGCCCTGCAGCTGGGAGAAGTACAAGCTCGAGGTGCCGCGCTCATGCGAAGTGCTGGCGCCGGAGGGCAAGCGCGGCCTGATCGCAGTTGCGTCTAGCGGCTTCGGCGGTGCGAACTGCTACGCCATCCTCGAGGCCGTCGAAACTGTCTCGAGCCACGGCCTCATTGCCGTCGGAGGCCTCGCACCGCAGCAGGTGCAGAGCCAGCTCAAGCAGCTCAAGGCCGGCGGCCACTTCGACCAGGCTGCCCTTTTGCGCGGCGCTCGCACCATGCCCTTTCGCAGCGTGGCCTTCGGAGACCTGGCGCTGCCTCGCACGTGGAGCTTCAGCCCGCCGGCGCTCGTGCCCCAGCAGTCGGGCCTGGTGATGCTGTTCAGCGGCCAGGGCCCGCAGCACGCTGCCATGGGCCGCGCGCTATTTGCGCACTTTGCCGCCTTCCGCGACAGCATCAAGGCCTCCGACGCGCACTTCGCCCGCCTGACTGGGCGTTCGCTGCTCGACGAGGGCCTCTTCGAGATGTCTTCGCGCGTCGCTCCGCTCCCGGCCATCTGGCCGATCGCGCTGATCCAGCCGGCGGTGGCCATGCTGCAGATGGCGCTGTACGACCTCCTTGCGTCGCTCAACATCAAGCCGACCATTCTCCTAGGCCACAGCGCGGGCGAGACGGCACTTCTCTATGCGGTCGGCGCCTGCACGCGAGCCACGACTATCGCCATCGCGAACGCTCGCGGCCAGGCCTTGTCTCTGGCCGAAGGCACAGGCACAATGGCGTATGCACATGCGCCGCTCGCCGTGGTGCGCGCCGAGATCGCGGCGATTGCCAGCTCAGCGGGCACGACTGGTGGCGTACTCGAGCTCGCCGCGTTCAACGGGCCCGAGGCGCAGCTGGTGTCGGGCTCGTCCGACCAGGTCGCCCGCCTGGTGGCGCGTCTCAAGCAGCTCAAGTTCGCCTCGGGCCTGCTTCGCACAAACACGCCGATGCACTCATCGCTCCTGGACGTCTGCAAGGCGCGCTTTCTCCAGACAGTGCAGGCCGCCCTGCCCGAGACGCCGTGCATCACCCAGTGCGACTACGTCTCGACGGTGACGGGCGCGTTCGTGCCTGCCGGCCAGCACATCACCGCGCAGACGATCTGGGCGAACGCCCGTCAGCCGGTGCGCTTCTCGCAGGCGATGCTGAGCGCCAGTGCGCTCGCTGCAGGCCCGCGAGGCGCCAAGCCGCCCGTGGTACTGGAAGTGACGGCGCACCCCGTGCTCGCCTCGTACGTCGAGGAGCTCCTGCCGGCCAGCGCGGTGATCTCAACGCTGCGCCGCTGCTCGCAGCCGTGGGCGGAGAAGAAGTCCTTCTTCGACTGCCTCGGCCGCCTGCTTCTGTCAGGCGCATGCGACACAGCGCACTGGCACGAGCTTGCGATGCGGGCCGGCGCAGCGCCAAGTCTCGCAGCGGTCAAGTATCCTTACCAGCGAGCAGCAAAGCAGACTCAGTACGCAAGCGTCGAGGCCCGCAAGAAGGCCAGTCGCGCGCCACCGCTCAACGACACCGAGCTGTACCTCTCGCAGCGCGGCAGCGATCTGGCAGACCACATCGTCGAGGACTCCGTCATCTTTCCGGCCGCCGCATTCGTCGAGCAGGCGCTCGAGTACGGCGTGGCCGAGGTCCACGATCTGCAAGTCATCGCTGCGATTGCGCTGCCCAAGAGCGGCTCTGTGCGCGTGTCCATGGCCCGAACGGCCAACAGCTTCACCATCAAGACGGGTCAGCCGGAGCAGGAGCGACTGCACTGCCAGGGCGTGCTCGTGCCCGGCAAGCCCGCCGCGCTGCCCGCGCGTGATCTGCCAAGCATTCTCGATCAGTGCATGCGTGTTGCTTCGCAGGACAAGCTGCCGCTCGTCGAGAAGTTCGGGCCGCGCTTCCGACGCATCGTCTGGACGAAGACCAACGCCGAGCAGACCATTTTCGTGTCGCTCGTGCGCGGCAACCAGCCCGACCTCACGCGCCTCGACGAGTACTGCATCCACCCGGCGCTCATCGACGCCTCGTGGCAGACCGTCGCCGAGGGCCTGGCGCAGCACTGCACGCGCCTCGGCGACAAGCTGATCGGCTTCTATCTGCCCAGCAGCATTGCCCGCTTCCGCTCCTTTGTCGACAAGGGCGGGATGCCCGCGCAGTTCTACAGTCTGGGCCGCATCAGCAGCGTGTCGCGCACGGAGATCAAGCTGGACATCGAGGCTGTGTCCGAGTCTGGCGATGTCCTGTTCGTCACCACCGGACTGGTCTGCCGTCGCGTCAGCCTGCTGGCCGAGCCCAAGACGCACAAGGCGCTCAGCATTGCCTGGCAGCCTCATGCCTGTCCCTACCCGATCGAGCTGGCGCCCGACGCGAGCTTCGAGCTTGCCAACGTGAGCATCGCTGACCGCAAGCTCGTCTACCGCGCGCTGGATGCGCTCGCCATCACAGCCGCGAAGCGGACAATGGCGACGCGGCCGACGTACGACGCTGCGCGACTCGACCGCCGACGCCACTACGAGTGGCTCGTCCAGACGTCGCAGCTGCCAGAGCAGCACGTCGGCGAGCTCGGCAGCGACACGCAGCGCCGTTTCGCGCCGCTCTTCGAGGTGATGCGCCGGGCGATGCTGCACCAAGCGAGCGCGCTCCTCGACGACAAGATGGTCATCTCGGAGCTGTTCGCCGAGGCGCACCTCATGACGGACTTCTACAAGATGACGACGACGCTCAGCCCCGCCTACCGCGCATGTGTGCGCCTCTTCCGAGACGTGCTGCTGAAGCTCGCTGCGCACGGCAAGAGGGTCATTCGCGTGGCGGAGATCGGTGCAGGCACCGGCCAGCGTAAGTCGCCTGAGCGAGGGCCCGGGCTCTTGCACTCGTACTCGACTGACACCCGGCTCGTTTCTCGCAGTCACACGCCAGCTCGCGGCCGTGGCGCTCGAGCTGCACGAAACGCGGCCAGACATCCTGATCGAATGGACCGTGACTGACGTGTCGCTGGCGCTTGTGCAGCAGGCAGCAGCGACGCTCGGTTCGCGCGGCGTCTCTACCAAGCTGTTCGACAGTGAGTGGCCTGCTGGATGTCGTGGGAGAAGCGGTATCCGCCGAGACTTGCGCCGCTCTTGGCGCCTGCGTAGTCGGCTCGGGCCGCGGCTCAGTGCTGATCCTATCACTCTGGCGCAGTGAATAGAGACGGGCCGTCGCAGGGTCTCGACGCCTGCAGCTTCGACATCATCCTGTGAGTCGTGATTCCTGCCCTCTGCGTACGCATCGAGGCGTTCTGACCGTGTACGTGCGCGTGCCCTTAGTGCCTCCGATGCGCTGCACGCCTGCGCAGACATCGATGCCACCCTGGCGCACGTCCGCGAACTCCTCGTTCCGGCCGGCTGCCTTCTCTTCACCGACGCGGACGGGCAAGGCTGGGAGGCAAGCCCGGAGACAGGCACGCCCGCGCACGGCACCATCTTCCTGGACGCCGTGTTCGGCTCGTTCTTTGGCTGGTGGGCCAGCGAGGACGAGCGAAGCCACCCTCTTCTCAGCGAGTCGAGCTGGCGCACGCACCTTTTGCGCCAGCAGTTCTCCGACGTGCACGTCTTGCGCGAGCACGGCGCAGCTCGTATCCTTTCGCACGTCACGATCTGTGCCCAGGCGAGCCCGGAGATCTACGCATCGCAGCTCGCGCGTCCAGACTTCAACGAGGTCGTCTGGCTTTCCTCGGAGCAAGAGCATCTGCTTTCTGCGGCCGTTGCCAAGCAGCCCGAGCGCCTGCTAGTGTGCAGCATCGATGACGCCGCTGCTGTGGCTGCACGGACAATAAGCGCGGAGACGGGCGTGGAGGTCTGGGCGCGCACGTTCGACGCTGCGTGCTCCACCGACGTGCAGCGTGGCGACTGGCCACTTCTTCCCGGCGAGCAGGCCATTCGAGTAGGCAGGGACGGCAGCCTGCAAGTCGCTCGCCTGGTGCCTCTGCTGGATACGATCTCGTCCGCGCCTCCGCCGCCTCCTGCGCACTACGCTCCGCCGTTCTGGCGACTCGAGCGCACGGCCGGCGCGGCGCACGTTGGCCTCGCTCAGGTGCACCTGCCCAGCCCGCACGGACGCGCAGAGCTGGAGCTCGAGGTCCAGCACGCAACTCAGCTGCTTCCTGGCGTGTGCGTGTCGAGCTGCACATCGCTCGGCCAGGCATACACAGCCATTGGCAGCGAGATCGGCAACGTGATGATCGCGCACCGCAGCATGTGCCTGGAAGTACCGCGCCAGCCGAACGACACGCCTCGCTTCGAAGACGTCTGCAACGGCTTCCTCCTCGGCATCGCACTCGTCCAGACTGGCCGGGACATGGCGTCGTTGCCCGAGCGCGTCCTTCTCGCGCTGCCGCCGCGGCTGACCCTGCGTCTCGGAAGCTATCTCACCCGGCTGGGTGTTCACGCGGTCGCGGTCGGGCCCGACATTCTCGACACGATGGAAAGCGTCTCGACGCGGGCGGACTGGCAGACGGAGCTCAGCCATCTGGCCGGCTTTGACGTCGCCATCGCAAGCGGAGACATTGCCCAGACGCTCGCGGCCTCGCGCGGCCTCTTTGCCGTCGAGGACGTCGTCGATCTGGACCGTCTTGACGTGGGCACGGAGAAGCATACGCTGGCCGACCTGGTGGCGCGCTCGGACCGTCGCGTGGCCGCCGCCATGCGCCTCGCCAGTAGTATCGCACAGAGCCGCAAGCCCCGCTCGCCCCGCCGGGCTCCGCCGCCTCCGACTCCTCTCGCCGAGCTGCTCGGCAAGTCAGCTGCCAAGGTGGGACAGACGTTCTCCGTGTCGCTGCGCGACGCGGCGCCTGTTCCCGCGAGCATCGCACGCGCTGGCGCGTGCAAGTTCAACCCGCGAGCGAGCTACCTTCTCTTCGGCGGCTGCGGCGGGCTTGGCCTTCTCATCGCTACTTGGCTCGTCCAGAACGGCGCACGCCACATCGTCTTGACATCGAGGTCGGGCGAGGCATTCTTCCGGCGGCCAGCATGCTACCGCGAGGCCGGCGTCCTGGCCGGCCTGCGCCAGCTGCCAGGCGTGCACATTGAGGTCGTCAAGGCCGACGGCGCGTCGCAGGCGGACACGCAGGCCGTCTTCGACAAGGTCATCGCCGCCAAGCTGTACCCGGCGGGCGTCTTCTGGCTGCCGGTGACGCTGTCGGACGGCTCCGCCGAGTCGCGCACCCAGGCCGATTTCGACATGACGCGTGCAAGCAAGACCGCCGGGCTCGAACACATTCTCAAGTGCCCGCTGTCCGCGTACTGCGACTTCATCATCGCAACGAGCTCCCTGGCGACTGTCGTGGGCTCGCCCGGCCAGGTGAGCTCGCCGGCTGTTTGCTCATCTGCTGCTCTTCGCTGACCTTTGTTCCTTGCAGTTGACATACGCAGTGGCCAATGCCCAGCTCGAGGCCCTGGCTCGGGGTCACTCAAACGTCGCCTCGCTTGTCGTGATCCCGGTGCTCGACATTGGCATCTACCGCCGGACGCTCGACGAGCTTCAGCAGGGAGCCGTGACGACGTCGGGGCGCCGGTGGGGCGTGACGGGCGAGTACTTTGTCGGCTTCGTGGCTGATTGCATCGAACGCCTGCGCCAGGGCACCGCACCGTCCGGTGCCTACGTGGTGAGTCGGGCCGCAGCAGTCCTCCTTATTCCGCCTACTCATGCCGTTACAGCCGCACTTCGACCGCGCCGACGACTACAGCTACATGGACGGCTCCCGCCTGACGGCTCACCTGGCGTCGCGCCAGGCCGTCGATGCGACGTCGAGCGACGGCACGGTCGACGGCATCACTGCGCTTGTCGCCTCGATGCTCGACCTCAAGCCGGCTGAGCTTCGTCCCGAAGTGCCGTAAGTAGACCCGGCGGAACCTCCCGCGCTTCTTACTGCCTCTGACCTCGTGCACCCATCAGCCTCGCCTCGTACGGTCTCGACTCGCTCACCGCGGTGCGCTTGAGCAGCGCACTTCAGCGCACGGCGAGCATCAATATGTCGCAGCTGCAGCTGCTCCTCGGCACGAATCTCCAGATGCTGCTCGACTTGGCCGCTGGACGGTCCAACACCGGCAGCAGCGGCCTCACCCGGCCGCGCGCCGGCAGCGCCCTCATCAGCCATGCGCACGCTGACTCGTACGAGGGCATCTTCTTCGAGGACTCTGCGCCGGACTCGATTGCAGTGCCGCTCAACACATGCACGGGCCGTGGGGTCTTCCTCGTGCCGGGCGCTGGCGGCAGTCTCTCGCTCTTCCTCAAGCTTGCGACCGACGCTCACTTCCCCATCGTGGCCTTGCGCGAGCCCGCCGGACTGGACAAGGCCAAGACGCTCGAGCAGATGGCTCGGGTCTTCGCAGACGCTGTCGGCGTCCATCAGCCGAGCGGCACGATTCTCCTCGCCGGCTTCAGCTTTGGCGCAACAGTCGTCGTCGAGATGCAGCGGGTGCTCGCCTCACGAGGCCGTGCGTGCGAGCTCGTCCTCCTCGACCACGCTCCCACGGCTCTGCACGCTCCGAGTCTCCTCGTACGGATCAGCAGCGAGGACGGCCAGACTGGCTCCGCCGCAGCGGCTGCGGCGGCCAACTCCCTCGTCTTTGCCTCGATGGCGACGGACGTGGCCGTGCGCGGCATCGGCTCGCCCTTTGCGCAGGTGCTCGACGTGCTGCGCCTGGCGATGCAGGGCACGCACTCTACGCGGCTCGCGCCCTGGACCACGGCGTGGGCGCTGGACTGCTCGCGCCATCTGCGTCTGCTCGCGGGCTACGCCAAGGAGCGCCTGCCCTACGGCGGTGCCGTCCGCGACGAGCGTGTGTCGTGCCCGGTGACGCTCGTGCTCGCATCTACGGGCCTCGTGACGCAGCTCGACGAGCAGCTGGATGCCCAGTGGGTCTCCTCGCTCGACGTCGAGCGGCTCAGCCCAGCCGCAGACGTGGTGCGCGTCGAGGGCACGCACTACTCCATCCTCGACTCTCCCGAGCTCAGCGCACTGCTGAGCAACATGGTCGCCCGCCAGTAGCCGCCTCGATCTCGCTCGCTTGTGCTGGTCCGCGGTGCCCGCAAGCATCTCAGACGGTGCCATGCCTTACTCGACACTCTCGCTCCTTGATTGCTCGACTCTCTCGCTGTACGATCTCTCTGTCCCTACGCCGTCGCTCCACGACGCCCGGCCTTCGCCGCGCGCGCGCATACTCGTTACCCAGCCGCGTGTCCTAAAACACACTCTCTTCACCTCCCTCGTGCGTCGCAGACTCTGCGCGGCAGAGGCCTGTCGCGAGCCGAGTATTTTGGCTGGCCGCGGCAAGATGCGAATGGGCGGGGCGACGGCGGCGTGAGGGTGGTACGAGCTGCCGTCGCGTGGGAAGCTGGGCCCTGCAGAGCTGCACCGACGTCGGCCTCGCTCCACTCCAAGGCGGTACTGCCCCAGGGGATGTTCGGAAGCTGCTGGCATGCGCGATGCGTGCTGGTGAGCGCAGCCGCTGCCGGTCGAGCGCCGGCGAGGCAAACGGCAGGCGTGCGCGTCCGCATCGGCTGCTGCAGCATCAGCTCTTCGCCTCTTAGCGCTCAGGTTATGCCGCAGCAGCAGCCGTATGCCGCGGCTGATGCGGCCCTTCCCTTTGCTTCTGCTGTCTTTCTCTGCCGCTGTTCGGGGCCAGTCATCAGCGAGCTCCTGCTGCCTCGGCTGCGCTCTGCTGGGATCCTCGCTGCCGTGCGCACGCGCCGCCGCAGCTGCCCCACGCGCGCGCGCGCGCCGCGGCGGCGGCGGCGTGGCGTGGGCGCCCGTGCACGCGACCCCACACCCGCCAATCAGCCAGTGATAATGGACCAGATCCGTGGGGCCGGCGGATGAACAGGCCGAAGCTATCCTGTCCCGAGGGGGCGACAGGCATGCTGCCGCCTCGCAGCTGCACGCAGCGGAGGCGCCGTGGCGGCGGTACCCGCGGCAACCTCCTCGGTGCTGACTGTCGTGCGACCTGCGAGCGGCAGCGGGTGATGGAGCAAAGGCACCTCTACGCCTTCCATGGCTGCATTGCCGAAGCCACGGATGCGGGGAGTCATAGCTGTTGGCATTCGAGACCCCTACCTGCTGCTACAGCGGCCATTGGCTGGAGACCTTCGCCTCAGGACGTGTGCTCGCGGCCCGAGCGAGCGGCACAGCAGGGGGAGACGGACGGCGGGCGAAGGCAGACAGCGCACACATCAGCGTCGCAGTCTGAGTGCAGCCCGCGGGTGCAAGAGCGTCTGAGATGCATCCTCGGGCGGCAAGCATGGCCGAGCTCGGCCGCGGCGTCCGGCGGGTCTCGGGACGCTAAGCGCGAGGAGCTTGGAGGTGGCCCAAGCGCGCGCTACGCTGTGATGCGAGTGGGCGAGAGCAAAAAGGGGCTGGGGAAGCGAGCGGCGCGCGCGGCGGGGCCGCCGCCGCGCCTCAAGGGGCGCTCTCCATCGTGTGGAGACACCGGCCGTGCCGCCGCAGCAACGCCGCCTCGCGGCTGCTCCTCTGCCCTGCGGTGCCAAGATGGCATGGCTGAGCCCAGGAAATAGCGGCTCGTGCAGGCGGCCTGCGTTGTGTACAGAGCAATGTTGATGCCGGCCGTGGCGCTCCGCTCAGCACGGCAGGAGCGGTGCGGACGGCGGGCGGCGACATCTGCCCCCGCCTCCGCCGTGTGCCGCCGCTCATCAAGCAAAGATTGCCCACCCTCCGGCCCGGCGATCGGTGCCCCGCTTCTCGCATCGCAGGCGGTGGGGTACATATAAGCTGCTGTGTGTGGAGTTGGCGCTTCTCTTCCTCCTCCCATCTCCCCGAGCCGCTCGCCCACGTATCCACCGACGCCGACCCACGCACCTCAAACGCCATGACCGACCTCCAGGCGCAGACCTCGCACTCGCCCTCGCACGGCGAGAAGACGCTGGCCTCCGGCGAGCACTCGCAGCTGCAGGGCGGTGCGCCGCTGGCCAGCGGGCCCAGCGTCGTCGACGGCCGCCGCTACCCTCGTGGCGGCGACTACGAAGGTGCGTTCGCGACGGCCACGCCGTCGCTGCCTCTCCAGCGCTGATGCACGCCGCCTCTACAGCGCAGTACCTTGACACCAAGGAGCTGCCCAACTTCCAGGCGCTCTCGCGCATCGGCAAGTGAGTCTGCTGCGGCAGGCAACGCGGCAAGTGTGCAACAGCTCATGCGCCATCTCTCCAGCCCCACGGCGCTCGGCATCGTCTCGTTCTGCGTGCCGCTCACCATTGCGTCGATGGCGCTCATGCGCTTCGGCACCCTCGAGCTGACCGCCACCTGGGCGGCCGTGGGTCCGTACACGGTACGTCTGCGCGCCAAGCTGCGCGCGGCAAGCGCTGACACGAGGTGTCCGCAGTTCATCGGCGGCATGGGCATGCTTCTCGCTGCTATCTTCGAGATCATCGCGGGCAACAGCTTCGCCTTTGTGGTCTTCGCCTCTTTCTCCGGTGAGCCTTGCTCCAGGCTGCGAATCGCGCATGCGCCGTTGGCGCCAACCACCGAGCTGCGGCCGCTTCGCCGTCACGCGTAGCGTCCTCCACGCGGCCAGCCATGCTCACCATCCGCTCCCGCAGGCTACTGGTTCTCGCTCAGCAGCGTCTTCAACACCAACTTCGGTCTCGCCGCCACGACGACTGCTCAGAGTGAGTCAAGGCTGCCGGCTGCCGCAGGTGTAGCTCGTGGCTGACCTTGGACGCGTGTCACGCTCAGCTGCGGCGATCGGCGCCGTCGCTGCCGTGCAGCAGAACCAGACCCTCGGCTTCTGGCAGGTGAGCAGCAGCCGACACACGCCGGTCGCAGCCTCGTCGCTGACGCACTCCTGCGCCAGATCACCTACGTCATCATGTGAGGCCAACGCAGTCTTGTCCTGACAGTGCGACGCTGACATCGCCCTCTAGCGACACCGTCTTCCTCATCTGCTCGCTGCGCACGAACCTGGTGTTCATCATCATCTTTGCGGCGCTGTGGCCGACGTTCGTGTGCCTGGCGGTGATGCTGGTGAGCCCTCTGCGACTCGTGCTGCTGCCTGCGCGCCGCTCACCTGCCCGCGCCACAGACCAACGACGGCCTCACGCTCACGCAAGTCGAGCACTGGAGCAAGGCTGCGGGCGCCTTCGGCTTCATCGCCAGCATCACGGGCTGGTACCTCTTCCTCGCGCTCATGGTCGGCGACAGCGGCCACGCGTTCAAGATCGTGAGTCACCTCGGCTCGCCGTGGCGCTCCAGAGAGACCGCTGACACTTCATCGCAGCCCGTGGGCGACCTCAGCTCGTTCTGGACCGGTCGCGACGACAAGCGGGCCAGCAAGAGCCGCACCGACTAGCCACATCGCCCACGAGCCCTCCAAATCTGTCTACTTACGACCCTTTACCCCTCGACCCCTCCCAAGCATGCCTTGATGTAATATGCGTGACGACGCGAGACGCATGGGATATATTGCCGAGCTGTCCTAGCTCTCGACGTGCTCCGCCTCGGCTGCGACTGGTGCGGCGGCCTGCGCCGCCTCGACGTCCGCGTCGGCGGGCTCGGCTGAGGAGGTCTGCTCGCCGTCGCCAGGGGCATCCGTAGTGACATCGAGTAGCAGACTCGATGGGCTAGCATCGTCTTCGGCGTGCTCGCCTACCGCTTCCGAGGTCTCGGCAGAGCTGGAGGCGGGCAGGACCTCGGCCGCGGAGGACTCGCTCGGCTGCTCGCTCGTGCTGATCGGGGCGTCGGCAGGCGCGGCCGCGGACTCGGCCGCAGGCTCGATGTCGCGTGCCTCAGTTGGCGGCGGCGCTGCGTTGCCAACGCTCGTGGGCGGCTCCAGGGGCGGTGAAGACGAGCCCAGGGTCTGCTCCGGCGCCTTCGGCTCCGCTGGCGACTCGTCTTCCGCCGCACCAGCGGCAGCGACAGCCGGCAGATTTGCTACGGGAGCTGCATCGGTGCTGTCGTTGTCGTCGAAGACCGGTGAGCTCTGCGCCAGCTCTGCATCGGTAGGTGCCTCGTCCAGAGTGCGGAGCTTTGGGCTGGTCGGTGACAGCTGCGCGCTGCTGGTCGTGCCCGAAGCCAGAGTGCGCGGGCTCGTCCGAGCGGCGAGGGCGGCCGGAATAGCACGGACGGGCGACGTGGACATGCTCGAGACTGGTGGCGGCGGGCCGTCCAATTGCGGCGGCCCTCCTGCGCCTCCGGCAGGGATCAGATCCGGACCGGGGCTTGGGCGCGTCTGTGGTGATGTCTGCGGGCTAGTTGCAGGGCTCGCCGACGATTCGGCCGCTGCTGCTGCAGCGGCCGCGGCCGCAGCAGCGCTGGCTCGGCGTCCGACACGCGGCTTGCCCAGGCTGAGCTGCTCCTTCGTGGGGAAGACAGTGGGCGGCGGCGGGTCTGGGATCTCGTCTGCGATCCCGAGCAACTCGCGCAGCCGAGCGTTCTCGAAGCGCAGCCGCTCCTCTTCGGTGAGCTCCTCGAGCGCAGCGAAGGCGCCAGCGGCGTCCGGGTCGCCAGCTGGCCCCGTGTACCCGCCAGATCCGTGCCAGCGCGGATCAGCAGAGGGCGCCGAGCCATAGCCGCGGGGCATCGGTTGAGCAGCACCGGAGAGGGCGCCGACGCTATATGCTTCCAGATCTGCGGAGGAGGGCGAAGACGGTGCCTCACCCTCGAGCGAGCGCAGCGCCATGCGCACGAGCGAGCCGAGCTGCGTCAGCTGCGTCGACATGGATGTCTCTTGGGTGAGGGACCCGGAGGCGGCGTTGTAGGCGCTCTGCGAGAGCAGCGACTCGTAGTGCGACGTGAGCTGCAGCGTGTGCTGCTGTGTGGCGTGCTGAGGTGCAGGCGCGTCAATGTCTGTCGTGACGGGCGGGCCGTGCAGCAACACCCACCGAGAACGTGCGGAACTTGCCCATGACGGTCTCGAGCGTCTGCTCGTACTCGCGCAGCAGCAGGTTGAGCTGCCGGTTCTCGTGCGCCAGCGACTGGTTCTCCATAACCAGCGACGCATTGATGCGCTCGAGGCTCGACTCGAACTTCTCCTTGGAGATGTCGAGGTTGAAGCGGCGCAGCGAGTAGCCCGTGCTGGCATGGATGGCCTGGCCCTGAGTCGCGGCAGGAGCGCGCGTCAGCAGAGGCAACGGCCGGCAGCACAGCCAGGCGCTCTCACTTTGAGCTCGTCGAGCTGCTGCTGCAGACTGGTGCACAGCTCGCGGTTCGCCGACAGCTGCGCCGAGAGCTCGGCGACGAGGCCCCAGATGCGCTGCAGCTCGTCTCCCTCCACCAGCGTCATGGCGGGCGCAGAGCGGCCGGGCGTGAGGAGTGAAGCGGCCCAGTCGTGCGAGGATTCAGACGCGTGCAGGCGTGCGGATCACGGAGAGCAGCGGAGGAGAGAGCGATCGTCTGGGCAGGTGAGGTCGGGGTGGAGCAGTGAGTGGGATGGGCAAGGCGCATGCGCGATGCCGCACGGGGCGCGCGGCGCTGGCGCGGCGTCTGGATGGAGTCGAGTGCTCGCTCCCACGGTGCCTGTCACGTGTGGCCGCCCGCCAAAAATGTGAGAGCGGAGCAGCGGCGGCGGCCTTCTCGCACCGCCGAACAGCGAGCTCTCCTCCCTCCTGCACACCAGCAGCCCTCGCACCGCCTTCTCGCCACTCCTTGCATCTGCACAGCTCTGCCCAGAATCTCACCGCCGCGAGCTCCAGATCCTCTCGACACCAGGCAGTGCTGCCGCTGCTGCGATGCCCTCGGCCTCCTCCTCCTCCTCCGCCGCCGCCGCGCCCGGGCGCACACAATACCTGCGTCTGCGCGGCCACGCTGCGTTCCGCCAGCGCCTCGTCCTCGCCTGCCTCACCGGGCGGCCGCTGCGCATCGACGGCATCCGTGCCGAGGATGCCGAGCCTGGCATCCGCGACTTTGAGGCTGGCTTCCTGCGCCTGCTGGAGAAGTGCACCAACGGCAGCGTCGTCGAGATCGGCTACACGGGTGAGTGCCGGTGCAGTCGGCGCTGCAAGTCATGAGCGGGCTGCATGCCGCTGCAGAGCACTTGGAGCGTTAGCTCACCGCGTCTTGCAAAGGCACGTCCATCTCGTTTCGCCCGGGCACGATCAGTGGAGGCGATGTAGTGCACGACTGCGGCACGGCGCGGCCCGTCGGCTACTTCCTCGAGTGGCTCGCTCTGCTTGCGCCCTTTGCGAAGAAGGAGCTGCGCCTCACGCTCAAGGGCATCACGACGGGCGAAGGAGATCTTGGAGTGAGCCATGTGCGCTGCTGACTGTTCTGCTGCCGCCACTGACGTGCCTACTCCAGGTGGACTTGCTGCGGACTGTGACGCTGCCGCTTCTCTCGCAGTTTCTGCCCGAGGGCACGAGCTTCGCGGCGCCTTTGGAGCTGCGTGTCCTGTCGCGCGGCATGCCGCCGCTCGGCGGCGGCTCGGTGCAGTTCCGCTGCCCGCTCTTGCCGACGACGACGGGCCTGCGCACACTCGACTTCACCTCAGCCGGCCGCGTTCGCCGCCTGAGAGGCGTTGCCAGCGCCGCCCGTGTCAGCCCGAACATGGCCAGCAGACTGGTGGATAAGAGCCGTGGCATCCTCGGCCGCTACGTGCCTGATCTCTACGTCTTCGCGGATGTGTTCCGAGGCGAGGAGGCCGGCAAGTGAGTACGCCGCATTGCGGCGCGAAGGTGGCGCTCACACGGTCGTGTCTTGCTCAGATCGCCAGGATTCGCCCTGTCTCTCGTCTCCACGTCCACGACGGGCGTGCTCCACTGCGCCGAGGCGCTGTCTGGCCCCGGCGTGCCGCCCGAGGACGTGGCGGAGCGCGCATCGCACGCGCTGCTGTGTGAGATTGCGAATGGCGGCTGCGTCGGCCGGTCGCACCAGGCACACGCGCTTCTCCTCATGGCGGTCGGCCCGGAGGACGTGGGTCACCTGCGTCTGGGCCAGCTCACGGCGAACGCCGTCCAGATGCTGCGCGACATCAAGGAGTTTACGGGCGTGAGCTTCAAGATCGCGCCGGCGCTCGACTCGGCCGCCGACGAGGCCGCAGCCGGCGACGACGAGGCAGAGCGGCCCAAGCGGCCGCAGGAGCTCATCATGAGCTGCGTTGGCTGTGGCGTGCGGGGCGCGCGCAAGGCCGCTTAGCGATGCCTCTCGGATGGCCGCCCCACGCACCGGGCTTGCACACTGGTCTCCCCTCGTCGTCACCTGCATTTGTACTCTATCATGCCATTCATCAGTCCGTGCCTCATCGCAGCCACGCATTGTCTGGCGGCCGAGAGCTTCGGTGGTCCACGCTGCTTTGGCGGGCGCTGGTCGGCGTGAAGGCGCCGGAGACGCGCCTGCTGGCTGGGCGCGATACGCTGACGTCCTCGTCAGAGCCGCCTCGACTGCCGGAGCGGCGCATCGGGTGTCGTGCGCCGCGCGTGCCGGTCCCGGCCCCCAGCCGACGCACGTCGCCGTCGTCGTCGCTCTCGCTGAGGCCCTCGTCTGCGTCTCGCTCGCCCGGCGGCGCCCAGCCAGTGTCGCCCGGCATGCCCCAGACGATCTGGTCTGCGGCGGCGTCGTCTGCGGCCGCGGCAGCCGCGGACGCTGCAGCATCGGCTCGTCGTGCGGCACGGCGCTCTTCGTGCTTGCGCGAGGCGACGCTGTTCGTGAAGAGCGGCGTGAGATACCGCTGGTCGAGCGTGCTGAACCAGCGGCCGTCGCGCATGATCAGGCCGGCGCGGTCGAGGAAGGCGCGCACGCTGTGGTCCTCCGTCGCAGCCAGCGCTTCCGAGTTGACGCCGGCGACGCCGTGCGAGGCTCCTGGCAAGACGTCGTCGGACATTGCGCTAGCGCCATCTTCTTCGTCGCCCAGATCGTCGTCGCGATACAGAGGCCGCGAGTCAGGCGCGCTCTTCGCGCCGCGGGAGGAAGAGTAGCCTTGACGGCGCCGCACGCCGGCCATCCGCACCTGGCGGGCATTGACGAAGCCAGCCTCATCTTCGTCTGACGAACCCTCCTCGTCCTCCACGCCCGTCCGGATGCCGAGGATCTGCAGCATCTGCGCCGTTGTGCCGCCGAACGCGACTACGGTGATGACGACTGCGACGAGTACGGTGGTCTGCAGCGCAGCCGCATTCTGGCCCTCGATGCCGGCGCTGAGCGCGAAGCCGACCGCTCCGCGCAGGCCCGCCCAGAAGAGCATCATCTGGTACTCCTGCGATAGCTCCTCGTCGTGCGCCGCCTGTACGCGCATCGCCCCGGGCGGGCCACGCCGCGCACGGCGGGCATTGCGCGCGCGCTTGAAGGCATTAACGAGCGCGGCGATCGGAAAGACGGCGCAGTACCTTGAGGCTACGACGGCCGCGACCGTGACGATGATGAAGAGCGGCTTGTAGACCAGCTGACTCTGCGTGAACAGGCTGAGGCCGAGGTAGATGAAGATGAAGTTCTCAGACAGCTGCAAGGGCGATGAGAGGTCAGCAGGGCACTGGCACGAGCTACCAGACGTGCGCACATTGGCGAGGGTCTGGAAGATGTACTTTGTTGCGCGCTGCGTCCGCCGCGACATGTTATGGTAGGCGTAGTGCTTGAGCGTGATGCCGCAGAAGAGCAGCGAGACGATGCCTGGCGGGCGGTGTGGTCAGCGCCGCGCAGCGGACACTCGCCCCACCGGACTCACCTCCCATGCCCACGCCGTTGCTGAAGAAGTAGCTCGTGTAGGCGATCAGCGCGACGAGGCAGCTCTCCAGCTGCGGATAGGCGCTCAGGCGCGAGTGCTTGAGCATCAGACTGCAGCCCAGCCCAAAGCAGACGCCGAGCGCCATGCTGAAGGTGAAGACGAAGAGGAAGAGCCCGAGGCCGTGGAAGAGCGTCGAGATCGAGATTGGCTGGCCGCGGAACGTGGAGAGCACGCTGGAGACGACCTCAGATGGGCACCTATGCAGCGCGCTGCGGAGCCAGACTCACTCGAACATCACGATGGACACGGCGTCGTTGAGGATCGACTCGCCGAAGATGACACTGTACAGCTGCGGGTCGACCTTGTACGTGTTGAAGATGGCGAGGATCGTGACGGGGTCCGTCGCACTCAGCGTCGAGCCAAAGATCAGACACTCGAGCAGCGTCAGGGAGATCGACTCGAGATGCAGCAGCGACCAGAGGTAGACCAGCACACTGTACTGCAAGATCAGCTCGCTGTCTCCTGCCCGCACGCACGCACACGGCACTCACCCGATGACGATGGCGCTGATGAACGTGCCCGCGAAGGCGAACGTGAGGATCACGCCAAAGTTGCGGAAGAAGTTCTCCTATCAAGCGCAAAAGCATCAGGTCCTGCAACCCCAGGATACTTCACATCCGGATCTTCTGCCGCCGCTGCAGACCTCCACGCGCCGCACTCCTGCTCACCTGGCGCAGATCGTAGCCGCTGCTGAGGATGATCGGCGGCAGCAGCACGTTGAGCATGATGGTGTTGGAGAAGCTGAGCATGTTCTGCACCTGCTCGCCCGGCCCGACGCGCAGCGCGGCGCCGACGACCATGCCGGCAAAGAGGCCGACGATGGTCTCGTGCACGGCGGTGATCTTCTTGATCTTGAGGTAGTAGCTCGTCCAGAAGGAGAAGATGAGGAGCAGCAGCACGAGGAAGAGGGCGAGCGACGAGTCGCGCTCAGCCTGCTCGGCCGGCGGCGGCACGGGGTGTGCCGACGGCGACGCCGACGCCGTGGGCAGCAGCGAGGCGAGCGAGCTGGCCAGCGTGCTCGTCAGCGAGCCGTCGCCGGCGCTGAGCGTCGACGTGGCCGGCGGCGGGTCGAAGACGCCGTTGCCCATGGCCGGCAGCGGGCGGGGGATGCGGGCTGCGGCGGCAGAGGGGTAGACGCAGGGCTGCGTGCGGCGCTGCGGGCAGGGAGCGGTGGATGTGGAAGGAGACGAAGAGGCGCCGCAACCGGCCGTCGGGGTCGGTGTGGGCGCCGCTGCTCTGCTGCAGCCTGACGCCGTCCTGCCGCGCCGCGCGCGCTCTCTCGTCTGCGGGACACGGGACCCCCGGCAGCGACCGCTGCGACCCCGTCTTGGACTCGCGGCGCCTCTTTCTTTCTTTCTAGACTGACATCGCACAAGCACAGGCGATCGTCCAGCTGGAGCTCATACCAGGCCGTGGCGCTGTGCGGCGCTGGCGGCAGCGACGCCTTCGCGAAGCATCCGCGGCCGGCGCCCTGCCGAGCAGCAGCATGAAGGGACGTGCGCGTCGCCGGCTCCGGCGCGCCTGAGCGACTGCTAGGCGTGAAACAAGGGCAGTGCCGCCTAGGCCACCCTCGCAGCCGCCCGCTGTGCGCTTGGCGGGCGCTCAGCCGCTTGTACGATGCCAGATATGCAGCGGTGCTTGTGCAAATGAGAGCTAGGGCTACTCAGCCTCCCTTGCCAAGCCACAGGAGGACTGGCGTGGAGACGAGACACCGCGCTTTTCGGCGCAGGCCGTGCGCAAGTAGGCTCGACTTCGCCTCATACTGCTCGAGGATGGTTGAGACCCGACTCGACGCCATGCTGAGCTTCTTCTGTGCATTTTGCAGCCTACTGCTGGGGCTGTCACAGCGCCCGATGTGCCGCTGCGGCGAGCGCTGCCTTGTCCCTTCACCATGGACGTGCCTCGCAAAGGGGCTCGCAGCAGTCGGCGCAGCACCGATGTGGCAGCGTCTGCGCGGCGCGGCCGGCGCGGCGGCGGCGGCTGCCGCTGAGTCGCGCTCTATGCTGCTGCCGCCGTGCCTGCCTGCCGGCCGCGCCGTCGCCTCGCGCCGCGCGCCGCCGCAACGTCAAAGCGGCGTGGCGTGCCACGGCTGCGCGGCGCAGGCGGAGTGCCTGGCCCGGCGACGCGCGCACACGCCGCCCGCACCTGCCGTTGCACCACCACCTCTCTCTCTCCCCTCATCGCACCCGCACGCTGCCCGCCATGAACCCCGAGTACGACTAGTGAGTGCCAGCTGGCTGCAGCACGTCGCGTTGCCGAGCGACTGCGCCCGCCAGAGCGCACATTGCCGCAGCATGCTCATACAACCCGCGCAGCCTCTTCAAGCTGCTGCTCATCGGCGACTCGGGCACCGGCAAGTCCTGCCTGCTGCTGCGCTTTGCCGACGACACCTACACCGAGAGCTACATCTCCAGTGAGTCGCATCTCGCCGCGTCCAGGCTGACGGGCTGCTGCAGCTCGAGGGCAGCAGCCACGGGCTCGCTTGGGCGGGGCATGCTGTCGGCCGCTGCGCAGTGCTGACACGCGCGCCGCTCAGCCATCGGTGTCGACTTCAAGATCCGCAGCCTGGAGTTTGAGGGCAAGACGATCAAGCTGCAGATCGTGAGTGCCGCAAGCGCTGGACCCAGGGTCGAGAGGAGCCCGGCGCGTCGCGCAAGCGGTCTAGAGATGGGGCGCTAGTCGGCTTGCGCGGGCCCACGTCTGGCTGGAGCCAGATAGAGCATGGCTACGCGGCCAGATGCGCGGCCCGACTGGCCGCCCTGCGACGCAGATGGATGTGAAGTGGCAGGCTCGCGCACAGCTGCCTTGAGGCCGGAAAGCACCGGATCGATGCCGGGAGATGCTGTGCTGGCGGCGCGATGGAAGCGGGTCGATAGAGAAGAGGCGCAACCTGGTCAGTGCCTAATGCTTGCCTTTACAGTGGGACACGGCAGGACAGGAGCGCTTCCGGACCATCACCTCGTCGTACTACCGCGGCGCACACGGCATCATCGTCGTGTACGATGTCACGGACCAGGGTGAGGGCACGGCGTTGCATCGATGCGCCAGGAGCGTAGACTTACACGCGCCGGCCAGACACGTTCGCGAACGTCAAGCAGTGGCTGCAGGAGATCGACCGGTACGCCTGCGAGGGCGTCAACAAGCTCATGGTCGGCAACAAGAGCGACCTGACGAGCAAGAAGGTCGTCGAGTACAACACCGCCAAGGAGGTATGTTGCCGCTGCGTCATGCCGCGCTGTGCCGGACACTGACGCTTGTGGTTCGTGCGCGTCTGCAGTTCGCAGACCAGCTCAACATCCCCTTCCTGGAGACGAGGTGCGGCGCGCCTCGGGTCTGCTGCGGTGTCAGCTGCTGAACACGATCCCTACAGTGCCAAGGCATCGACGAACGTCGAGCAAGCATTCCTGACCAGTGAGTCGGCGAGCTTGGCACGCCCTGCTTTGCACCTGCTAACACGCGTCTCTGCAGTGGCCAAGCAGATCAAGGACCGGTGCGGCGTCCGACTCCCCAGCTCTGCGTGCCTCTGCTCACGCTCCACTTCGCAGTATGGGCTCGACGGCCGTCAACAACGCCGCGGGCGGCAAGTCGAACGTCAAGCTCGGACAGGGCCAGTCCGTCGGCGAGAACGCACAGGGCGGCTGCTGCTAGACTCTGCGCGCTCCGTGTCTGTGCCTCTGGTGGATCTGGTCCAATTACTACCCTTCTAGCTCCGTCGCTGGGTGCAGTCGTCGCTGTCGCACAGGCATGCGGTAGGAGCTGGCGTCAGGGATCGCGCGCGCAACGTGCATCTCCGCACGCGTCAGCAGCCTGGGTCAAGCGGAGCAGTGCGTGGCGCGCTGCCGACGGGCTGCTCTCGGCAGGTCGTGCACAGGCGCAGCATGCATTGAGACCGGCACAAATAAGGGAGCAGATGTAGGGTATGAAGTGAAGGGACTCGGAGGCCGCGCAGGGATCAGGCGGCCCCCTGACTTGCGTGGAAGCGCGGGTCAAGCAGGGTAATGGCTGCGCATGGAGGTCAGCGGCGGTGCGGAGGGGTCATGGGCCACAGCTGCGCACCTTCGGTTGCATCGAGGTATATGCTGTCTTCGCGGCCGGCCGCGCCCTCGCGCGCGCCGCCGGGACGCCGCTGGGCGAAGAGCTTGGCCATCTCGGGCGCCGAGGCGTCGTGGACGGGCGGCGACGAGGTGGCGAGCGTCTCGAGTCTGTCGGCCGACTCAGACGGCGCCGAGGACAGCGCTGCGCTGCTCTGCGACGCGCTTCCGGCCGTGAAGGCGAACTCGGGCGAGGCGTCGGTCTCGACGCTTGGCGTCACGGCCGGCGTGGCGAAGGTCGAGGTGGCCCCGGCCTCGTCTGTGGAGCTCTCGTGCTGGCCTTCGTCGACGTCCAGCACGGGCGGCAGGCCGGCAGGCTTGGCCTCGACGATGGTGCTCTCGCCCTCGAGCTCCGCTTCCGGCTCAGGCTCGGGCTCCGGCTCGAAGAGCCAGTCATGCGTCGTGATGATGAGCTTGACGATGTGCGCTGCTCGGCCGATGTTGCCGAACGACTGCGCCACGCTCGCGGGGCCGGGCGGTGGGTTCAGCAGCGACGTGCCGAAGACGAGGCCGATGTTGTGCGGCGCCATAAGGTTGCGCTCGCCCTCCTCGACGACGCGCGCCAGATGCTCCGAGACGCGGCGCAGCACGTCAAAGTGCGGCTTGGGGAACTCCCAGATGATGTCGCGGATGGCGTACAGGCGCTCCTCGTGGTCCTCGATGCGCTCGGCGTCGATGAGGGCGTTGTAGAAGGCAAACGGCACGGCCGGCTCCGGCAGGTCGCGGAACCACTGCTTGATCGCGCCGGCGATGGTGTGCACGTCGCTGAAGTCGCCCTGTGCCAGGTCGATCGTGTCGGCCGGCTGCTTGCTGAAGGCGACCTTGAGGCCCTCGATGGCACTCTTGGCGCCCGAGATGCGGTAGATGCCCTGCTCCAGCAGGCCTGGGCGTCGTAGCGTCAGCAGCGAAGCGAGCCGCGGAGACACGACATCACTTACCTCTTGCCTCGACCTCAGCCAGCATGCGCTCAAGGCCCAGGGGCACGCTCCGCCCGTCGCGCTCGGCGAGGGTCATGATCGGAATGCTGTACAGCGGCATTACTGCAAAGAGCGGCATGTCAGCTACGCAGCTTGAGCCCATGAGCAGCCGCTCGACTCACCAGCAGCGCGGCCGTTCTTGCCCAGTCGGTTGGCATCGGTCGAGCGCGCGACCGCGTACTGCTTGGCAGCCTTCTCCAGCTCGCTGAACCACTCTGCGGCGTCGCTCTGCGAGGGCGCCTGGAACAGGTGATTGTCGCCGTCGGCAGAGGACAAGTGGAAGACGTGCGAGCGCTGCGAGTTCAGCCACGGCACGATGCGAGCGGAACCGACGCGGATGGTCAGTGCCGGCTTCTGGGCGGGCACGGCGTCGATGAGCTCGGCCGCCGAGCGCGTGACGACATCGGCCTTCTCGCTCGGCCGCATGGCGCCTCGGAACAGTGCTGTCACGCGGCGAGCCCGCTTCTCGACGGAGCTTGCCGCAGGCGGGCCTACTGCCGCGGGTGGCAGTGGGCCATTGACGCCGGGTGCCGACAGGCTCGTGCGCATAGCGGTGTCTGCAGAGCTCTGCGCTCGGGCAGCTGCCTGAGCAAGGTGGGCGGCATGCTCGAGGAGCTCGAACGCAGCGCGGTCGCGGCGATGCTTCTCTTGCTGGTCGGCCGTGTACGAGGCCAGCGGCTTGGCGAGGCGCAGCTTCGAGGCCGGCAGGAGAGGTGCCGCCGCAGCTTCCTGTGCTGCATCCTCCTTGAACATGCGCCGGTCCCAGGCGACCTTGCGCAGAGCGGTCTGCATAGCGTTGAGGCGCGCGCCGGCCAGCTCGACCATGCGTGCGTCGGCCTCGGCGGGGCGAATGCGCATCGACGAGTCGATGAGGTTCCAGACCGTGCGCGACTTGTCAAAGTCGATGAGCGTGCTGTCCGCCTGCACCAGATCGGACGTACGCGTCACGGCCTCGGCGAGCGACTTGAGGATCCAGCCCACGTCTGGCGTGCTCGACTGCTCGGTCGCGTCGTTGAATGCGGCGGCGCCACGGCCCGACGGGAGCAGACCCGTGAGGCTATCGCCGTTGGCTTCGCGAGCCGCAGCAACGCCGTGCCATGCTCGCACAAAGATGCGACTCTCTGAAGCAGTAAGGCTGCCGACGATGACGCTCTCGACGAATGAGGCGATCGTCGGCTCGCGGAAGGGCCCGGCAGGAGCAAACGGGCCCGACGCCTCGTCGTCCATCCGCAGGCGGGCCATGCGCGCGCGGCAGATCCGCACGGCGTCGATCAGCTTGGCAAGCCGAGCCTGCCGCCGCTCGAGACCGATCCGAGACTCGATGCTGCAAAGGGGAGCGTCAGCGACTCTGCCAAGCCCGGACGAGCGCAGCGTGACTCACATGTGGATCGCGATCCATCCGCGCAGCAAGTTCTGCGCGGCGCACGCATCACGAAGCGCAGGAGGCAGGCGCTGGTGCAGCGACGGCGCGTCTCGCGCATCGCCCGGCTGGCGCAGGTGCTCGAGCAGCTTGTACATGTTTGGCGGCAGAGCCGTCTCCTCGGCAGCGCCCGCATTGCCCGCGCGCGTGTGCCAGCCGGTTGGCGAGGCAGCCTGGTGCTCAAAGAGCTCCGCGGCGATGAGCAAGTCGCGCTCGACGACCTTGTCGAAGAAGACGGCGGCGATGGACTCGAGGAAGTTGACGAGCTCCGGCGGAGACGCACGGTCGAAGTCGAGCTCGACGCTCTGTGCCCGGTCGCCGGCTGAGCTGGGCGCCTCGGATGTGCTGGCCGCCGCGCTCGGCTGTTCCGGCGGCCGCACATTCGCGCACATGACGCTGGTGCGCAGCGTCGCGCCGAGCTCGCTCAGCGCCGAGCTGATCTTATCGTAGTCCGGGTCGTCGGCACGCGACGTCGTCAAGCTGTTGCGCACGACTGCAAATGACAGTGCCGAGTTGTAAAGCTCGGCGTCGTCGGCAAAGTCCTGCGGGCAGCGCTGCGCCCACGTGTGCAGGAGCGAGATGACGCCGATGCGGATGCGCGTAGCGATGTCCCAGTCGACGGGCTCGGTGCGAGTGGCAGCGACGTCGCCGCGCGACCACGACGGGAAGGGGCTCGAGGAGCGGTGCTGCATCGGCAGCGCCATCTCGCGGCTGGCATTGATGGCAGCCGAAAAGCGCTTGACGAGAAAGTCGAAGAGCACCAGCGGCGCGCAGATGCGCCGGAACGTCGCCAGAAAGACACTGCGGAATGCGGCCACGTCCATCGTGAGGCGGGCGCGCCGCACCGGGCTCAGCGGCGCCTCTCCCTGGTCGTCTGACGTATTTGCAGACAGGTGCTGCACGCCCATGACCAGAACGTCGACTATAGCGCAGACAGGTCAGCAGAGTACATGCGCGGGTCGCGCACTCTTGTACATACCGAGACGCTCTAGCGTGGCCGCCTTGACTACCACGTGCAGCGGCGCTGCGGCTACCTCGACCATCGAGCTGCGGTTCGACGCCGGCAGACTGGATCGCTTCGACGCCTGCGACAGCGGGCGCGAGCCTCTACTCATCTCCTGCGAGAAGCGCTTGTTCGTCATGGGCGAAGACGGCAGGCTCAGCGACGCCTCCGGCACGACGCCGAGCACCAGCTCGGCGCCGATGCGGATGTACATCTCGTCAGAGCCTCCCAGCGTCTGGGCGGAAGACCACTCGGCAATGCCCGCGAACGGCAGCGAGCGCGAGACGCGTGCGCCCGGCGGGAACGTGCGCGACCGCACGAGCGAGGCACCCATCAGGGGCGAACCGGCAAGCGCCGGTCGGGGCTGCGGCGTACGTTGGGTGATGGTGCTGTCGGGTGTGTTTGTCGCGCTGCCGCCGCCGAGACGGGGCCACTTGCCGGCATCGCTGCGACGCGTGCTTGCGCCGCCGGAGATGAGCGAGCAGATGCGCTCGCGCTCGACGAGCGACAGATTCGGCAGCGGCTCGGAGAAGATGAGCGGCGCGATGGCGCAGGCACCGGTGACTTGCGTCAGCGGCGGGCGCCAACGCAGATCCAGGTGGCCCAGACTGCGAGGCTCAGCCTGCAGCGACACCGGCAGGTACCTGGCCAGATCGCTCTCGCCCTCCTGCGTTGAAGGCCTGCCAACGCTGCCCTGGATGCCGAGCTCCATGAGGCTCTGCAGCGCCCGCTGGTACTCGGGCAGCGCAGGGCGGACGCCAGGATAGACGCGCGTGGCGGGCGTGGCCATGCGTGCTGTCCAGGCTCGCACGAGAGCTTCTCCTCGCTCGGCCACGCGAGTGGCATCGGCAAAGTGCAGTTGCTGCGCCGCGACCCGCGTGGTGCTGCCGCCGACGAGCGCATTGCCGAGGAACGGCAGCACTTCCACAGGCTGCCCATCCAGGGTCTTGACGAGGTCCATCTTGCCTGCACTGGCGAAATTCGCGCCCAGAATCAGCGGAGAGATGGCCGTGTCGCGGGCAAGGCTGCCGTCGGTCCAGCCGAGCTTGGCAAGCTGCGGCGCCCAGATCTTGCTGATAATGTTGCGGTCGTTGAGTGCGACGTAGCGCCACGTCTGGTCCAGCCGCGCCACCGGCCGCGAGCAAAGCGCAGCACAGACAGCAGCCCAGCCAGCGAGGTCGCCGTAGCTGAGCAGGAAGGACGCGACGGCGATCCAGTGCCGCACGAGCGCGGCACGCTGCCGCGGCGCGCCAGACGACAGCTCTGAGCGCCGCACCGAGGTCGGTCGGCTGTCGGCGTCCTCGAGAATCTGGTCCAGCACGAGCCTCGTGATCATGTGCGGGCTTGTCGCATCGAAACTGAGCAGCGCCATCGAAGCCGGCGCAGCCTGCTTGTGCGCAGCAAGACGGCCGAGCGAGAGCGGCGCCGTCAGCAGTGCGCGCGACCGGTCGGCGTGAAACACCTGAATCTGCTGGGCGATCTCGCTGGGGTCAAGCTTCAGCAGCGCACCGGCGCGGAACCGGTGACGAGCCAGCTCGATTAGGTCGCCAGACGAAGCGCGCTCGCGGATGCTGGCGAGCCAGTCTGGCGCGTCGGCTGAGGTCGACACACCCTCGGCTTGCTCGCGCACGCTCTTCTCGAGGGCAGCGCGGGCGTCCGAACCTGCGGGCCACGTGTCGCGGACCAGGCTCTCGAGCAGCTCGATGATGCTCGCCTTGTCTGCCGAGTCAACGACGTAGTCTGCTGGCCGCGCTTCGATCAGCGCAGCGACGCGCGAGCGCACGGCCGCTTGGAATTGCGCAAGCTCAGCGTCTCGCGCATCTGTGAGCGGCGCGCCCTGCAGCATGTCGCCCCGCGTCAGCGACAGCGCCTCGACGGCCCACTTCTGCAGCGCCACGAGCAGCGAGAGCAGAGGGCGCCCGCTGCTCGTCATGGCGACCAGCGCGGCGTTGACGAAGAGGACGACGTCGCCAGCTGCGCTGTCGCTGCTTGGCGAGGCGGCATCCGGTGCTACAGCCGCGGCGGCAGCTGGCCGTTGGGTAGCAAACACGAGCTCGTGCGCCAGGCTCTCGGGCGAGCCGCTGAGGATGCGAGCGGCCCAGGTGCCTGGCGGCTCTGCGCTCTCGACCAAGACGAGATCGTGGTGCTTGTCCGGTGCGGCCCAAGGCAGCGGTCCGCGTGGCTGCGCAATTCGCGCTGCTACAGAATTCGGCGCTGAGGTGGCATCTGTTGTGCCGAGCGAGCGGTCAGTCGTGACAGAGACGGATGCGCCGGTGCTGTCGCCGCGCCGTGGAGGCGGACGATAGCCTGCGGGCGGCGAGGGTCCCGAGCCTGCCGAGCCGCCGCCACGCTGGCCGCCCGAGGTTGCTGCCAGCAGCTCCTGCGTGCCCAGGCTGCGCTTGATGGCGTCGGCGTCGGCGCCCAGGTCGCGCGCATACTGCGCTGCAGTCGCCTTTGACGTCGAGCCGGCCGGCAGCTCGCCGCGCACCACGGATGCAGGGAACAGCGCCTTGACCTCATCGGAGGCGCTGCTCGGCGGCTTGAAGAAGCACAGCTGGCCGTCGCGCAGCTGCACCTTGTACGCCTTCCAGCCCTTGCTGATGTCCTTCTCGCGCTCCTTGCCCTTGTCGTGGCCGTCGGCCAGCTGCGCCAGCGAGAGCGTCACGTTGGTGTTGCGGCTCAGGAAGCCCTGGTACTGCACGCCCGGCGGCAGCGGCCTTGGCTCTGCCGGAGTTGCGGCAGCCGCTCGCGCCTGCTGCAGCTGCTCCTGCGAGATCAGCGAGTCCTTGGGCGAAGACGAGAGCTTCGAGCCGCGCCGCTGGTGCCGCGTCGGGACCGCCATGAGCTTCTGCGGCTGTCCGCCCTGCGCCCAGGCGGAGCTCTGCGGCGTCGAGCTGAAGGGGATCATGCCGGCGGTGCTGCTGGGCCCGCCCGATGCTGATGCTGCATTCGGCGGAGCGCCGGCGTTCCAGCGCGGCGGCGCGATGCCGGGCGTGCCCGGCTGGCTCGTGCGCCCGGCCATCGTGCCGACATCGCTCGGGCGGCCCCAGTCCGGCGCAGGCACGCCGTGCTCGGCCCACGTGCCGTCTGGCCGCTGCCGGCTCTGACCCGCAGGCTGGGCGCGCGAAGACGACCCCGGCGCGGCGCCGAGACCCGTGCTGGGTCCAAAGGTCGGCGTCGTCGGCTGCGAGAGATCGTCGACGCTGCGCGAGAAGCCAATGTGCGGGCTCGGCGAGCGCAGGAAGTTGACGTCCTCGCTCGCCGACACCTTGCCCGACGAGCCCGCCGAGGGCGGCGACATGAGCGCCGGCCGCCCGGGCAGCGGCGGCAGGTCGACGGGCAGCGTGTTTGGCGAGGGAAACTCGGGCCGCGACGAGAGGTCGGACTGGCTCTTACTGAACTGCGCATAGCTGCCGCCGCCCTCGGCGCGCATGCCGAGCGACTTGCCGAGCGGGCTGTGCGAGAAGATGCCGCGGCCAGACTGGCCCGAGGCGCCGCCGCCGCTGGCGCCTGCTGCGGCATTGCGCGTCATGCTGGCGTTGGAGACCTTGCGGTCGCGGTGCCCGCCAAAGAAGCTGCGCTTCGTCGGGCTCGACAGCGCCGGCTCGTCGTGGCTCACGCTGGGCCGCCCGGGCGCGGGGTAGCGGCCAAAGTCGCTCACGCTCGAGCGATCGATGGAGAAGCCCTGGTAGAAGCCCGACGAGGCGTTCGACGACGAGTTGGAGGGCACGCGCGCGCGGCCCGAGCCGGCCTGGCGCGGGTACGAGTGTGCGCCCTCGGGCTCCTCGGCCTGGCTGGCGAGCGACGACATGGAGGGCGAGGGGTTGATGTTTGTCGCGCCGGCCGACGAGCTCATGTTGCTGCTGCTGCTCGCCGAGCTGGAGAAGGCCTTGGCCTTGGAGAAGAGAAAGTTGAGCGCCGACTGGCTGCGGCCGATGCCGCCGCCGCCCGAGGCGCTGCCGCTGCTGCCGGCGCCGGCATGCTGCGGCGCCTGCGTGGAGGATGCGTGCGGCGGCGGCATGGCATGGAGATGCACCTAGCGAAGTGCCCGAGGCGGCGGCACCGCAGGAGTGGCCTGCTCGGCTGCGTGGGCCTGCTAGGCTGCGTGCTGCGAGAGGGGCAGAGCACGGCCGTCGGAGCAGGAGAGCGGCGGCGGTGCGGTGCGCGTATGTGCGGTGCGGGGCAGCAGCGAGGCCACGGCCGGCAGCGGCGCTCGGGCGAGGAGAAGGGGATGCGAGAGCGAGCAGAAGGAGGTGAGAGTCGAGAGAGCGTCCGAGGCCGGTGGTGACCTCACGTCGGGGCTGCGTGCGCCGGGCAGCGGGCAAGGCAAGGCAAGGCAGGTGCTCAGCCAGGCGCAGCGTCGCACAAGCGCGCACGGCGCATGCACGGGCACGGCCCGGCGGCGCAGCACAGCAGGGCACGGCAGCAGCGCAAGCTCGCGCACGCCCTGCAGCGGCAGAGGCAGCGGCACCATGCACGCCGCCCGCCGACGCGTCTTGTGCGTCTCGACGCGCGGCGGGAGCAACGAAACAGCGGCGAGAGGGGCTGCGAGGGCAGCGAGGCACGGCAGCACAACGACAGGCACACCGCCCTCTTCCCCTCCTCGCAGCCGCGTGCCGTCTCCGCGGGACCTCGCTCCCGATGCCGTGACGGGCGCAGGCCGCGAGACGAGGTGCGAGCTGCACCCTGCATGCTGGACGGCCGTGCAGAGCGGCTCGCAGAGACCGAGCCGCCCGCGGAACAGCTGCGCCATCACGCCGACGGGCCGTGCTCGCGAGGGCGCCGTCTCGTGCTGGACGTCCGACCCGGTGCTTCGGCACCTCCGCGAAGCTGCTGCTGCTGTGAGCCTCGCTGCGTGAAGGCGGTGACGCTTTGTGACCCCTCTGCAGACGGCTCCGGCGCACCAGCGGCGTCACCGAGGCACTTTACTTGCAGATCATGCCCTTTAGCGCGGCGAGGGGTGGTCTGGATGCTGCCCTCTCGCGCCGCCGCCTCCGACGGCCAAGGACATGGCGCCACGGCGCGCCTCCTGTGCTGGCGTCATGCTGCTGCGCCTTTGAAGCTCCCCTCTGCATCGCTGGCTCGTCCTCGCTCAGCATCCTGCGCAGGGTTCCGCCGCAGTTCCGACACACGCTGGCCCCGTATGCCGCAGCGAGCCGTGCGAGCCCATGCTGCTCACACGTGCCGCGGCCCGCTCGCTCGGCGGCCCACGCGGTCGCGCCTCGTGCCGCATGCAGGGGCTGCCGGCTGATCGACGGCCGAGCGCAGCCGCAGCGCAAGTCTCCGGGGGCCAGAGCTTTGTCACCAGGAGCAGCAGCGCCGCAGCAGCTGCACCTAGATGAACAAGAATGCCGTCCCAGAGGCAGGACCCTGTGCTTGTTGGCGGACCGCCGGGCTGTGGCGTACGGGGCCGCATTCCAGGTGCACTCTCTCACGCCTGCGCTTGCTCCCAGCAGTACGCGCCCGCACATCTCTCAGCTGCTCAAGCTCGTGACCACGCTCGGTCCCGAGGTCCGCTGCAGGATGCAGGACCAGCTGGCACCGCAGCCTGCGAGGTGCCGGCGCTGCGGCGGTGGGATGTGCGGCGCGCAGCGGCATCGCTGACTCCGCGGCGCGGCGCGCGCAGCGGGAAGAATGCACGCGCCGCAGCGGGCAGCAGTCACACCTTCGACGCAGAGGCTTTGGGATTGTAACTCATTGAACTGTGCAACCATCGGAAGAGGAGAGATATCGTGGGTGCAGACGAGGTGCAAGGAGAAGCAGAGCTGGGTGAAAGGGCAGCAGCAGGAGACAGAATTACAGGCGCGCGACGCGAGACGCGCGCGGTAAGGATAGGAGACCGACATTCGCAAGACGACGTGACTGCGGTTCGGCGACGAGCAGCTAAGCAGCTTAAAGTGCCGACTTGCCCTGGCTCTCGATACGAAGAGTGAGCATGAGGAGAGCGCAGACGATGAAGAGCGCGCCACTGGTGTAGAGCGGAGCGTTGATGTTCGACGCCCCGCCGTAGATGTTGATGATCGGAGCCTGCAGAAGACGTCCCCGAGTCAGCCAATGAACAGGATGAGCTCAGAAACAGCGTACGCACCATGAGGCCGAACACACGGTTCAAACTTTTGTAGTTAAAAGGGTCAGGGTTAGCAGGGTGCGAGGCGGGAGGGGTGGGAGGGGTACATACCTGGACGCGATGCCGTCTCCGGTGCCACGGACGGGTGCCGGGAAGCTCTCGGGCGTGTATGCGTAGAGCACGCCGTACATGATGTTCTGGAAGAGCGCCTCGAGGCAGAGGAACGTGAGGAAGGCGCCGGTGTTGGGCGCAGCCGTGGAGACAAAGACGAAGACGCCGGTGAGCAGCGTGCCAATTGCCATTGCACCACGGCGACCCGAGCGCGGGATGTCGACCATGAACGCGGCGATGATCGAGCCGGGCACACCGCAGATGGAGATGTCTGTGCAGAGAGTGTGTGTCAGAGGAGATCGCTGTGCTGTGCGCGCTGCAGCGGGACTCACAGGCGTACTGCGAGTAGACCGTGTTGACGTCGCTTGCACCCGTCGTCGTGCCGCGGCGCTCGAGGAAGAGCGGCAGGAAGGCGTTGTACAGCGGGTAGGCGAGGCCGATGAACGCCCAGAGGATGAAGATGATCGACGTGTTGTACGCGACCTTGGGGCTGCTGAAGAGCGGGCGCACGAGGCGAAGGTCGGGCTTGAACGTCGAGGGACGGATGCGGCGCATGGCGTTGAAGAGCTGCTTAGGCATGTCGACGATGCCAGCAAGGCCGCGCTTCTCGTGGGCCACGACCTCGTTGTTGGCGTCCATCGACTCGTCCTCGCCCGCGGCGGAGCGCAGAATGGCAACCGAGAGGATGTCGTCATCCAGCGGGCGGCCGTTGCGCGCGGCAATCTCCTTGACGACGGCGACAGCCTCGGCGTCGCGGCCCTCGGAGAGGAGGAACTTGGGCGACTCGGGCAGCTGGAAGATGGCGAAGCGCGCAAAGAACATGGCAAACGTCACGGCGCCGAGCGTGTAGAACGTGTAGCGCCAGCCGGCGTTGTTGCCGACGCACGGGCCGAACTCGGCAATGTTGCTGTTGTCGCCCTCGCACGAGTAGTTGGCAATGAAGGCCCAGGCGATGAGCGAGGCAAAGAGCTGGCCGAGCGACCAGAAGACGGAGAGCAGCGTGAGCAGGTACTGCTTGTTGCCGGGGATGAACTCGAGGAAGAGCATGCCGTCGACGGGCAGGTTGCCGCCGAGGCCGACTCCGAGCGCGGCGAGCAGGCCGCCGAGGCCGACGTAGCTGGGCGCGGCGCCGGCGGCGATGCCGAACACACCGGCGAGGAAGAGCGTGGCGTTGAAGGCCGGGCGGCGGCCGATGATGTCGGCGAGCACGCCCCAGCCGGCGGCGCCGATGATGAGGCCGACGTAGAGGCCAAACGTCATCCACGACACGGGCGTGCTGCTGCCGAACTCGGCGCGCACACGCGGCAGGATGATGGCGACGCCCTGCAGCCACATGTTGTCGACGAACCAGCCGAAGCCCGACAAAAGGAAGAGCTGCCACTGGAACCTAGGTGCGGAGGGGTCAGCGAGGGCTTGCTGGCGGAGGGATCAGCGAGGGGGTTGCAGGCGACACGCGCGCGCCGCGGCGCGCGCGGCGGAGAATCTGGGCGGCGACGCATGCGCGTGCCGCGGCTCATCTCCCCGGACCCGGCTGGCGCCGCACTGCAGCGCCGCAGCTGGCCCTGAATGGCTCCAAAGCACCGCTGAGGGTGCTCCGTGCGCTTAGAACTGCCGCAGGAATGATCTGCAGCTGCAGATCGGGTTCGGAGGGGGCGTGCCTGAAGACGCCGGCGCGCGGACACGCCGTCGACGCGCCCTGCGCACCCCTCCGGCCTGACGACGAGCCCGCTGTGCCTCCGACGCTGCCGCCCACTCGCCATCTGTGCTCCTGCCTCCTGTCATGCTCCTGCTACTCACTTGCCCATGCCAATGTGCTCATCCATCACCTGAGGAAGCAGACGGGGTCAGCCATGCGTGGCGCCGCAGACACGGCGAGAGGCACGCGCCAGACACGCACGCGGTTGAGAATGTAGACCTTGCGCTCGTAGACGCTGTTGACGCCGATGGCATCGAGGCGCTTGCCGAGGATGTCGGGCGAGAGGCCCTCGTTGGCGAGGCCGTCGTGGTGGTGCTTCTCGGAGCCGAGCTTCTCGCCCTTGGGCGAGCCGGCGGCGTCCTTGTCGGACTCGTCGCGCGAAGAGACGCGCATCACCTCGGAGGTGGGTGCGCCGACGACGGGGGCGGGGGCGGGGGCGGACATAGTGAGGTGGGGATGGAGGAGGTGGGGAGCAGGATGCGAGGAGCTGCGAGAAAGCCACTCAAGAGGGCGGCGAGAGCGGCGCGAGCGAAAATGGCGGCGCGCGCGCAGGCGAGGTACCCGAGGGCGAGGAGGCGGGCCGCGCGCCGCGAGGAGCCGGCCCGCTCGGGTGGGAAGCTGCATCCTCTGCGTGCGGCGGCGACGGCGAGCGCCATCATCAGCGAGAGCACTGCCGCCGTGCCTGCGAGATGCGCGGCGCCGGATCGTCGCCGTCGAAGGTGGCTCAGCGGCAGCAGAGCGCTCGCAGACGACGAGCAGAGGCGCTTGCAGAGCGCATTCAGCGCCGCGTCAGAGCACAGCGCGAGGGAGCGGACTCCCATCTGCGCCAGAGTCGTCTGCTGCCGCCGCTCTGCGCGTTGACGCTCGTCTGCGCCGCATGCTGCGTCTGAGCGCTGCTGCTGCATGCTGGGAGCACGCCTCGTCAGGGACGCAGGCGCCACGCCGCACTGGGAGTGCCAAAATAAAGGGTGCATTGCTGCATGTGTGACTGCCCTGCCGCTGCATCTGTCCCCTCCTCCGCCGTCGCAGCGCTCCCTGACAGCGACCTCGGCTAGGACCACAGCTCGGGTGCCTGCCGCGCCCGCGGTCACCTGTTTTTCGCCCCCTCGGCTGCCTTCACGCTTCCGCCTTCTTGCCACCAGGTCTCATGCGTCCATGCCGCCCATGCGGCCATGCAGCGCCCGCCGCGGCCGCGCGCCCTGCACCCTGAAAGCCGCTGGGCGCCGTGTAGATGCTGGCCGTGGGGCGAGCGCGCGCAGCCGGCAGGCGCGCCGTTGGAGCAGCGAGACCCACACAATGAAGGTGATGCGAGCGCTGCGCATCTGCTGCGATGTGGCGCAGGGCCGATGCCTCCGAGCCAGATCGCGGCGGCAGTAAGAGTGCTCGCGTGCGCGCACTCGCCGCGCGCGCGGCCGGCGGCAGAAGCGCCGGCGCGGCGCCGCGCGGCCGCATGCAAAAGCGGCCCTCGCTTGCTTGCGGCGCCGCTCGGTCGATCGCACGGCGGCCCCGCCGGCGCCTTGGCACCACCATCTGACGTCGGCCTCGGCCGCCCAGGAACCCGCGGCGCCGCAGCAGCCGCACAGTGACGGCCGCACTGACTGCCGTCCTGCGCCACACTGAAGGCCCTGCAGCAACATCGCACCGCGTGATGGGCGGCCAAGGAGCAGCACGCGAAAGCTCGACAGCACCAGGGCGCCAGCCAAAGCCGCGCACCTCCGCTCGCCTGCGCTGCGTCCAGGCCGACCCGCTCCCGTCCCCGCTTGGCAGAGGGCCCTGCACGCCGGCGCACAGCATCGAGCGGAGCGTGATGTGGAGCGTCGAGAGTATGAGCGGGTCTCGGCTCTCGGGCGCACGAGGCTCCCTCTGCTGCGACAGCTCGCGTGACCCTGGCCTGGCCTGCCTCGTCCAGGCCACGCCCATGTTTGGCTGCAGCCAGGTGCTGCTCATCATCCTCCTGAGCACGCTCTCGACCACTCTGCACGATCCTTCTCTGCACCCGCATCTCATCGCGCGCGGCGTGTTGATTGACGTGCACGCCGAGAGGGACCCATCGTGCACATGCCGCACGCCTTCTCGCCGCGCGGCCTGCGTCCGCCAGAGTCCGCCTGAGCGGCGGTACGCACTCTGTTGCGCTCCGAGACGCAGCTGCGTGCATGGGTGATCGCCCTCGCGCCGCAACTCCGCCCACAATTCGCTCCGTCGACGCTCGCTTGCGCGATGGCGGGCCATGGCGGCCCAAGTCGGGAGGGAGGAGGGGATGGTCACGTGCAGGAGTGAGGCCGTTCGGAGGCCGAGGCGCGCACGTGCGGCCGTGCCTGACCATGGCTGACCTCAGCAAGAGGCCGCCGTCGCGCTAGCCGGCCACCGCCACTCGCTCCGCTCGCCGAGGCGCGTTCGGCGTGGCCTGACGCTGAATGCGCACCTCCCAAACCGACGCCTGCCCCAGACTGCAGCGCGGGGCACGACGTCCAGCGCCGACGTCCGCAGCCTGACTCCCTCCACCACACCCCTCAGCACACCTCACACTTCACACACACATCTGCCAGTGCATGGCCATCTAGCACACCCACACACTCCTCACCATGCCCGCCAACGCCGCCGCCTCGTCCAGCGCCCCGCGCTCCTTCGACGTCATCGTCGTCGGCGCCGGCGTCGTCGGCGCGGCACTGGCCTTCTCGCTGGCGCGCTCGGGCCGCCGCGTCGCCATGCTCGAGCGCGACCTCGCCGAGCCGGACCGCATCGTCGGCGAGCTGCTGCAGCCGGGCGGCGTGCGCGCGTTGCGCCTCCTCGGCCTCGCCGACACGCTCGACGGCATCGACGCCGTGCCCGTGCAGGGCTACCAGGTCTTCTACGGCAAGCGTGCCGTGCCCATTCCGTACCCGCAGGAGGCGCCCGAGGACGTCGGCCGCGGCACCAAGAGCTTCAGCGGCAAGGTCGAGGGTCGCAGCTTCCACCACGGCCGCTTCGTGCAGAGCCTGCGCCGCCGCGCCCAGGCGCACGAGCGCGTCACGACGTTCGAGGCGACGGTGCGCGAGCTCGACGAGGATGCCGATGGCCGTGTCGTCGGCGTCACTGCCACGCCCAAGGCCGAGGGCGACGCGAAGCCCGAGGAGCTCGTGCTCAAGGCGCCGCTCACCATCGTCGCCGACGGCTGCTTCTCCAAGTTCCGCCGCACCCACGGCTCCACCATTGCGCCGACGGTGCGCTCCAACTTCGTCGCGCTCGAGCTCAAGAACGCGCCGCTGCCGGCGCCGGAGCACGGCCACGTCGTACTGGGCCCCGCTGGCCCGACGCTGCTCTACCAGATCAGCCCGACGGACACGCGCGTGCTGGTCGACGTGCCGGGCGTTAAGCTGCCGTCGCAGTCCAAGGGCGAGCTGCAGGCGCACATCCGCGACAAGGTCGTCGCGCAGCTGCCCGAGGTGCTGCGGCCGTGCGTGCTCGAGGAGCTCGAGCGCACGACGCGCTTCCGCAGCATGCCCAACAGCTTCTTGCCGCCAAGCATGCAAGGCCAGAACAAGCAGCGGCGGGGCGTCATCCTCGTCGGCGACGCCATGAACATGCGGCATCCGCTTACGGGCGGCGGCATGTCCGTCGGCCTCTGGGATGTCGTGCACCTCACCACGTCGCTCGGCGGCGAGGAGTGGACGCCGCTGGAGCGCGACGCAAAGCAGGGCGGCTCGCGCGACCTGGCCGAGTGGGACAGCCTCAAGCCGGCGCTACGGTCGTGGCACTGGCGGCGAAAGGGCCTGGCGAGCGTCATCAACATCCTCGCGCAGGCGCTGTACAGCCTCTTCGGCGCCGACGACGAGAACCTCGAGGTGCTGCGCGAGGGCTGCTTCGGCTATTTTGAGCTCGGCGGCGAGTGCGTCGGCGGGCCCGTGCGACTGCTGTCGGGCCTCGCGCCGCAGCCCATGCTTCTCGTCTACCACTTCTTCAGCGTCGCGCTCTACTCGATCTACACGCTCTTCTCCAAGCCGCGCGTGCACAAGGGCGAGAGCGAGGCGCGCGTGCCGGGCTTCCTCGACTGGCCGGCCCTCATGTGGCGCAGCGTCGCCGTCTTCTGGACGGCATGCGTCGTGCTGCTGCCCGTCGTCTTCACCGAGCTGCGCTCCAACGTGCCCTCGTTCAACCGCGCCGCGAGCATGATGGCGCCCGGCGAGGTCGGCAAGAAGGAGTCGCGCTTCAACAACGTCGTGCTCCTCGTCGGCCTCGCTGCGGCCGCTGCCTACTACGTCAACGGCGGCGCGCAGAAGCACCGCCTCTCCGACCTGCTTGTGTTCCCCACTGCCAAGGCCCAGAGCCTGAGCAGCTAGAGTGCCCGTTCCCTGCCCACTGGTTCATACTTGCCCGCCTGCCATGCCCTAGACCGATACCTCAGCCACCGTGCAATGTCATCTCGCCATCATCACACATGCGTGTGTCTCTCATGTCGTGCATTCTCATGCTGCTCCCGCTGTGTCGTCGCGGATCTGTGATGCGCCGTCAGCAATGACTCTCACGACCCGCGCGTGTTGCGACTCACCTCGCTGGAGCTGAAGCTCAGGATGCCCGCCTCGTCGAGCAGGCCCACGACCTGCTCAGCATCATCACACGGCATGTCGCCCAGCACCTTGTTGACCTTGTCGAGCTCCTTGGTCTTGAGTGCCTCCTGCAGCTCGGGCGCAAAGCCCGTGAAGATGTCCCAGCGGCGCTGCAGGAACGCTCGCACGCGCTCCGGATCCATGCTCTCCGAGCCCTCGCCCTCCAGCTCAATCTTCTCCGGCGGCGGGCCGTCGGGCACCTCGAAGCCGATCACGGTGTTTGGGTCCTCGGCCACCAGCTGGATCTGCTCCACGCCGCCGCTCGCTGCTGGCTGCTCGGCGGCCAGCGCCTTGCTGCGCGTGAGGATGCGCGTGAAGGTGGAGAGCACGTCGTTGAAGAAGACGATCGCGGCGCGGCCGTCCTGGTTGTTCATCCTGGCAAGGCAGCAGATGAGCAGAGGAGCCAAGTCGGTGTGCCGGAGCCACTCACCGTTGGAAGAAGAGCGAGACGCCATCCTTGCCGAGCTTCTCGCAGTACTGCACCATCAGGCCCTTCTCGGTAGCACGCCGGCCGCGCGCCGCATCGCCACGCATGCACGCCTGGAACGCCTCGACGAGCAGCGCATCCGTCGAGCCCTTGCGCAGCAGCACGCGGTTCTTGCCAATGTACTCGTAGGCGCTCGCGAACGCCGCCGTGTTGAGGTCGCGCTTGGGGTTGAACTGCGGTGGCAGGCCGGGCATCTCGAGCGGCAGCACCTTGGGCACGCACGGCTCCAGGTCGATGAACTTGGACATCGCGGGTGTGAGCGCCGGCACAGACTCGTCGTCGGAGTCGTCGGCGTCCGAGTCTGGGGATGTCTGCTGCACGCTGGGCGAATTGAGCGTCTCGATCGTTGTTGTCGTTGCCTTGCCCTTGCCCTTGCTCTTCGGCTTCTCCGGCGAAGGCGCCTCTTCTGGTTCGGCCTTGCTCACGTGCTGCTCGGAAATGCGTCAGCGGCGAGCAGGACTCAGCGCGCTGCAAGCTACTCACACCCGAGCTCCAGCCCTCGCGAATGCCATCACTCGTGATCTTGCGCTTCTCCTCCTCCTCAAAGCCCTTGAGCTGCGCGCTGGCCTGCAGCGTACGCGCGGCGAGCTTCTCGCGGTGCTCCTTGAGCTGCGTCGTGAGCGCCTCGTCCAGCTCATTGCCGCTCTTGCCCTTCACCGACGGCACTTCGTTGATCTGCAGTAGCAGCGAAAGGACCATGTCTGACGGCGTTGGATTGGCCTTGTTCGGGTTCGCCTCGCGCTCGGCAGTCAGCTGCGAGACGGTGCGAGAGTAGGACGTCGAGCCTTCTGAGGACAGGCCGCCGAGCACCTGAGGGCGAAGGTCAGCGGTGCGTCCAGAGGGTGCAGAAACGATGCGAGACGTGTGGAGCACTTCTATGCGTCGCATGAGTTGCATATGAGAGCGAGGCATGGTGCTGCGGCGCCGACCCTCGCCTGCAAATCTCGCTACTGAGGCCGACTTCTTCTGCATCACGCTCGTGCCTGCCAATCGTCGCCTCTGCCGCCGTTGCCGCGCCTGACCGACTGCCGTCCATCTCCTCCACATGCCCGCTGCGCACTCACCTCGCCGAGCTTGCCGTCGAGCTTGGCATTGAGCGCAATCTCGTCGCGCAGATCCTGCATCTCACGCCTGCGCAGCTCGCGCTTCTCATGGATGTCGCGCTGCTTCCAGTTGATGAAGCTCTTCTTGTCGACGTTGGGATGCACCTCGATGTCCGAGTCGTCGGAGAGCTCGAGGGCGTCCCTGGTGCGGCGGGTCAGTGGGCTGCGCGGCGCCAGTGCGCTGCAGCGGCACGCACCACTTTGAGTAGTTGAGCGGCATGCTGGGCGGTGGGGGTGTGGTAGGAGGAGAGGCAGGTGCGGCGCCAGCGAAGATCACAGAAACCGCGCGCCGCGTGGAGGGCGGAGAGAGCATCACGCTGCTGAGGGGTGGCCGGTGCGCGCGAGCGACGGGGCGCATTCTCTGCGCGGGTGCGGCCAACTTGTGCCTGGGCTGCTTTCCTGCATGCAGCGCAGAGGGCAAGTCGCCTTCTGCTCCGCCGTGCTGGACGCCGACTCGCTTGCCTTCGCCATCAGCTGCGTGCCGTCGCACAGGGCGCAGCTCCCGATTTGGGCTGGCAGCAAGCATGCAGCAGCCCCTGTGCAGACACTGCGCCCAAAAGCACGCTCCTCTGGGCGGTTTGAAGCGCGGCAGCGGACCGTCCAAGAACGCTCCGAGGGGCCGGTCAGCGTTGCGGAGCCGTCGCGCGCGCCACAGCGCAGAGAAAGACGCGTGCGGAGCAGGCACGCCGGCAGAGCAGAGGCCACGCCAGGCAGGCACGGCGGGCGGGCTCTCTGCGCGCTGTCGCACTGCTGCGCGCTGGGTTAGGCTCGCGCCGGCGGCTGGCGCGTGTTGCCTTGGCCCAGCGTCGCCTGCCTCCTTCCTGCCCTCCATCGTGCCCCGTTCGCATCCTCCGGCTCCGGCTCCCGTCTCTCCGTCTCCGCCTCTCGTCTCCCTCACGACACGAGCCGCACGACCTAGATCCGCAGGGCGAGGCCAGTGAGCCAGGCGCGCACGTGTGACGAGCTGCATCCGCCATTCCATCCGGCCCACCCACGCCCTCCTCTGCACATCCACGCCGCCGCCCTCACGCCCCTCACGCCGCCGAACACGATCTCACGACGCCCAACGCCGTCTCTCATCGCCCACTCTCTCTGCGCCCGCTTCACGAGTCCTTGCCATGTCGGACCTCGACCGCTCCTTCGACCACCTCTCCCTCGGCGCCGCGCACCAGCGCAGCAGCACCGGCAGCCTCGGCCCCAACTCGGCCGGCGCCTTTGATGCCGGCGACGCGGCCAACGCGTACGGCGCCGCGCCGCTGAGCAGTGCGTCACCCTTCGGCAGCGCCTCGTACGCCGGCATGGGCGGCAGCGCGCAGCTGGCCGACCCGCAGTCGGCATCGGCGCGCTTCGAGCGCTTCTTTGCCTCGCCGCCCGCCTCGGCGCCCGACTACGCCTCGGGCAGCGGCGGCGCGCCGGGCAGCAGCAACGGCCTCGGCAGCGGCAGCAGCGCCTTTGGCTCCTTCGGCCACGCCCTGCCCGGCGGCACGGGCGGCAGCGGCCACTTTGGCTCGCAGAGCCGCCGGCCGCCGGGGCGCTCGGCGCTGCCGCAGTGGGGCGACGCGCCGTCGCCGCCCATCGCGCCGCAGGGCCTCGGGAGGGGCTACTATGCGCCGCCGCCGCCGCAGCAGTCGCATCCGTCGGCGGGCAGCGGCTTCCTGAGCCACCAGCTGCCGCCGCAGGGCATGCCGCTGCCGCCGCCGGGCCAGCAGGGCGGCGCGCTGGACGACGACATCATCCCGACGGCCATCGTGGTAAAGAACATCCCGTTTAGCATCAAGAAGGAGCAGCTGCTGCAGATCATTGTGAGTCCGGCTGCTCGACGTGCTCCGCGGGTGCGCCGCTGAGGCATGGTCTCCGCTCCTGCAGGAGGACCTGGCGATCCCGATGCCGTATGCCTTCAACTACCACTTCGACGGCGGCAACTTCCGCGGCCTGGCGTTTGCCAACTTCCGCTCGGGCGAGGAGGCGGACGCCGTCGTGGCCGCGCTCAACGGCTTCGACGTGGCGGGGCGCAAGCTGCGTGTCGAGTACAAGAAGGTGCTGCAGGCGGGCGAGAAGGAGCGCATCGAGAAGGAGAAGGCCATCAAGCGCATGCACTCGATGCAGCTCGAGAAGGAGCGCAGCAGGCACGAGCAGCAGCAGCACTGGGGCGCCCTGCCGCCCAACCCGCCGCTGCCGCACGAGCACCAGCAGCAGCAGCACCAGTACGACCAGTACGACCAGTACAGCTACGCCGTCGGAGCGCCGCCGCAGCAGCCGCAGATGCAGCAGTCGCAGCAGCAGCAGCACCAGCTGCCGAGCCCCTCGCTCGAGATCCACCCGTCCGCGCAGCTGCCGCAGCAGCCGCGCTCGCCGCTCCTGCCGCTCACGGCAGACAGTCTGCGCGCCGTGCCGGCTGCGCGTCAGGGGGCTGGAGGCGACTCTCCGTCGGAGGTCAGCGGTGGGGCGAGCTCGCGTGCCAAGGATGGTGAGTCGTGATGCGCGGCTCCGGCTGATCGAGAGGCTGACGCACGCTGCAGAGCTGGACCTGAACGACCCCGCCACGCTCGAGATCTACTCGCGCGTCCTGCTCTTCAAGGACGACCGAATGCGCGACGACCTGAGCTTCTCGCGGAATCTCAGCCCACTGGAGCGGCGCACTGTGCACCTCGTGGCACAGAAGCTCGGCCTGTACCACTACAGCATGGGCGAGGGCGACGAGCGCTACGTCGTGGTGACGAAGAACGAGATGCAGCAGGGCCATCGCGTGAGTTGGACACACGTGCAGCGCTGTCGACATCAGGCTGACGCATACGCCGTCCCGCAGCCTCTGCGCTCGCAAGCGTCCACCATCGGCCGCTCGCACCGCGGCAACACGGACAGCTCCGGCATGCTTGCGCCCGGCTCGAGCGCCACGACGGGCCGTGCGGGTTTGCGCGGCAAGAAGAGTGCGCCGGACATGAAGCGCGCGCGCGAGGCCGACAGCAGCTACGCGTCGCACGGCTACGGCAGCGGCGGACTGGCTCCGCCTGCCGGCGGCCTGGCGCGCAAGAGCAACGGCAACCTGAGAGAGGGCTACGCTGCCACGATGGGTCGGGCATCGAGAGGCGCGAACGGAGGCGCTGCTGGTCTGCAGGTGAGTTGCCGTTGCAGTCGCAAAACCGAGTCCTCCTGGCTCACTCTCCGCGGGCAGAACCTATTCGCCTCGCCATTTGACGTTCCTCCGGTCCCGCAAATCAACGCCGACCGGCTCGGCCACTCCTCGTCGCCGTCCGGCGGCAACTCCGCGCACCTTGTGCGGCAGCCGCGCGGCCCGCCGACGCCGGGCTCGCACGAGGCGCGCAACTTTGCGCCGCGAGCCCGCGTCACTGTCGGTGCTGCCACGGGCGCACAGATTGCGGCGCAGGTCAACCGCATGGAACACAGTTCTAGCCCGGGGCAGCAGGGCAGCTACGACGACTACCTGCACGGCGGCCACGCCCTTGGGTCCGACGACGTGCGGACGCACGAGCCGCTCGAGATCTAAGCGCGACTCGTCTGGCCTCCTCACCGTCACACCCACACAACCACACGACCTCGACTTTCTCTCTCTCTCCTCAAGCATCCCTCAAGAATCAAGAACGGCCCGCGCCTCGCTGCCCGCCGCACACACCTTCTCTCAGCCCCAGCTCCGCCCCTAAACTTTCCCTCAGTCTGTCCCACATGCCCCTGCCGCGTCCCGCCCATCCTGACGATGATGCATTTGCCGCCAATGATGAAAACCTTGCACTCTTGCTTGCTGCCTGTGCCCCCTTCTCCTTCCCACTGCCCAGCTGGTCCTGACCTGTGCGACGCCGGACCGCCAAAGCCAGCCTTGCGTCTAGTCGTGAATCTGCAGACGTCGCGTCAGCCTGATTGCCTAGAAATCGCGTGCGGCACCTGAGTCGCACTGCGCTGCTGCGGGCAGGTCGCCGGCGTCCCGCCGTTCACAGCCACCGAGCGCCAAGTGTGGCAGGCGTGTGCCCCAGGCGGCAAGGCGAGCAAGCCGGCGCACCCGAGCTGCGGCGCTTGTGCCCCTGTGGCGCGCCTTGCGCGATGGACGAGCGGCCGCGGGTCGCGTGAGAGGCTCTGGCAGCCGGCCGCTTCTCCGCGAGCGGCCCGACTGTGTCTGCGCTGCTACTCTTGCGGCGTGTCTACTTGGGCAGAATCGACCGCTGAAAGCTGGTCTGCGCTCTGCGTGCTGATGCTGGGGGCCGGGAGCCTGCTTGGCTGAGGCTGAGCGGCTGAGAAGAGTGAGCGTTCGGCCTCGGGCGAGGAGGGCGGTGCAGCTCTCGCGTCCTGAATCACCCCTCGTACCCCTCCTACACGCCGTGGCGAGGCTCCGGCAGCGGTGCCACGGCGTCGTCGTGCCCGAGGCCGCACTTGGCGCACCCTCGATCGCCGGGCGGTGCTGTCCGAGAGCACCCGAATTTGCCATCTGAGGCCTTGCCAGGCTCGCAGTGTAGGGTGCAGGTTGGGGCGGGCGACGTGCCGCAGCGGGCTCGGCCTCTGTCCGGCCGTGCGCCCTTGTGGACGACGTCGTGACCGCACGCTTGGCGGCCTCTTGCTGCGCTACGCTGTGCACGCGGACATACGGGCCGCGGGCTGCGAGCTGCACTCCGATCGAGGCAATGGAGAGCAGCCACAGACCTCACAAGATGTGTGGTTCTAATTTTACTTGATCTGGCCGTCGGCGATGCTGAGACGCTTGACTGTCCGCTGCAACGAGGATGAAGCTCTCCAGTGCAGCAGCGAGGTGTGCCGAGGCGAGGCGCACCCGTCGCGAGAGCTTCGCGATCGGGCCAACCTGCAGCACCCGAGCGCGCGCCGACCCGATGCTGCACGGCGCGCGCCAGGGGCACAGGCGGGCAGCCAACTCAAGCAGCGCAGTGGAGGGTGTCTCTCGAGGTCGTGTGGTGATGCCGGCACGCAGTCGCGAGTCTCGTTCTACACGCTGACGCTGGGGTCAAGCGACGCTGGCGGTCATTCTCTGCAGCCCAGCAGACGTGGTGGCACGTGACTTCCCCACACCGACGAGCTGCACCGCCAGGCCATGCTGGCGCGCGCCTCTCTCGACCCCCACCTCAAGCGCACTTGTGGAGTCACAGGCCGATCTGCGCTCTCGAGTACTGAACACGGCGGAGCATAGCCCGGGTTTTGGCGCGGGTCTGGTGACTTAACCCTTCAGCTTCGTCGCTGGGTGCAGTCGCTCCCGTTGCACAGACGCGGAACGAGCTGTCGGCTGCCGTCGCCCGCATCTGCGCTCGTTCAAGTGCGAGCTCGACGACGACGACGAGCTCTGCGGGCCTCGCTGCGCTTCGTCAGCGCCTCCAGCTGCTGACGCATGAATGAGCATTCAGATCTCGAATCATCGTGGGATAGTGAGGGCAAATCAAGAGAAGGTGTGGGCGCCTGTGCCTTCTCACCGTCTCTCCCTCTTGGACTGCCGCAAGCATGCCCCAACAAGCCTCGCCTGAGCTGAACGTCCGGCCTAGTCGTGAATGTTCCAGCTCGCCCTCCAACGCATGCTGTGGGGTTTGTGTCAGCGATGTGTGCTGCCATGTCGCTCGGCAAGACTCACCCGCGCTGCTTCCACACCGGGCCATCGATGCCGTCTGCGAGGGAGGCGTGTCAAACGCGGAAGACGATGGCAGCACAGATCAGCACTCACAGGCAGTGCCGTGCAGCCACGCAAAGGCGCCCACGACGGCGCCCAGCACGACGAGCAGCGCAAGGTTCTGCGCAAGCGGCGACAGCGGAGCGCGCTGCCCGCTCGTGCCGCGGACGCGGTAGCGAGCCGTCTGCGATGCGCTCGTCAGCGAAGCGTGGCAATGGCGGACGGGCGCAGACGCACCGAAGAGTTCCAGAGGAAGTGGTCCAGCAGGTGGACGTACATGAGCCTGCAGAGGGGCAGGCGTGAGCACAGCAGGCGATGGATCGCATCTTGTCCACGCACACGGCGAAGTAGAGCGTCGGCAGGTCTGCGTGCAGCGTCAGCAGGTGTCGACAAGTTGCAAGCCGCAGCGCTCACAGTGGTGTATGTAGCACACGCGCGCCATGATGAGGAAGGGCAGGTACTGCAGCAGCGATGTGAGCGAGGCTCGCAGCACGACAGCACGCGCCCGCGCACGTGCAGGAACCAGCCGATGCCAGCGAGCTTGCCGACAAAGAGGAACTGGTTGAAGTCCGTGGGGCTGAGGTCGGCGTGGCGCCGCTGCATGCGGCCCAGGTACCACGCCAGCACCAGCACGACTGTGCGAGGAGTGAGTAGCTGCCGAGGATGGCAAAGGCAAGGCGACTCACAGACGAAGAGACTCGTCGTCGAGCCCCACCAGATGACCGGGTTGCCGACCCTGCGGAACGGTCAGCATGTCCCTCGACTTTGAGCTGCCAGCGCTGAGCTCACAGATAGTCTGCAAGGGAGACATGTGTTAGCCACCGCCGTACCAGCCTAGTTGCATCGTGACTCACACTTGATCTGGTTGTCGCCCCAGCCGTTCATGCGCAGGCCGTTGTAGAGCCACTGTGTTGCAGAGCGTTCAGCACGCGCTCTCTCCATCTAGCCTCACATACTCACCGGCCAGTCGAGCGCCTTGCTCGCCAGGATGTCGTCCTTGTCGGCGTCGGGCGTGAGCGCATTGTTGGACGTCATCATGGCGACGTTGAGGTGGATGAAGTCGCGCAGGAAGGGCGAGCGGTAGAGCTTCGTGTCTCCGGGCGGCACTGCGCGGTCATACGTGAGCGGAGGAACAGCGACCATGCGCCGCAGCAGCGCCACTCACGGCGCTCGTTCCAGTGGCTCTCGATGTTCCAGTAGGTATGCTCATCGCGCGGGTTGTTCTCCTTGTCGCAGCTGACCTCGACCTGACGCCAGCCCCACTGCGGCAGAATCGCACCGCCGGCGCGCATGTAGCAGCCGAGATTCTGGTGTCTGAAGCGCATGCGCGTCGTCAGGCTGCGGATCGGGTCGCCCGCGGCGCCCTTCTTGCGCGTGATGATGTCGTCGACGACCTCGACGACCCAGTAGTCGTTCGAGTCGCCGACCGTGTCGTTGCCGTAGCCGCTGATCTCGTAGTTCTCCTTGGTGATGGGCGCGGCAAAGTTGTGGCTGTGCAGGTTGCGGCCCGTCTGGACGTGCACGAAGCGGAACGTGTCGCCAGCCTTGAGGAAGCGGATCGGCTCGGTGCTGTTGGGCCCGGGCAGCGGCGCGTCCTCCCAGCGCGGCGTGATGACGAACTCGTTGTTGTTGTCCTTGTAGTGGTAGCACGTCACCTGCTGCTGCTGCGAGCCGGCAGGGTACGTCTGCACGTGCGAGTGGAGCAGGCCGCCGCCGTAGCCCATGTTCTTGAAGGTGACCTTGCTGCCGTACGCCGCCTCTGCAGGGTAGAGTCAGCGCAGCACCGCAGCAGGAGTCGGGCAGCACGCACCGAGCGGAGACTTGGCAAAGTCGTTGCCGCGCAGGTGCGCCTGGAACAGGCTGCTCATCTGTGCGTCGCCGGGCCCCGAGTTGCTGAGGATGAGGAAGTGGATGCGGAAGCACGTCATGTACACGATGACGGGCGAGACGATGAGGCACAGGATGCGCGCACACCAGTGTCGTGCGTACGTGCGCTGCAAAGGCGTCAGTACAGCATCGCAACATACATCAAGTCGACTCACCACGGGCATGCGCGTGTCGCCGAACTTGTCCCACAGATCCTCCATCGTGTACAGGCCGACGAGCGCCGTAGCGAAGAAGCCGACCCACTTGACGCTCGCCACGCAGCCGATGGAGAGGCCGGTGAACGTGAGCCAGAACCACCACATCTTGGAGAAGGAGCGGTTCTGCTGGCGGTGGAACATGACGAGGCCGTGCACGGTGGTGAAGGTGAAGAAGAGCAGCATCGAGTCGAGCAGGATGAAGCGCGAGATGACGAGCCAGGCATTGTCGCACAGCACCATGATGGCCAGCACGTGGCGCGAGCGCCAGTTCCAGCCCAGGGCGCCGCTCGTGCTGTAGGCAATCGGCGCCATCGCCACGCCGAACATGGCGAGGATGATGCGCATGCCCTGCGAGCCGTCAGCCACTGGCACACGCGTCTCACGCTGCTGCGACTCACGACGTAGTTGACATCGTCCGGATACTTCTCGCCGCTTTTGAACTCAAACTGGCCGCGGTAGCCGCTTATCAGGCCTGCGAGGCCGACGAGCATCTTGCCGAGCGGCGGGTGCACGTCGAAGTAGAACTCGCTCTTGAGGTAGTGCGAGCCGAACTTGCCGAAGTGCGCCTGCAGTGCGTGAGGATGGCGCTCTCGCTGTGCACTGCTGTGCGGCCACTCACCTCGTCCCAGATCACATGCGGACTTCGCCCAATGCCCCACAGCCGCGAGACCAGGCTCAGCACGAGGTACATGGCCGTCGTGGCCGCCTCGGACTGCTGCGAGAGAGCCGAAAGGTAGTCCAGCTGAGGAGCGAGGCGTCAGAGCCGTGGCACACAAACCAGCCCGGTTGCGCTCACTGGCGACTTGGGCGGCTGCTTCTCAGGAATGAGGCTGGCATACCCGCCCTTGCTCGCGCCTCCGCCATACGATGGCGTGTTGCCCAGCTCGGCGACGGGCTGCAGACCGGCGCGGGCGTAGGCCTGAGCGCCGGCACCGCCCTTCTCCTGGATCTTGTCCTCGCCCTTCTCCGCGCTGTACGGATCAAAGCCGCCAGCTGCGAAGCGGCGCGGCGTGGCGCCGGCCGACGAGGCGCCGCCGTGCGGGGCGTCGTAGCTCGTCGTCATGCCGGGCGAGTAGGTGGGCAGTGCCGGGCCGGACTCGTACGTGCGGTTCAGCTCGTACTCCTCGGCCGCCGGCGAGTCGCCGCGCTGCGAGCGGCTGGAGCCTTCGCGAGGGGAGGGTGGCCCGAAGTGCAGTGCTTGGTGCGGCGCAATGTTCAGCGGCGCGACGGGCATCGGGACGAGCGGCGCCGGATGCGCAGAGCGAACAGGAGAGAGCGCGGCGAGAGGCACACGGCTGCCAGCTGCGGCGCGATGATGGCTCTGCGGCGGCGCTGCGGCGGGTGCGCAAGAAGCAGGCGCAGCGAGTGAGTGGTGTGAGGGCTGTGAGGGTGCGGCTCGTCGTCGTCGTCGGAAGATGAGGCGCGAGGCCGAGACGCGCACGGCCGCAGCCAGCGGCAGCCTTCGCATCTGCCTGTGCGCGCAGCGCGTGCACGGCCGGCGCTGGCGGCTGCCTGCTTCCCGCGCCCAGCTGCCGCTGTTGTTCTCGCAACAGCAGGATCACCTCCGGGCCGCGAGATGCATTGAAGCCGCCTTTCTCTGCCAGGCTGCTCGGCAGCACGAGCGTACGGCCTGGCCAGTCAGTGAGGCGTCTGGCTCAGCCTTGCAGTGAGCTGGGGCGCGGCTGATGCGCTGCCAGGGGCTGTGCCGCACGCCGAGCCGGCTGCACCCTCGGCGCGCCGTGGGCCAGACGCGCCCTCTTCTCCAAGGATCCACGCCGATCGACCGGCGTCCCACCTCGCTACAGCAAACGTCTCCGACGGCGACTGATGCGCATGTGGGGCTCGAGTCACACTCTGCGAACAGGAGTGCGAACGGTGCGGGTGCGGCTGTGTGAGCTTGCCGGCGCAGACCAACACGCGTGCTGCACCGCGCGTCGCGCGCCACCTGCACGCACCCGTCCAGCATCGAAGCGTCGGGAAGCCTCAGCGCATCATCGCAAGCGAGAGAGCTGAAGCGCCGTGTTGCTGTGTTGACACCAAGCGGCGCCAGGTGCGCACCAGGTGTGGTGGTCGGACGGATGGGGCGCGGCGCGCAGACCTGCCTCCTTTGTCCTCTGCGTGCGTGCCTGCAGGCAAGCCGCGGCCGGCGGTGGGGCGCTCGAGCCTCCTCCTCGGATGTCGCCGCATCATCAACGGCGAAAGAGGCAATTGAATCAGGCCCGGCCGCACAAAGGGCTGGCCCACAACACTGCCAGCACTCTCTCCAGGCTTGCCTTCGCTCCTCCACCATCCCGCCTGTCCCGGCTGCTTCGCTGCGCCGCCGTCCACACCGCCCCTGTCACTCCTCCATCCGCGGCGCGACGCAGACGCGCTGCGCCGTCCACCCAGCCACTCCTGGCACCATAGCCATCGCACGCTGGCCACAGCTGCATCGATCTGCCACTCCGGCAACCTCCAGCCGCTCGCCCTCCGCGCACGCGAGCCACGCACGCCGCCATGCCTGGCAGCACCGGCTCGTGGCGCCGCCGCCTCGATCGCACCGCCAAGGCAGAGAGCTATCGAAGACAGGTGAGTGCAGCGCATGAAAGCTCTCGCCTCTCCACCTCGCCCGCTCACGGGCAAGCTGCTGCAGCGCGAGCAAGAGAACAGCGGCGACAGCACGTCGCCAGACTCCAGTCGCGCCAGCTCTCCTGTGAGTCTGACGGCCATACCTGCCACACCGTGTGAGGCGACGTGCACGCTTGAATGCAGCTCATCATGCGTTGTGACAGGCGCCCTTCGCTCGTAAACGCTCCGTGCTTGGCTCCTCGACGGGCGCCAACACGCCTCCGCGCTCGACGTGGAGCGGCGCCATCGTCACCACCTCCATTCCGACGCCACGCGCACCGGCCGTGCCTCTCAAGGCCTCGAACGGCTCCTGGTGTCAACGGTCCGCAATAGCAAGTGCGCAGATCGCCAGAACAGCGCCCATAGAGCGGCCTGTGTCGCCGCAAGATCGATTCTTCGCCGAAGCTACCGCCGCCAGCCTTGCGCTCGGCGCACCGCGCTCGAGCTACAACGCGCAGAGCTGGGCTGAGCTCGATGGTAGGCGTCGCATGCGAGACGACATCGCGGACAAGCTGCAGCTCATAGCGCAGTGTCCAGACTCAGACGATGTGGAGGAAGAAGGGAAGGAGGATGAGGAGGGATGGGCTGCGAAAAGGAGAGAAGGGACGGGCCGTGGCGGGTCCAAGTATGCCGGGCAATTGCCTCGCGGCCGCGTGAGGATCCGGGCCCTGGCGCCATCTGGCCCAGGTGCAGAAAGGTGAGTCGTAGTGTGGGTCGGCCCATCACGCTGTTGCTCAGACTCGTCCCTTGCAGAGACGACGAAGATGCCGAGGAGGAGGAGGCGCACTTCGCGCCATCGACGCTGGGCGACGTCGACTTCAGCGCCGCGTTTGAGCGCGAGAAGAGCAGCAGTCCGTCGAGGCTGCAGAACGACTCGGCTTCCACATCCGTAGATGACTCCTCGCCGCTGAATCCTGAGCCTCGTGTGCTCTTCTCGCTTGGCACGCCGACTGAGGACTTCGACGCGGGCGCGACAGCCAATCTAGAGACTCTCGGGCGTGTCATGAACTCCCACGGACGTCGTTGCCGCAGCATCAAGGCTGCGCAATGCGTCCGGCGGCGCACGTCAAGTTCCAACCGCCTCATCAAGGCCCTTCCCACCAATCGTGCGCAGCACACTCTCGCGACAGCAGCGCGCGAGGAGGAAGGTGACGACGCGCCGCACAAGCGTCGCATCACGCTCGCGCTCGAGCTAGACGCTCCGGAGGCGCCTTCGCCATCGCTGCCGCCGCCGAAGGTGCAGTCGAGCTGCAAGAAGTGCAAGGATGAGTCCTGCACTTACGAAGATCTCTTCAACGAGCATCAGCGCCTCACTGAGCTGCTCGAGTCGCGCCAGCTCGTGCATGACCTGTACCAGGCGCGCATCGAGGCGCTCGACCGCCTGCTCGGCAAGGAGCCGCCGGCGGCAGATGACTCAGAGCCAAGCGAGGCCAGCGCCGAAAAAGCAGACTTCACTGCGAAAGCCGCGCGCCTCTTTGACCAGATCCAATGCGCTGCCATGGAAGCGCCGGCGGTCGAGCCTCCGAGGCCAAAGCAGGTCGTCACGGAGAACTGGATCATCACTGTGCCCCAGGGCATCGTCGTAGGTCCGGCACCGCCGCTGCCTTCAGCGCTCCATGCGCCGGCGTATCTGCGCAGCCAAGCACGCCCAGCCAAGTCGAAACAAGAAAAGCAGGTGCTCGTGCGCACGCGACGAGAGAATCTCTGGCCGGCTCCGACGAGCAAGTATCCGCTCACGGTGAGCCACATGCTCGAGAAGGCGCGCACGATGCAGAAGGCTGGCGTGCCTCTGTCGCCGTCGATGCAGCGCGTGGTCGACAGCGATGCGAAGCTGCGAGAGCTGCTCCGCTCTCGCCCGCCGACGGGCACTGCCAAGCCCAGCGCTGTGAAGGTGCGCGACGCGGCCTTCGATGCGCAGGTCAAGAGCGTACTGCTGGCGCTCGAGGCCGAAGCCAAGGCCGAGCCCGATCGCCTTGCGCTCTTCGCACACCTCAAGGCCACGCTTACGGGCTCGGGCGACGAGCGCAAGATCGACGTCCTGGCAGTCAAGCTTCGCGTGTTGCGTTCCTGCGCGTCCTTCTCCGCCAAGGAGGTGGCAGAGCATCGCAAGCTGTTCGGTCGTCTTGGCGTCTCGCTGCCGTCGACGTGGGGCACAGAGCTGGACGCGAGTCTTGCGCTCATCGATCCTATCTTTGAGCTGCTTAATCACGCGTCCGAAGCTAAGGACGGCGCTCGACGCATGCCGGAGAGCATCATGGAGGGCCTCATCGATCTGCTCACCGACTTCCTCGACGTCGCCGTCAACCACTACGCTGAGCATCGCGACCGCGTACGCCAGTTCGTCGAGGGCCTGATGATGCCGACGGCACGCCAGGTGGACGGGACGCTCGAGGTCGCCGACATCCTCGCAGAGGGAGAGCTGTCGAGCGCCATTCTCATCGTGGCGTACGGTAACGCCCGCTCCCTCTCCACCTATCTTTCGAAGCGCGTCGAGAAGGAGACGATGCCGCTCGCACTGGCGCTCGACACGAATCTGCTGCAGCTCGCGCTGCGCATCGTCGCCGTCGTCTCGAAGCAGCTCCACGCTGTTGTGCTCAAGGGCCAGCCGGCGTGGCATTTGCTCCCGCGCGACCGCGCTGAAGGAACGAAGGCGTTCAACGAGAGAATCTTGCGTATGTCGAAGGAGGAGCCTTTCGCTTACCTTAAGCGTCTTGCTGCGGAGGGCACAGGCTCGTCTTCCTCTGAGTCGGATGCCGCGCCAGAGACAGCGCCGGAGCCGGAAGAGCCGGAGCCCAAGGCCGAGCCCGAGCTTAAGGCCGAGCCCGAGCCGACGAGGAGCGCCATTCGTCGAGCGCAGCGCAAGCAGCAGAGAGCGGCGCTCGATGGCACTCCCGAATCGGCGACTCCAGCGCTCGACCTCGGCGCCGACCGCTACGTCCTCCGCATCCTGCCCATGACGATGCGGCGCGATCTGATGCGCACGCGTATGAGTTGTCTCTTGCAGTTCCTCATCGGCCATCTCTTCCCGCCCGGCGCGCTGAGCGCTGCCATGACCGTCGGCGGCCTGATGAACGACTACGCGAAGGGCGTCGGCGCCAATTGCGACCTGGGCATCAGCGAGATCTGCTCGACGGTCATGACGCCCGCCATGCGCAAGCTGCAGGTGTACGAGCACGCACACCAGGACCGCTCCGCCGCCATGCTGCTCACGACGGGCGTGGCGCTGCGCAGCGTCCTGACGCGCTTCGACCATCGCGAGTCGGACGCGATGGCGTTTGGCTACACGGTTGCCTCCGAGGCAGGCCTGCGTCGTCTCTTCGCCGTCGTGGAGCGGCAGCTCGAGACGCTCGAGCGCAATTACGACGGCGAGACGGGCACGTTCTTCCGGCAACTCGAGGCCGGCGCCGACGGTCGTTCGCGCCTCGAGGTCGGCATCGAGCTGTATCGCGGCGTGGACCTCAAGGCGCCGCTCATGAATGTGCTGAAGCTGCTCAGCGAGGTCATGTCGGCGCTGCTGAAGGTGCGTCGCGCCAACGCACCGTGTGCCCTTTTCGCGAGCTGACGACTCTCGCAGGCACAAGTCGCGTCGCATATGGAGAAGGAGCGCGGCATCCTCAAGCGAGAGGCGCACTACGAGCTCGATCCGTGGGATGTTGATGACCGGCTATCGGAGAACTCGCTCGAGATGGTGCGCGTCTCGTGTCGCGTCTCGGTATCACTCCTGTGTTGACACACTGGCCATCGCAGCGTCGCAGCAAGCTCTTCGATGGCGGCGTCGGCCCCGAGCTCAGTCTCGAGGCGCTGTGCATCGCCCTCCCGCAAGTCTTCTGCGATGCCCTCGAGCGCGAGACGCTGCCCGAGGCAAGCAAGATCTGCATCACCCTCAAGAAGAACCCGCACCCGCCCAAGGCGCGCGCCACCAAGATCAAGCATTCGGCGGGACGCAGCCGGCGTCCGGGCATCTGATCGCCAGCAGCGTCGCGCAGCAAGGCGCGAGGCCATCGTGCGGCGACCACACCACTCACATTTCCCTTCTGCGTCACGGCTGTTCTGCAACCACGCACTCGTACCCACGCACATCATTCCCGTCCATCAAGCATCCCTCTAGGCCATTCAATGTCATCGTGTCACTTGTGCATTTGCGAACGCCGTCAGGCAGCCGCTGCCGACTGCAGCGTCTTGGAGAGGGAGCTCATCGTGGCACGCAGCAGGCCCGTGACGCCGAGGGCGCCGCGCTCCTCGAGCCATCCGAGGAAGGCGGAGCGGAAGTCGACGAGACTGACCGCTGGCAGTCCGGCCTGTGAACGCAGCAGAGAGGGCATCAGCGGCTGATAGCCAGGCAGAGGTGCTTGCGGCACTCACCTTTCGTGCATCGCGCAGTGCTCCAGCCGTCACAGGCCCGCTCACGACGGGCGCTGGCAGCTTGGCAGTGCGCGCCGACTCCTGCAGAGGGGCAAATGGTCGGACTCAGCACATGCCGATGAGGAGCGCAGGGTGACAAGACGTACGTTGGCATATGCCTCGGCCAGCGCAATGAACGCCGAGCCGTGCGTGACGGAGGCGATCTGTGCTAGATCACAGCCTGCTTCGTCGCAGCGAGCGCGGAGGCGCTTGACGAGGTAGCTAGCATCCAGACGGCGTCAGTCAGGCGTCGAGCTCGTCGCACTCCTTTCTGAGGGGGACTCACGGCTTGATGCCCACATCCGTGGCGCCCGCTTCGACCGTGTCAAGCGCCTTGATCCTCCACACCAGGTCCGCAAGCAAGACGACTGCCTCGTTGAGACGATCCTTGTTCGCCTCACTGAAGTACTCGCGTGTCGTTTCGCTCAGGTTGATCGAGTCGCCCGCTGACTCGTGTGCGTTGAACTTGGCGCGGACGGTCTGCACGAGTCCGCAGGCGCGAGAGAGGGGCATGATGCCGCCCACGCGAGAGAGGATGAGGAGCAGCAGATGAGAGGAGGAGGGAAGCAGGAAGGTGTGCGTTCCTGTGAGAGAGGGCGAGGAGAGGACCTCGAGGAGGCGCAGTGCCGCGGACTGGACGCGCAGCGTAGGATGGCTCTGTCGCGCTGTGGTCAGCAGGGCCAGTGGGAGTACTCAGGGCGATCCACTCACGACGATCAACGACATCGCCAGCTCGGCGGCAGCATGGGCTGTATTGCGCAGCGTCTGCTCGTAGTCCACCTTGCGCAGCAGGGGCGTCGCATCATAGTAGCTGCACACCTCACAGGTCAGCCTGTGAGAGGCGCAACGAGGCAGAGCAAAACGACTCACACAAGCCGACCCTTGCCCGCATCTCGCTGCAGCTTGGCCCAGTCTGCGCGTCCCCAGCGCGAGAGCATGGCAGCCAGAGCACTGAGCACCTCTTCAGGCTTTGCATGTCGCTCGTTCCTTGCGCTCTTTGCGCACTCGGAGAGCGGCTGCATGACTGCCAGGTCGAAGTCTGTGCGGTGCCGTGTTCAGTGCAGCTCAACCAAAGGGAAGGCTGTGAGACTCACCGGCCCATTCCGTTGGCGGCAGCAATGGCACGAGTCCCGCGAGCGCATGCCAGCGCACGCGCTCCGTGACCCATTGCGTCGCCTGCGGCGGCAGTCCAGTGGTGCGCCAAGTCCTCGCCGCCAGCTCAGCCAGATCACTGCATCTCGCATCTCTTCCCGCCTCCCAGTCCTCCTGCAATCTCGCCAGCACCCATCGCGCCACGCGTGCGCCATGCGTTGCGTCGACGCTTGCGGTGATCGCTAGCCTCGAGGGAGCATGTGCGAGGGAAGCAGCTAGGTTTGCTGGCAGGAGCAAGCGCGGCAGCATGGAGCCTAAGGCGATCGAGGAACGAGCTTCGGTGGAGAGAGGACGCGTGCCGATTGGCGTGCAGATTGGCAGGGGCACGAGCGTGCCGCCGCCTTGGTTGACGCTGGCAGCGAGAGAAAGACGAGGGCGCTTGCCTGGCGGAGGAGCGTCTACTGCGCCACCTGACGAGTGTGTGGCTCGGACGGAGGCAAGCCAGTTGGGATCGACGTGCTTGACGTTGGCGCTGATGTTGGGCAGCGGCAGCGCGAAGAGCAAGGAAGGCAGGAACGTCGCGTAGACCGCTAGCAGATTTGTGAGGGAGCTGTCGGTGGGATTCGTGCCGCGCAGGGCCATGCTGAGGGGGAGACACGGAGTGAGACCCGCAGAGTCAGGAGAACGCGCGGATGACTCACAGACGCGCCACGCGGTAGGGCTTGACGTGGGCTCTGCGCGTCAGAGCACCGAGCAGAGCACATAGGTGAGGTCTGCGGGGGCAGGATGCATCAGGGTCGTGCAGCCCACGCTTGTGGCGCAGAGACGGCTCACCGCAGCGTGGCATAGTCGAGAAAGTGGAAGAGGATGCCGTATGCGCGGCCGAGCGTCTGGCGCGCCTTGGGCGTGAGGAACGAGGTCGGGAGCGCAATGGCCTGTCCGTCGCTGTCGGACGGCAGACCGGCAGGCGGCTCGAGGAAGCAGAGCAGCAGACGCAGCAGTGCGGCCTGCACAGACGCTCAGCAGGAGGCGCAGAGCAGCTGTGTGTGGGTGGCTCGTCTCACCTGCTCGCCCGCATCCACATCGCCGCGCTCCTCCTCGCCGTCGATGCCGTCTCCAATCGGCCTCGCGCCGCCCAGGCAGCCGAGGATGATCTCTACGTCTCGGCAGCGCAGGCGCGCCCCCTTGGCCGGCACGGCGCAGCGCAGGAGCTTGCGCGCCGCAGCGGGCCGCGCCTCGAGTGCCAGCGTGAGGAGCGAGCGCAGCTCGTGCGTGGAGAGGCCGCCGGCGGGCGACGTGGCGAGGTGGGCGAGCGCGTCGAGCTGCGCGGCGAGCGCGGTGCGGCTGGCCGGCGTCGAGGGCGCGCGGCTGAGTGCGCGGAGCGAGACGAGCAGCGCGGCAGGTGTCTGCGCCGAGCTGCCGGGCGACGGCGAGCGCGACATGGCGGCGTGCGGCAGCTGTGAGAGGGCGTGGTGGTGCGGAGCAAGGCGCAACGTGGAGCGCGAGAGCGAAGCGCTGCCTCGGGACACGGCCTCGACGCGTCTCGCGCCGCGCGGCCGCGGGTGTTGATCTCGCGCCGCGCGCCGCGTGCCGTGCCAGACCACGTGGGCGGACCCTCGCCCGCGGCTGAGGGCCGCGGCGTCGGCCACCGACGGGCTCGCGCGCCTGCTCACCGCCGGCACCGCATCCGCACCTCTGCCTTCTCAGCATCGACCGGGCCTGAGTTTCCTGCTCACACGCCGTAAGGTGCTTGATGCGGTGGGCGTGCAGCGAGATGCTTCTCCACAGAGATCAGGCCCGCCACTGTGTGGACTGTCTGCGAGATGAATAGAACGAGCAAGGGTGCGCACGGCCGCGCTGCGCCTCGACCCTGCCTCGCGCTGTCGCTGCGTCGAGCGCTGCACACGCCCATCGCACCCCACAGAGCCTGCAAGCGTGCCGCAGCAGCGGCAGGAGCTGTCCATGACATGGCCGCTGCGCTGCGCTGTCTGAGCGGCTGGCCTCGCAGTGCTGCCAAGAGGCGCCTCGAAGGTGACCGCCGCGCGCTGTTCCCACGCGGCGGCGCCCGGTCCGTGGCCCGCCGCGCCGCCGTTGTTGGGGCTGCATGTGCTGGCGCTGCGCCTGCGCGCCCGCCGGCGGCCGTCGGTCAGCGCCGGACGTGTGCCGCGGCGTGCCTGGTGCTGCCTTCGCGCGCGCGGTGCGGCGCTTGCTCGGCGCGAACGTTCGGCGCTGGCGCTGCATTTCGCCTGCGCGCTTTGACGCCGGCGCCTCACTTCATCTGGCTGGCGGTGCTCCTTCGCTCTGCACCCCATCCCCACCCTCGCCCACCCCACCCCATCTCACACGCAATGTCGAGCCTCCGCTCCGTCGCCGGCCTGCGTGCTGCGCTCCGTGCGCCTGCTGCGGTGAGTCGTGACGGTGGCTGGATGCGCCATGCTCCACCTCATGGCTCACACCCTTTCCCCTGCAGCGCCTCGGCAGCGTGCGCGCCCACAGCACCACCGTCGACTCCTCCAACGCCGGCAGCGTGCACATCACCGCCGCCGCCTCCGTCACGCCCGTCAACGTGCCGGCGTCGGGCAGCGAGAAGTTCAAGGTGCACCTCGACGAGGCCAGCTTCAAGGGCTACAAGCACGAGATCCCCGCCCTCGAGATCGAGACGAGCAAGGACCACCTCGTCCACCTCTACACCGAGATGGTCAAGATGCGCCGCATGGAGATGGCCGCCGATCAGCTCTACAAGCAGAAGCTCATCCGCGGCTTCTGCCACCTCGCCATCGGCCAGGTGAGTGCCAAGCAATGCGGTGCAGTGTGCGAGCGTAGAAGGGCGCTGCGGTGTAGTGCGAGCACAGAAGGGCGATGCGATGAGGGCGATGCAATGTCGTGACCGCGGCGAGCGCACGTCGTGTGCACGGCGCCTTTCTGAGCACATGCGGACTCGGACTACTGCGCATCGAGACTGCGCGGCGATGCGCTGGCCCCTCTGCTCTGTGATACAGCTCTGACGCATCCTTCACCCGCAGGAGGCCGTGGCTGTGGGCATGGAGTCGGGAATGAAGCCGTCCGACAAGCTCATCACCGCCTACCGCTGCCACCCCTTCACCGTGCAGCGCGGCGGCACCATCAAGAGTGTCATTGCCGAGCTGTTCGGCCGCGAGGCGGGCATCAGCAAGGGCAAGGGCGGCAGCATGCACATGTGAGGCCAGCGGGCGCTGCATCTTCTGCTGCCGCACACGTGCTCACCCGCAGCGCAGGTTCACGCCGACGTTCTTCGGCGGCAACGGCATTGTGGGCGCGCAGGTGCCCGTCGGTGCCGGCCTTGCCTTTGCGCAGCAGTACCTCGGCACGCAGGACGCCACGTTTGCCATGTACGGCGACGGCGCCTCGAACCAGGGTCAGGTGTTCGAGGCCTTCAACATGGCCAAGCTGTGGAAGCTGCCGTGCGTTTTCATCTGCGAGAACAACAAGTACGGCATGGGCACATCGGCCGAGCGCAGCTCGATGAACACGCAGTACTACACGCGCGGCGACGTCATTCCCGGCCTGCAGGTCAACGCCATGGACGTGCTGGCCGTCTCTGCCGCCACGGCACACGCCAGCAAGTTCGTCCTCTCCGGCGAGGGCCCGCTCGTCATGGAGCTCGTCACCTACCGCTACGGCGGCCACTCGCTCTCGGACCCCGGCACCACGTACCGCACGCGCGACGAGATCCAGAGCATGCGCTCCTCGTCGGACCCCATCCAGGGCCTCAAGAGCCGCATCCTCGAGTGGGGCGTGGTGGACGAGGCGACGCTGAAGAAGGTCGACAAGGCGGCCAAGGAGGAGGTGGACCAGGCGGTGGAGGAGGCCAAGCAGAGCCCGGAGCCGGATGTCAAGGAGCTCTGGACCGACATCTAGTGAGTTCAGCGCGCTGCGGCTTGATCATGACAGAGCTGACGCTCGCCTCTCCCTCGCAGCTACAAGGGCACTGAGCCCGACTTCATGCGCGGCCGCGAGAAGGAGGAGTGAGTCCGACGTCTCACGCCATGCGGTCCCTTTGGCCACCCACTGACTGAGCCGCGCCTAGGATCCACCGCTACCGCTAAGCGTCCATCTGCCACGGCGCGTGCGGCCGCATCGTCGCGCGCGCCAAGCCATAGATTTCCGTCACGACTCTTTGCTTCGTTTTGAGAGAGGAGAGGGGAAGGGGACGCGGACGCTCATGCGGGCCGCGTCGAATCACATCGTCATGCTTCATCACAGGCGCGGCACGAGTCTGAGCGACGACGCGAGGTGAGAGCCAGAGAGACGTGATGCATTACGAGAGCGAGACATGAAGACATCAAGAGAACAGGCGTGGCGGAGCTGTGGGGCTCGACGCGGGACATCAGGGAGAGAAGAATGGTGAGGCGACGCTGGCCGCTCAGGTCTGTGCCTGCACGCGCGACGTCGACGGCGTGCCTGCGACGTTGAGCAAGCTGATGGCCTTTGCGAGGAAGCTCTGCTGCTGTGGCTGCTGAGCAAGCAGCATCTTGGCTGCCGCGGCAGGAGTGCTCGTGGTCGTGGGTGCACGCGCATCGACGACGGCCGCCTCAAGGATGGCTGCTGCGTGCGCCATGGCAGCCGAGGAGACGCCGCTCGGCACGCTCGCCACGAGTGCCCCAGCTCCGCCGGTGAATGACTCGTCGGTGTACTCGCCGGAGAAGTCGGCCCAGAGATCCGCCGCCTCGGGCGCTGCAGGAGCAGCGGGCAGTGCGACCTCGCTGAGTGGACTGCGTGCGGGCATCGCGGTCGCCTGTGCCGCGCTCGTTGTTGCGGTGCTGAGCGACCTTGCGGGCAGACCGCGCAGAGAGCGTTGAGCGCAGAGCAAAGCAAGCGGCTCGTGGTGCGCCGCCAGACTGATGCTGCTGCGCTCGCGACGAGAGGCAGCGGTGGCCGTCGGGTGTCGTCGACCAAGCTTCGCGCCGGCTGTCTCCGCAGCAGCGGGCGTGGAGCAGATTGGCTCGTCAATCGGCAGTTCGACGAACCGCAGACGCGGCAGCAGCAGGTCGTTGTCGCCCAGTTCATCGCTGCACGCATACTCTGCCACTTCGCACAGCGAGGTAGAGCCAATACGGCGCCGCGCAGGAGAGCGCGGGTCGACCTGATGCAGCGGTACGCCGTCCACGAGTACGCTTGATGCCGAGGCGAGCGTTTCGAACGAGGCGCTCTGCGTCATGGAGCAGGACCAGGAGGCATGCATGTCCGGCGAAGCGCGGAGCGAGGTACTGCGGGACAAGATGGAACGGCGAGCAGAGCTGGGACCGCGAAGACGTCGACCGTCGCCGGAGGAGATGTTGCAGAGGCTCATGTCGCGAGAGAGCTCGAGGTCGGATGAGGCGGCACTAGACAGCGTCTGGTCTGCCTCGTGTCGAGCTCGCTCGCGTGCGTGATGCGTCTGACCGGCAATGGGAAGCGGTTGCAGGCGAGCCTGTCTCGCCTTGATCATCTTGATCTCAGCTTCGAGCTGCGCAAGGCGCAGAAGGTCTGACTCTGCCGACGGCTCCGACTCTGGTGGAGTGATCTCCTGGACCTGCGTGTCGACGGGAATCGTCGAGATGATCGGGATGACCATCTCGTCGCAATCGTCGCTGTGCGAGCTCTCGGAGGCCAGATTCTGCTGCGCCATCAGCGTGGCGACTTGAGACAGCACGAGTCGCTGAGCGCCCGACAGATGCTCGAAAGGGTCCACTCCGTCCCATTTGACGCGCTGCGACTGCTGCTGCTCTGCGATGCCGCCAGGCTTGGCATCCAGCACCGAGGCGCCACGAGAACGACCACGTGCCTTTGGCACGTCCGCCAGACTGTAGCAAGGCGGCTGTGGCAAGGGCGGCGCATCGAAGGAACCTCGACTGAGCGGCGGACTTGTGCGCTCGCCTGTGACGGTGTGGCGGCGTAGCTCTGCGGTGCTTCGCAGCTGCGGAACGTCGAGACCAAGTCCTTGCACTACCGGCGACGAGCCGAACGACGTCGCCTGGTCCGTGGCGGACGGCGCAGCACGTCGTGGCAGTGTTGCCGAGGCCGAAGAGACGACACGAGTGGTGTCGCTGCTTGGGATGCCGTAGCTTGGCGCAAGGTACACGGCCAGATCCGGCGAGCCATACTTGGTACGCTTCGCGACTGCGGCAGCGTCGATCTGCGAGCGAGAGCCATCGAAGAGGTTCCCGCTTCCCCCAGTCACGGCTCCAAAGACGGCTCCGAACTGCGGACCGTAGTTGACTGCGGTGGTGGTGGGCAATGATGACTCGAGCGTAGGCACGACACTGCTTAGCTCTTCGCTTGCTGCCGCTGCCAGGCGAGCAGCGCGCTGCATTCGTCGAGTCAACGTCGCCTCGCGCACCTGACGTTGCTCATCTTGCGCCAGCAAAGCATGCAATGTGCTGGCCGGCACCTCGCTGTCCGCCGCTGCAACGCTGCCAAACTCGGTCTGCCAGCTTGGCGCAGACGAAGGGACGTCGCTGCTCAGGCGAGCTCTTCGTCGTGGCGATGCTGGTGCTGCAAAGGAGAGCGCAGGCGGAGGAGGCATGCGGTTCGAGAAGGTCGGTGCTTCGAGGGCTTGCTCGGTGCCGGTGCGAAATGAGACAAAGGCGCTGGCGGTTGGGCGCTCTGCTGCAAGCTCTGCGGCTCGTCGATGCAGAGCGGGCTCGGATACTGCAGTGTAGAGTGTCTCGTCGTGCGAGACTGAGTCGCAGGAAGGTACAGTGGAGTCGGAGGCGTCGAGAGACTCCAGACTGCAGCCGTCTTGTTCCCACCACCATCTTCTCGGATCGAGCTCGGTGGGCACGTCGAGCACTGCATCTGAGGAGCTCCAGGTCGGTGCTCCGAAGAAGGAGTCGTCTCCTGTCGAGGGTGCAATCTGCTGAAAGACAGACGGCAGCGAGAAGGAGACCTCGGTGCTTGCCTTGTCGAGCACAGTTGGCGAAGATGATGGCCAGAGGCCGTCTCGTTCATCGCGCGGAGTCGGAGGCTGAGCACTACTGGCCGCGGACACTTGACTGTCTGCAGAATCACGACGATCCATGCCTTGCGCCTGTGGCAACTGAAGAATAGAAGCTGGAGCGAAAGGCGACAGGATAGAGAGTAGCCTGCTGTGCGTGTACTCTTCTTCTTCGTCGACATCGACGTCGTCCTCGAGGACCAGCGCGCTTGGTCCCGCTGCGCTGCTTGCGTGGGAAGCGGGAGGATGGGAGCTGAAGCACGCCACGGGCGAGGGCAGACAACTCATAGGACTGAGATTGCCGAGCTCCGGAAGCTCCGGCTCTCGAGCTTGTCTTGCGCTGCATGTTCCGCAAAGCGCCACGAACTGCGCAATGAGCGACGTCGGAATGCTACGAGCATCTTGCAGTCAGCACGAGCTGCTGCGCGTTGGGTGAAAGAACAAAGCTCACCTGGCGTAGCGCGATTCGAGACGCTCCCGAGTCTTCTCCACCGATGCGGATTCTTGCACCGGGTCAGCGTGAGAGTGACTGTCGAGGCCGCTCGAGGTGTTAGCTCAGCCGGAACTCCACGCCGTCCCAACTCACGCCCACTTGAGCACCTCGTACAAACGCTCCGGATGCACGGCCGGCTTGCCACTGGCGGCATTCACGAGCAGAGCATCCCACGTTCCAGTGCCTCTGGCCGTGATTCCCGTCTCGCCCACAGCCTCCTCGGCCGAGCCAAAGCGCCACTCGCTGCGCGCCCATCGAACGAAGTCGATCGAAGACCATTCGGGTGCGCCGTTGACGATCGCGACGGCTGCCTCTGCGCTGCTTGACTCCAGCTGCGATTCGGAGAGCAGCGCCTGAACGACTGCCTGGTAAGTCGAGGGCAGCAGCAGTGCAGCATCCGTCATGATCGTCTCGTGCATCGTGTACTTCGCCACACATCTCTCCCACTTCTCCTTTCCCACGCCTCGCTTCGCGCCGGGAGTAGCGCCCGGCGTAGGCGCGCAAGGTCGGCCTTCAATGCTAGAGGAGCAGCGACGCTGTGGAGTAGGCGAAGCGGACCGGACGGGCGGAGCGCGCATCTCGAAAGTAGCAAGTGGAGCTCGACGCCAGGGCGTGCGAAGACGAGCGCGGACTTTGTCTCGTCGTTGGAGGCGCAGGAGCTCCTCGGCCTCGACGTCTAGCTCGAGCTGCACCACCATGGGCTGCGGCTCGAGAGTAGATGAAGCCATGGACGAAGAGGCGCCGGGTGCTTGAGAGGCAAGCATTTCGTTGTTGAGCGCCGGAGCGCCAGCGGTGGGAGTCGTGCTGCAGGAGTGCTGCCGACTGAGAGAGCTTGACGGCAATGCGCACGGCGGGCACGGAGAAAGGCTTGAGAGTGACGCTTGAGGCGGCGGCGAGGGCTGGAGGGTGGAGAGGGAGAGGAGCTGGAGCGAGAGCAGCGAGCGGGTCGAGGGGCTCGGCATTGCGACCTTATACAGCTCCCGCCGCAGCTCGGGTGCGGGGGAATCGGGCGAGAGGATGATGAGGTGAGAAGAGAGGAGCAGGGAGCAAGATGGAGTAGCTAGCCGCCCGATGGCACGACGGGCGGCCGGTGCGGTAGATGCGCGACAACAGGTACACCCGCTTGCGCTGCTGCCGTAGGAGCGTGCAGGTGCGTGGTCAGGCAGCGAGCAGCGTCGACGCGGGCGCCGCGGAGGGCAGAGCGCAGATGTGGTGAGCAGCGGCGTGCCGAGCGCTGAGGCAGGCCGCTGCAGCTGCTGGGCTGGGCAGAGGCAAGCCGAGGCAGCGGCGTCGGGTGCGGAGCGTCGGCCTGCGGGGCCAGGCTGTCCGACGAGCGTCTCTCGGCCGTCCTGAGAAGGCAGTCGAGGCGGGCGGCGACGCGTGCTCAGGGGGCGCACGAAAGGTTGCTGCGCTGCGTTGCTGCACGCGTGTGCGGCACCGGACCGCGTGCGCAGCGGACGAGCAAAGCTCTGCTCGAGAGCGCTGAGATCCTTCGAGTGGAGACGAGGCCGGCGGACAGAGGAGCTGCGGCGTGCGGCAGCAAGGTTGGACAACGTCTCTCGGCCTGTCGCAGCGGCGGCCAGAGCCGGAGCGCGCAGGCGTGGACGGAGAAATGTGACCGGCGCGAAAGCTGAGCGGCAGGCGGCAGCGGCAGACGAGCTGGAGGGAGAGGGCTCGAGCTCGAGGAAGAAGAGAGAGAGGGAGAGCGGAGCAAAGAGGTGCAGCGACAGCGGCAGCGTGCCAGGCGCAGCATGCGCTGTGCGGCGTGCGCTGAGCGGGCCATGTGCACTGCCCTCTCTCTCTCTCTCTCTCGGCGCCGCAGCCCGGACCGACGGACGGACCGACGGCGGCCAAGGGAAGGGATGGTACAGCTTCTACGAGGCTTGCGAAGCGTCAGAGACGGCTGAACCTTGCTGTCGAGCAGCTCGCAAGCGGAGGAAGAGCGAGGCTCGCAGAGTAAGATGTCCCCTTGGCAGCCGCCAGAGCGCCTGGTGCTGGTCAGCGTGGCAAAGCTGTGCATGTACCGGCACAAGGCGGGTAGCGCGAGCATGAATGCATAGGCACAGCGCTTGTAAGCTGCAGTCGACGTAGGCCGGGCGTAAGACGTGGCCGATGCTGCCACTGACGAGAGAAGAGCGGTGAGAGGGGAGCCGTTGAACGGCTACCGCCGGCGGCCGAGCCTCATCCTCGCGCGCTGCGTCGGCGGCCGTGGCGACGCGGCGTGCGGTGGCGCCGCACGCTCGTCGCTGTGCAGACTAAGCTGCACTGATAGCAGCGGCTCAGCGCGCTGCGGTCTGGGTGCTGACTGCAGGCTGCATCTGCGGCTGCCGAGAGAATGCCGACCTGGGCGGAGCGGTGCGGCGGCGGGTGTGGCCGTTGAGACGCGAGAGGGCGGCACCTCGGGCGGGGCGCGGCGTACGCGCGCGCGCGCAGCAGGCCGACCATGACCGTCGGCCCGTCGGGCTGCCTCAGCGAGCAAGCAGCGAGAAGCTTTGCCTGCAGCTGATCGACTGAGAGCTCGACATGATGTGATGGTGCAGAGGAGAGAGCGCAGGCTTCTCGAGGAGAGGCCAAGCGAGGGGTCGGAGGGGATGCTCCCAGGCAGCGTGGGAGCGGCACGTGATGCGCGCCCGCACGGACGGCATGCGGGGCTGGGAGCGCTGGCGGCGGCGGCGACTTGGCGCGCCGTCGTGGCGGCTGCTTCTTCTCCACCTGCTCATCCCCAACTTCCACCTCTCGTCTGGCCATCCGCGCTGCGCCCAGCCGCTAGCATGCTCGACCACTTCACCATCTTCACCCGCAGTGCGTGCTCCTCGCCCGTCGCTCTCGCTCTTTCACTGACTCTGCTGGCGTGCTCAGCCGGCACGGTGCTCTGGTCGCGCTCCTTCACGCCGCCGTCTTCGGCGCAGGCTGCCAGTGCGTCGGCCGCAGTCGATGCGCTCGTGCGCCACGCCTTTGTCGAGGAGCGCGTGGCCGACGAGCGCTGGGAGAAGGACGGCTATGCGCTGCGCTGGACGCGCGCAAACGACCTCGATCTCGTCTTTGTCGTGCGTGTGCCTCTGTCCCAGTGCTGCGCTCGCATGGCTGATGAGATGCGCATGGGCAGGTCGTGTACCAACGCATCCTGCAGCTCGCCTACATTCCCGATCTGCTCGCTCGCGTCAAGGCCCTCTTCCTCGATCTCTTCACTCCCTTCCTCCGCGCTCTTCTCGCCCACTCTCGCAACTCCACCTCTGCACTCTCCTCCTCCCTGCGGCGCTCCTTCGCCGAGGGCCTCAAGGCCTGGGAGGAGACGTTCACGCGCACGCTGCGCGAGCTGGAGCGTGGCTCTGCAGCTGCTGCGCGCCGCAATGCGCCGCTGCTGGAGCGCGCCGACTCGACGCAGACGGCCGAGGGCGGCGAAGACACGGACGGAGCTGCGACTGGCACCGACACGCCCGAGAAGAACGCGCGTGGCGATGGAGCAGAGATAGCGAAGAACGTTGAAGCCCTCAAGGCGCGGCTCAAGGCTGCGGAATTGGGAGGCGGAAGGGGCGGCAAGGGCCCTGCGGGTCGTCGGCAGGTCAGTCGGAAAGTCAGCGCTCGTGCCGGCGGGACCGAGACGCCAGGCACGCCGGGCAGCGGCACGGAGAGTGTCAGCAATACGCCGAGCAAGAAGTCGAAGGCGCCGGCGAAGGAGATGCGCAGATGGGAGGGCGGCAAGGTGTCGGAGAAGCACGTCGAGGCGTTGGACTTTAGCAGCAAGACGCAGGATGGAGGCGCGAAGGACGAGGAGAAGGGCACGCTGGAGGGATGGATCGACGAGAAGAGCATGGGAAAGAAGGGCGAGGATGGAGCTTATGAAGTAGCAGATGTCCTGCCCGACGGCGACTCGGACGACGAGGAAGACGAGGCGGAGGAAGGCAAAGGCGGATTCCTCTCCCGCTTCGCGCCTGCACTAGGCAGCAGCAACAACGCCTCAGGTGGCTTCTTCTCTCGCATGACTGGCTCGCATGCTCTCACCGAGGCGGACGTAGCGCCGGCACTTTCGGCGATGCAAGCGCACCTGCAGAGCAAGAATGTCGCCGCCGACGTGGCGCAGCGACTGTGCGCCTCTGTCTCGCGCTCGCTCGTCGGCCGTCAACTCGGCAGCTTCGGCAGTGTCAAGACCGAGGTTCGCAAGGCGCTCGAAGAGGCCATCACGCGCATCTTGACGCCGAAGAGCAGTACAGACATTCTCGTCGAGATTGCGCAGAAGCGGCAACGCGGACTGGCGGCGCGCGCAGGCGCCGTCGGCAGCAAAGGCAGCGAGGAGGCACTCGAGCCATACTCGATGGCCTTCGTCGGCGTCAACGGCGTCGGCAAGTCGACGTCGCTTGCCAAAGTCTGCTTCTGGCTGCTTCAGAACCGTCTCCGCGTGCTCATTGCCGCATGCGACACGTTCAGATCCGGCGCCGTCGAACAGCTGCGCGTGCACGTGCGCAACCTCGGTCAGCTGGATGTGGGAGGCGAGCGTGTCGCCGATGGCACGGCGGACGGCAAGGCCAAGCTGGAGCTGTTCGAGCGCGGATACGGCAAAGATGCGGCGGGCATCGCCAAGGAGGCGCTGGCGTACGCCAAGAAGGAACACTTTGATGTCGTCGTCATCGACTCTGCGGGCCGACAGCAGGGCAACGAGCCTCTGATGCGCGCACTTGCAAAGCTCGTCTCGATCAACAAGCCCGACAAGGTCATCTTCGTCGGCGAGGCCATCGTCGGCAACGAGGCGCAGGCGCAGGTCGTGGGCTTCAACGAGGCGCTGAAGAACTTCAGCGGAGTGGCCGACCCGCGCGGCTTGGATGCGCTGCTGTTGACGAAGTGGGACGCGGTGGCGGACCAGGTGGGCACGGCGTTGACGATTACGTCCGCCACGGGACTGCCGATTGCGCTCGTCGGCGATGGACAGACGTACACCGACCTGCGGCGCCTGCGCGTGCCGCACATCGTCGACGCACTGATGCGAAGCTAGGGTCCTCGCGCCGACTCTCCTCGTGTGATACTCTCGCCATTCCTCGCACGCACTTCACGCAATGCACACATGTCCTCGAGCTCATCAGATTGCATCCTCCTCGAGTGACCTGACGCCCCCAGGACCGATCACGAAGCGTACACTCTTCTGTGCGCTAGCGAACGGCGAGAACAGCAGCGTGGCACGACTGACTTGCTGCTCCTTCCTGCCCGCCTCTCCCTCTTCTCCCGCTCCTCCCGCAGTCTTCCTCGGCGACTTCGAGAGCAAGAGCCGCGTGTTGATGCCGTTGACCCACGGCAGACCCAGTGCCGCCTGTTTCAGTCTCGAAGTTGCAGCGTCGATGCCTCGCGCATCTTCTCCGCGCCTGAGCGCCTCAAGCAGCGCATCGTTGGTCGCGTAGAGACCGGAGAAGGTCGCGGCCTGCTGCACGAACGCCAGCGGCGCATCGAGGCCTGCTTCGCGCGCCGTACGCAGCGTGCGCGGCAGGTCGGCAATGCTGCGCGAGGCAGGCGCGGAGGAGGAGAGCGAGAGCAGTTCTCGGCCTGAGGAGATGGCTAATGCCCGTTCGCGCTCGAAGACGTCCGAGACGTGGTTCACTACCACGACCGCGATAGGCCTGCGCTTCGGCGTCGTTGCTGTGTGCTCGGCAGACGTCGAGGAGACTGTGCTTGCGTCCTCCCTGCCGCCGCAATGCGCGAGCACTTTGAGTCGGTCCGCAAGCTCGAAGAGCATCCTGGAGCGCGCCACCAGGCTCGACATGGAGCCACTGTTGTTGTCCTCTTGAAACAGTGCGGGCAGATCGTCGATGATGATCAGGCCTATCTCTGCCGCTCCACCTCCTCCTTCTTCTCGTTGCTGCGCCGCTGCTGCATCCTTTGCGTCGGAAGAGCAGCGATGGATGAGTGCAGGCAGCGTGTAGAGAAGAGCATGTTCGAGTGCCTCGCCATCGCCCACGCATGCGAGGTGTACATTCGCAAGCATGCGTTCACGCGCCAGCTCGACTTCCTCGGCTTCGTAGACCGATGGCCTCGCCTGCTTGGCGCGCCCAGCGCCGGCGCCTGAGGAGGCAGCAGAGGAAGAAGGACGCAGAGAAGCAAGAACGGAATGATCGCTGATCTCGACGAGGCGGCGCACGAGTGCCGACGCGGAGGCAAGCCCGGAGGTGGAGAGGTAGGCTACGCCTTGCGGAGCATGCCACCTCGCAGCGCGTCCTGCTGCCGAGGAGGAGCTCGGCGTGGAAGAGGCAGAGGAAAGTGAGGCAGAGGCAAGTCCGAGCGCCGTGTGCACTGCGAGCTGAAGCAGCAGCTGTGTCTTGCCTGACGAGCTGGTGCAACAATGTGAGCAGAGCGTGGAGAAGCACGAGGGAAGACACACACACCTCTCGCCGACGAGCTCGGTGAGGCTGCCGCGCTGCACGCCGCCGCCCAGCAGCGCATCGATGCGTGCATCTCCCGTCTGCAGTAGCGCGCCAGCGCTCTCATGCTCCTCGTCATGTCCCTCTGCCACACATGCAGCGGGACCCGCGAGCGCCTCTGCGGCGGCATGCTGCAGCAAGAGCACGTCGCGCTCGGCGAGGCGCAGCGCTGCGCTCAGCTCGGACACGGGCCGCAGCAGGATGTCGGACGCGAGCAGCGGAGAGGAATGCAGGTGCGCGAGGCGCGAGGGCAGCGCAAGGGCGGAGAGTGGCGGCGAGAACATCGAGCAGCGAGCAGCGCGACGATGAGGAGAGCGGGAGGTGGAGGTGCGAGAGGAAGCGTGTAAAGTGACGCGTCGCAGCCGCACGACGCGTCGAGCGCCGCGCGGCGAGAACAACACACGCGGCTGCCTCTTGCTTCCCACCACCACCCCACCCCGCTCCTCATCAGCATGCCCTTCCCCACGCGCGCAGCCCCAGCCGTCGAGTCCTCACCGCTCGCTCTCCCGCCGCTCCAACAAGCCCTGCATCACGAGCTCTTCGCTCGTCCCGCCGCACTCGCCCAGCGCAGCGCCTATGCCGACTTCTGGCGCGCCCAGAGCTCGGCGCAGGGCAAGGACGGACAGAGCACGCGGCGCTTCGGACGCGACATTGTCGATGCGGACTTCTTGGACGAGGCGATAGCGCAGCGTAAGGCGGCACTGGAGAAGAAGAGGGCGGAGAAGGCGGCCAGAGATGCAGTCGTCAACAGGTGCGCCCTGCCCTCCCTCTCTGCGTTCTGCTCGTCGAGCTGACACGCATGGAAAGCGCGGCGGATCTGTCTGTCCTTTCCATCTCCCTCTCCTCCTCTGCCCCTACCACGTATCTCGATCCACTCGACGGAGAGGAGGAGACAGCACTCTCGGCACACTCTGATCTGCGCGAGCTTGCGAGGGCGCGCGACTCGAGGGCGCTGCAGTATTTGCGACTCGAGCGGGAAGTGTCTCGTCTCAAAGCTGAGCGTATGAAGGTTGGCGCTTCCATCTCCGGTGCGTCCAGCCGTCTCTGAACCTTCTTAACTCTCCCGCTGATCGCTCTCTCGTACTGCGCAGCCAAGCGTACCGAGACATCGAGCCTCCTAGCCGCCCTTCAACAACGACCGGAGAGCGGCAGGACACGAGTGAGAGCACTGCAGGGCGACGAAGGCGCCAGAGTGAGAAGGCTGGAGAAGGCACTGGGCGCCGCTAGGGGCAAGAGAGAGATGGTCAGAGGCGTGCTGCGGGTGAGTCTGGAGTGCACAGAAATCGACTGGATGCGGAAGGATGCGGGATCTGTTGGATGAGGCTGCGAAGCTGCCTACGGCCGAGCTGCGGAGCTGCTGAGCCGCTGAGCTGCGAGGTTCCCGGCTGCGAATGATGCGTGGCAAGATGTTCGAGGGGAGCAAGGCGTGCGTCTCGCGGTGCGAAGCCGAGCGAGCACCTCTCGGATTGGGCACTCGGCGGCATGACTGGGCGGTTCGAAGACCTCTGCCGCGCTCCTCTTCGCTCTGCGCTCTTCGCTCTTCGCTCTGCGCTCTTCGCTCTTCCCTCTCTGCTCTTCGCACTGACCCGTTCGATTTGTAGGGCCTAGTCCTGGAATCAGGGCTCGACTGGCTGGCAGACGATGCGCTCAAGGAGGCGCTGTTGGGCATGGGGGATGAGGGTGAAAGCGACGAGGAGGACGAGGGGGAGATGAGCGACGAGGGAGATGATTGAGATTGGAAGACTTGACTCGGGGGCAAGCATGGAGGAGAGAGGCGTTGCGAGGTTTTCATCCCACACGCTCGGACGCTCAGCCGCTCGGTGCCTCCGGGCGCTGTGTGAAGGAGGAGAATCTGATGTATACCCAGGTCTTGCAGCCGTGCCTTGCTTTGTGTGCTTTGCAGCTGGTTGCGCGCCTCGCTGGCGGCTCTCGCCCGCAGCTGCCATCGTGCCAATGGCTCTGGCAAGCCGTCGGGGAATCCAGGGTGATTGAGTAGATGAGTGGCATTCTTGAGCCTATAGTGCATGTAGTGATTGGGGAAGAGTACAATGACCTCAATGTTGGAGCGCTCAAGGTGCGTGATTGGGATGTGAATTGAGGCGGTCAAGCCTGTTGCAGTCTTGATGTTTGCGCCCTTGTATGACCATGTCTTGCCTCAAGCACACATGGCACATGAGTTGTGTTGTAGCACCTGTGTTCTGCCGCAATATGCACAGAGAGGACTGCATGGAGGGAGAGGACTTTGCCTGTAAGATGGAGGGACAGCTGCACCTGCAAGACACAGGGAGAGCTTGAGGCCTGCATGGTTCAGGGAGACAGCTGCGCCTGCAAGACAGCAGGAGGGCTTTATGTTGAGCGCGCGGCCAACGCTTTTGGCAGTGGGCAGTGTCATGGCGTGCAGAGGTGGTGGTGAGAGGGCAAGAAGGACACATATTGAGCTGTGCAGCCCGTGCAGGATCAATGGGGGTTTGTGAGGTGTAGAGTGGAGAGAGCAAGACAAAAGGCACGCACACGGCATGCAGTAAGCAACACTGGCTATTCTACATACCCTACATCCACGCCTACATCTGCAAGCGCTACAAACCCTACACACCTGCGTGTAGCGCCTCTACAGCCCGCATAAAGATGCACGCGTGCAGGCCCATCCACATGCTGTTTACATGCACGGCGTATGTAGACTGCCTAAATTTTTGTATGCAGAATGCAGGCGCGCTACACAACGGACCGATGGGCGTGCGCTGCCGGAGTGCGAGCCGGCGAGCCACTCTTCAATTCGATGGGTGTGCGGACAGCGGAGACGTACAGGACGGAGAGAGTGTGACAGGACAGACGGCGGAGCTTAGCTCGTGCGGGGCTCGGCCCACTCCACGCAGTGGAGAGACCGAGGCGGCAGACGCGGCCTGGAAGCTGGGAGGGACACGGCGGTGGGACGGACGGGGTGGGGAACGGAACAGCGGTGCGTGCTCGAGGCCGTGCTTGCGGCAGAGCTACGCGTTGCTCGTGAACGAGCTCATCTGAAAGACCGAGTCAGTCTCGCGCAGCTCGGCGTCCGACGCAATCGGCGCCTTCTTGCGCGCGATGCTCGGGCTCGACGGCGGCGTCTTGGTGTGCGTCGAGCCGGTGTCGCCGCAGCCGCCCGTCGACGACGTGCCCGACGGCGAGTAGGCGAGCTGCGTGACGATGAGCGGGTCCTCGCCGCCCGAGCTGGCGCCCTTGCCGCCGCGCTGCGCGCGCAGGATCGCCGAAAGCGACTTGCGCGGCGACGAGTGCGGCGACGGCGTGAGCGTCTCGTTGGCGACGGAGCGCAGGTGCAGGAAGATGCGGCACGGCAGGACGGAGCTGGCGGCGCGAGGTGAGCGGCGTACGGACGATGTGAGCCACTCTCACTCACCTCAGGGCCTCGGCGAGGCAGCCAAACGACGCCTTCCAGACGAACGCGGCGTCGGTGAACATCATGATGCCGACGATGAGGTTGACGAGCGTGACGACCTGGCAATGCATGGTGAGCACGGCGCCGGGCACGCTTAGTCGCGATACGCACGATCCACCCACGCACAATGTAGAAGGAGACGTTCTCCATGATGAGCGCGGCCTTGACTTTGCTCGTGGCCTTGTTGCGCGTCACGCCCCAGATGGTGGCGAAGAGGATCGCCGTGTCGGCGAGGGCGGGCAGCAGGTAGACGAGCTGAACGGCGAGTCAGTGATGGGCTCGCGTGCACCACGCGCCGCGACTCACCCCCTGCGTGTTCTGGTTCTGCACCGTGGCGAGGCACGAGCGCAGGCCGTCGCCGTTGTCGAAGCGGAACGGATTCTGGTTGACCTTGATGTTGGTGAGGCTGCCGGCGAGGATCCACGCCGAGATGGCGAGCACGGTGCAGCCGGCGACGACGCCGAGCGGGCGGTTCATGTCGTTGCACGCCAGCATGCGCAGCGAGAACATCGAGCCGTACGCGAGGAACGTCATGGCCGAGAAGACGTAGAAGGCGCGAAAGACGGGCTGGCAGCCGGCGTCGAGCGCGCCGAGGTTGCACGCCAGCATGTAGCAGATGACGGCGCCGACGCCGGACCAGCTGTGGGCGCGAGGAGATCAGCATGCACACATGCAGAGCGCCTCGCCGCACACGTCTCACCGGCAGGTAAAGTAGATGAGGTTGGCAGGCGTGCTCTGCGCCTTCCACTCGCGCGCCACGCGCACGTCGGCGGCGCAGTGGATGAGCGCCTCCCAGATGACGATGGCGAAGGCGACGCAGCCGAAGATGAGCAGCGTGTTCGAGGCGTTGACGAACTGAGCAGGCATGTGTGAGACGGGCGCCGAGCAGCGGCTGGCACGCGACTTACCTCGATGACCGACGCCGTCAGCGGGTCGCTGGGGATGAGCGTCGCCATGGTGGTGAAGTGCGGTGGATCAGGAGAGTCGGGCAGAAGGCAGGGCGGGAGCGGGTGAGAGACAAGGACGGTGGTCCGGGACGAGAGAGAGAAGGAGTAGAGTGACGAGTGGTAAGGGGATGGGGCGGGGAGCGAGGACGCAGCGAGGCGGCGCTCTTAAGAGGACGGCAGGGCGTCGGCCAGCTGGCCGTCTCAGCGCCCGTCCGCCACTCGTTATCCGCTCCGGCGCACAGAGAGAAACTGCTGAGCTGCGCTCCCGTGCGTCGATCGCCGTGGTCGCAGCCGCTGCTTCGCCATGTCGGCGTCTGTGCTCTGCTCCTGCGCTGTGCTGCCGCTCGCCTCGATGCCGAGCTCGGCGATGCTGCGGCGCTGACAGCAGCAGCTCTCACGCCGGCCCCTGGCCGAGCTTCGGCGAACGCCGTCAGAAGCTGCCTGCCTACTCCATCGGGCCGTGCTGAGGTACGGCTGCTGGATTGGGACGCGTGCCCCCCTCGGGCTGGCGCGGCGGCTGCGAGGCGCTGCCAGGGGGCGTGTGAGCGCGGCGCGCCGAGGCGACATGGCCCGCCGCACCGCCGCGCGGCGCCGCCAGCTCATGGGCAAGCCTGCGCCGCTGCGCCCGATTGGGCTGCGCAGTTCGCCGCAAAGCGCTCCCGCATGACATCGACGCTCACAGCACCCAGCTGCAGCTCCTGCTCCGATGCCCTGTTCCGCCAGCATGCAGGCGCAGATGACGCTCGGCGCACACCTCTCCAGCATGCAGACTCAGCACAGCGCTCAGAGCTCTCACTCGTCGTGCGTGCTGAATGCTGCGCTGTTGCCGCTGACGCTGCCTGCAGGCGAAAGAGCTGCGCCTGCCTCACTTGAGGTTGAGCACGGGCGAGGCGAAGGCATGGAACGCGAAAAGGCAAACAGGCTTCCCGCCTGGGGCGCAAGGCTGCCAAACGCAGGCGCGCGACGGGCCGGAAAGCGCCCGACCCGAAGCTGAAGCGCACCGAGGCGTGCAGACGGGCGGTCACGCAGACCATGCGCCCATGCAGATTAGGCGTGGATTTCGGGAGTGAAAGCCGCTCTGAAGGCGTGAGGCGAGGGGCGCCATGTCAGGACGATGAGCACCAGCGTGCGGCGCGGCGGGCGATGCACGGGCGAGCGCCGCCGCGCCGCACGGCGGGCGGACGAGAAGGCGGCGCGGCGAGCCGTCGTGCTCCTCCACCTGCCACCACCACCGCTGCGCACTCGCTCACTCGCTTCTGTCCCGTCCCTTCAGGCCGCACGCTGTCATCAGCATCGCTGCGCCGCGCCGCTCTCGTCTCGCCTCTCTTCCTGCTCTGCACGGCTCTCTCGGCTGCGTGGAGTAGCTGCCGACGCACCTGCGCCTCCACACGTCGCACCCTCGTCCCAGGCCCCGCCATGGCAGCCGCTGCCGGCTCGTCGGCGCGCTATGCCGTGTCGCACCTCAAGCTGCCCGGCACGCTCAGCATCACCGCGACGCATCTGCAGTGGGTGCCCTCGGCGAGCGGCTCGGCCGCGGCCAGTGCGGCACTCGATGTGCCGCTGCGCGCCATCACCGGCCTCAGCGTCAGCAAGCCGGGCGCCGCCAGCGCGGCGCTGCTCGTCGTCGTGGCGCCGGGCACGCCGGGCATCGGCGGGCGCCCCAAGGCCATGCTGCACTTTACGCCGCACGCAAACGACGCCGACGCCGCCGTGCGCTCGCGCGACAGCGTCAAGGACCAGCTGAGCGCCGTCGTCGCAGCGAACCGCGAGCAGGACACCGCGGGGCCAAGCGCTGCTGCCGGCGGAGCCGCACCTGTCGCCGCTGCTGCATCTGCTCCTTCTGCTGCGTCGCCCTCTGGCGCTGCCGCCGCGCAGCCTGCCGCAGCGGCAGGCGGCAAGAAGGGCGTCAAGCCAGAGCTCGAGCTGCGCTACCGCGTGCTGATGGCCAACCCTGCGCTGGCGGCACTGCATCGCGACCTCGTCATGTCGCATGCCCTGTCGGACGCCGAGTTCTGGTCGCATCCCACGCGCACCGCCCTCCTCAATGCCGAGCGCGCGGCCACCGAGCAGCGCCGGGGCCGCAATGCCCGCATCGCCGACCCCAAGCCGCGCACCGACGAGCGCGGCGAGATGCGCGTCGAGGTCACGCCGCAGCTCAAGCGCGACCTCTTCGAGCAGTACCCCGTGGTGCGGCGGGCGTGGGAGGAGAATGTGCCGTCTGTGGTGAGTGCCGAAGCTGGTGTACGGCGGCCTGGTCAATCAGTAGAGGCGGACGCCCGCCACCTCTCTCTCTGTGCTCTCGCCTGCGGCTGACGCTACACACACAGATGGACGAGCCGAGCTTCTGGACACGCTACTTCCAGTCGCGTCTGTACCACCGCCTGCGCACGTCTGCGCGTTCGGCAGCCAATGAGCACATCTTCAAGGACGACGAGATCCTCGACCGGTACCTCGAGAAAGACGAAGACGACCGTGAGTCGTGCGCCACACGCTTGAGACGTCGCACTGACACTCGAGCAGAGATCGAGCCCCGCCGCCAGCACAACCCGCACGATGCGTTTCTCGACCTCGGCGCCACGGCCGAGGACCACCAGGAGACGGGCAACGCGGCCGACTTCACCATGCGCGCCGGGTCGTCGCGGTCGGCGCTGCCGCTCATGCGCCGCTTCAACGAGCACAGCACCTCGCTGCTCGACGACGCGCTCGGCACGCAGGACGAGGCGAGCCGGGCCAAGCGGCGCAAGATCGGCATCGAGCAGGACTACGGCGGGCCTGCTGCCGCGGGCCACTGGGAGGACATCCGCATGGACGACCTGGGAGGCGAGGGCGAAGCTCGGGGCGTGCCGCTGGACATGCGTGGCCGGCGAGGCTTGTTTGAACGGCGAGCCGGCGCGAGCGAGCCGGGCGCAGGTGACGCGCTGAGCGACGAGGTGAGTGCTCAATGGACTTCGTCAGTCTGCCTGTGAGCTCATCGACGACACGCAGACGCTGCGAAAAGCCCTCGCCGCAGACGGCAGCAGCGAGCTCCTCGCCTGGCAATCGGCGCTCGGCGACTTCAAGGCGCAGGGAACGGCCGGCGCCATGCGTGTGATGCTGCACTCGATCAGCACACGAGCCGCAGCGCGTGCGAGCACCAAGACTGGTGAGCTAGCTCATCCTGCCGCCGTGGTTCACCTGCTCACTCCACGACCAGACCTGCTGCCAGAGAGCGTGCAGAAGTCCGTCGTGGCGCACCACGCGGCGGTCAACGAGTTCCTGCGGCAGTACTGGGCTGCGCTGGCGCAGCAGCCGGCACGCGCGGCGCGCATGCTCGAGGGCATTGCCAAGCTGCGGGAGCGTGGCCTCGAGGTGGAGCAGGAGGCAGAGCAAGCGCAGCCCGGCGCTGGCCGTGAGCGCGTGCGCACGGTGAGTCGGCTGCGGCCGCCCCAATTTGCCGACGCAGGGCTGACGCCAAACGACAGTATCTCGCGCCTACGGTGCAGGCCGTCACGCGCGCGATGAGCATCGCTGCCCGTGGCCAGGTTGCCGGAAGTAGCGATGCGACGTGAGCAGCAATGGCACATCTTTGCCGCATCTGAGCTTCTGCCGCAACGGAGCTGTGTCTTGGCAATGAAGTCCACTTGCCGCTCGCCGGTGCGCGCCTTCCACCTCGATTGCTCCCTCACGCCACGCGCGGGCAGCACGCTGCGCGCCCTTTGCCAGGTCGGCGCTCGAGAAGCCTGCGCGCCCGGACCCTCGCCGCGGAGGGTGACTGAGCACCAATCGCCCACACGCTCCCGCGGGAAATCTTTCTCGCGCTGACGCGTCTGGCTGCTCCCATGGGGCAGCCGCCATTTGCAAGATGATGAGCACAACATGATTTCCAGATCGGAAAATGAGACACGCTACACGTAGCTCTGGTCAAGCGGAGAATATTGAGCATAAAAAGTCTTAGGGTTAGGGTTAGGGTTAGGGTTAGGGTTAGGGTTAGGGTTAGGGTTAGGGTTAGGGTTAGGGTTAGGGTTAGGGTTAGGGTTAGGGTTAGG